ATTTTGAAAAATAGCGTTTAAGCGAAAAATATACAAAACCAGCCCACCAGACTACAAAAGAGTAGTTAATTACTTTTAAAAAATTTGTTTATGAAAAATTTTTAGTTCTAACTATCATAAACATGTATTTTATTTTTAAAACAATGATAAATTTACGGGCATCCCGCTGTATGGGAAAAAATAATGGTCATGTTACTGTAGCAGGTAGACTTGTAAGGTAACTAACTACCATGTATACATATACTGCTACATGTATGCAACGGCATTAACTTACTTGGTTTTAAGCATTTTCTCAGGGGTAATGAGGTCGGTGTCGGCCCGTCCAGAGCCCAGGTCATTGCGGCCCTCCACGCTGCCGGTTTGCTCGCACGTGGTGGTGTTGAAAAACGATATATTGCCATCTAGAGTGGACACTGCGATCTGTCGATTTAATTTAAAAACTTTTGAGCAACGGCGTATGCGATTGTGAATGATTTCAATATTCGTAATTACAAACCCTGCCATGAATGACAAATTAGTTTACGTATTCGAATGATCTGAACATTCATTATTAATCAATCCATAGAGCACAGCGATACTCGTGATCACCTAGGCCTCTCTGACATATGGTAAATACCGTAAATGTGGCGGGGACAGGGATATTTTGATATGGACATGGTGAAAGATCTGGTGGAGTTCTCACATAATAATCATTCGACTCGTACACCCGACCGAATAGCAGGAGCGTTCGGTATCGGTATCATTCGACTCAAGCGAATGATGCCCATTCGATCGCTACTAAGCGCTATGGTAATACATGACATATCCCTCATACATTTAATAGAGCATATTTAATTTATATATTTATTTTTTAATAATATTAAGTGCAGGGACGAACAAGTCGTGCGCCTGATGGTAAGCTATCCATAATCCATATGTATCCATATCGGTTGCAGTGTCACTCAAGAGCTTTAAATCGGAAAGATCTGACGGACACTGCCACTGCGCCCGTCGCCCTGAGACATGAGTTGACAAGTCCCATGTGTCTGTAATTTCACCAGCACCCTTACCCTTCAAAACCGGAACACAGTAATGCTGACATTACTGCTTGGCGGCAGGTATAGGCAAGGTACTACCCTGGACGAACTCTTTCACAAGGAGCTCTACTGCTACTAAACTAATAACTATTAATAAATAGATATCTATTTATAAACTATTAGAGATAGGTAGGAGGTGCTGGAAGGAATGTCATAGATGGTAACAGTGGTCAACAACCGTATCAAAAAATATTCAAAATGGGGAAAACAAAATGGCGGCCGAAGAAAAACTTACATCGATCCGGCTGAAAATTGGCATGGATCTTGAGGAGTCCTTAATCATAAAATCAAAACTTTAATAGAGCATAATTATTTTAATTTATTTATATAAAAAGTATACAAAAATCATGGCAGTAAAATAGTTTTAGCTGCAAATAGAGCTCCTTGTGAAAGAGTTCGTCCAGAGAAGCACTGCCACCTTACCGGAGGTATGGCTGATGTCTGCCGCACAAGCAGTAATGTGAGCATTAAAGTGTTCCGCTTTTGAATGGTAAGGGAGCTGGTGCAATTACAGGTACACAGGACTTGTCAACTTATGTCTCAGGGTGACAGGCGCAGTGTCAGTGCCCCTCAGATCTTTGCAATTTAAAGCTCTGAATGGTATTACAAGTTATGGACAGGCGTGTAGTTTACTATCAGGCGCACGACTTATTCGTCCCGTCACTAGATATTATAAAAAATTGCTATAATAAATTTATTTTTTGTTATAAAGCAAGCTACTTGAAACAAGATAGGCATATTTTTGTCACCCTGTATAATAAAAACACATAATGGATACAGCTTTATGCTAAAAGCTTTGATAATCTAATACCTTCATCTTTTTCTAATAAAACAACACAAGTTCATTATTTTATCGTAAGATTTTAGTCGAAGGTCATTCATTCATACACCCATTCACAAAAACCTACCTCTTCACCGTCAGGTCTAAAAACAACTTGCAACGCATCAGAAGTGAGCCTCACGATCTCGCAATCGGAACTGCTCTCTATGCAGTTCCACAGTCGAACTGTTTTGTCCCAACTGGCCGACGCCAACCGAGAGCTTGCCAAAGTAGGGCTGAACGATAATGATGACACCGGTGCTTCGTGGCCGCCTAGTACCTGAAAAACATACAATACAAATATTCTCCAAAGAACACAAAATACACAGACAATGAAAAACAGACAAAGCTACCAACAACAGATAATTTTAATATAATCATCATCAACCCATTTATACGTCTGGGCACGGATCTCTTCTTCTCTGGGCGAGGGTTTAGGCTATAGTTGGGTAATTCACACATTTTCCGAGTATTGTGAATCTTCTTCAACGCAGATAAATAAACTGAACTTCTTCGCCGCGGATAAAGCCGGAAAGGCTTCTGTGAGCGAAGCTTGTAATTAGTAAATAAGTATTTTTGCTGTATTTTGGTCAATAAAAAAAAATCACGATATTTTCCTTCACCGAAAAGCTCATGGTAAATTTCAATGTAAGGTAAGTTTCAATAGTAGTTCTTGTGACTGTTACATAATGAAAGGCATTAACGAGTCGACAGGCGAGTTTCATAAAAACATGACACGAGTGTTTTAATGCCTAATTATGTACAGTTATATACACTGCATTATCTACACACATATTATAAGCTCCCTGTCTCCCTATGATGTGTTCAGGAACCACATATTACGACTGGCGAAATGGCGGCAAATAAAAACTTTTCTCGCGCATATCACACAACCGTAGTTTTTATTTAATTCATAGACAAACTAAAGTTGGCCCCCAACTATCATATTTTATAGTTCGATATCAAACAACGTGTGAAATTTGTCGAAATGACTTGCTAATGAAATATTTCGAAAATAACTTCATCATCAATCATTCAATCAAATTGTTTTGTTTTTCAAAAATGTTCGAAATTTGAATGTAATAATAAAATCGAATTTGATGTTATTATTAAGCAATAATAACATTTTCACAGATAAGAAAATTGTCTAACAAAACAGTTTTGGTCGTAATTTGCGGTTTTTGAACACATCATAGAGGGTTTATGATATGTGTGTAGATAAAACATATTAAAACTAAAAGCTATTCTATAATGGTTAAGAGTATATACGAAATTGCAGTATTAAGTGTGGTACGTCAGCCATCGACCATTGCACCATAAATCGATTCGAAACACTTCGTTTACGTATCCAAAAGGAGCTCGAAAGGAAAAGCTTATTATGTCAAGACTCACATCAAGCAGCTTCCCAAACTTAACGGACCAGAGGAAGATCTCGAAGACGTCCTGCCCCCCAGCGGCGCATAGCTCACTGCTGGAGTCCAGCGCTACGCAGCTGAACTGCACGAGACTCGGTGACGTCAGCGTTCGAAAGTTACGATATCTAAATTGTATAACGTATTCAGTATATGCTGATAATAAAAAGGTAGTAGATTGTACAACAAGGGCATAAAGTGACCCATTTTTATCCGAGGCCATTTTTTGGTCTGAGCGTAGCGAAGACCAAAATAGTAGACGAGGGTAAAAATGGACATTTATGCCCTTATTGTACACTCTGCTTTTCACTTCGATTGTGAGGAAAATAAAACACATTTTATGTAGGTATAAAATAATATTTTTCACGCTAACTTACACCACGAAAAGCGAAAGAACGAATAACTAATTCCCACCAACTAACTTTTTAATTTTTTTTTTTAATTTTTAATATGTGATCATAGTTTCAGACGCTTGGTTTTCTGCCAAGCCAAATATTTTGGAGCGTTTTTAAACGATAATCGACTCCTATTTTATTTTATAAAACATGTTTGTGTGATTACAATATTTATATTCTAATCACACAAAATACGGGATTCTAATAAATTATAGCAAAAATAAAATAATATAATAAGTTTTTGTCACCTACGACTGCATACTCGTAGGTGACAATTTGATTGCTCAGTAAAATTGTGCAATATGTAGTGACTGTTTGGCTGTTAAGATTGATTACCTTAGTCTTAGAAAAAAAAATTACTTTTATGCTCTAGAACATAAAATGCGATTTTATGTCGTCTACGTACGACATAAAGGTGCACTTTTTGAGCATGAGAAGTGAAAAAGAACTTTTTAAAATTAATTATGGACAATAAAATCGTAAATTGGTTATACATTAGCGAAGGTAATAAATACAATTGAGTAACGTGAAATGGTAGGTAGCACTGAACCATGTAATTTGTCATCTCTTAATTGTTATTTATGACCGTACTATGTATTTTGTAACTTAATCAAAATTAAGTAACTTAAGTCATATTTTAAAACACAACAAAACCGTATAGACGTTAATGTTCATCCTTACCTGGTCAAATCGTAACACCGAACAGTTCCATCCAACGACGATGAAACAAAGAACTTTTTATTAGCACTAAATGTGACATTGGTCACCGTGGACTTGTGTTCATTGAAGGTCACAATACAGAACCCTGAAGTAGTATTCCACACTTTCACTTTGCCGTCGTAGCCGCCTGTTACTATGAATAGGCCATCGGGAGAATACGCGAGGCATGTCATGTCCAGGGAATGGCCTTGTTGCTTCATTACATATTGTTCACCTGCGAACATTACAAGCAAATGGTATTTTGAGTGTGTCCAAATCGTTTTTTGCTGTTTAAATTCTTCTCGGAAATTACATACTCAATCTAAGTTCTCTTTCAATTGATAGACTTATAGGAAAAAACTATTCAAAACATAATTGAATAAGAAGTGAAGTTACATTTGTGTGTTACAGGATAGTGTTACCGTGGTGGCTGATATTATAGTTGAATTTACACGCTTTGAGACAAAAAATCATTTAACGCAATTACTAATTTTCGGGCCAAAACTTGGGGTGTAAGTTTGCATCATTACATTCAACTTAGCTTATACAAACTTTTATTTCCCAATTAAATTTGAAACTATGAAAACATGTCGTAATTAACGCACTGCATCTAAAATGACACGGACGATCATGGTGTCAGACAATTAAGAAAAAAAATGTATGCTAAATTAAGGCTTCTTTTATATCCATATTTTTAACATAAGAGCACATTTATGTTGAAAATGAATCGTGTGTAAACTCTGCTTTATAATTTTGTTGTTACCGTTACCGGTAAAATTACTCGATCGGACCCTTATATAATTCCGTGACTGTAATATTTACGCCAACATAATTGAATTATAATATCAATTTTACAATATTGTACATAAATCTGATTTGATATTATACGTGGATGTATTTTTTTATTACAATTAATTAAAAATAATGCTACATAAACTTACATAAGATTTTTCGCACATTGAGCAAAAAGAGAAAACCCATGCAACGAGACGTGTAGTTGATGATGATGTCATAAAGGGACGGTACTTACTTTGCCACTCCCATACAAGCAATTGACCGATGGTAGGACACCCGAACGCTATCCAATCGCCCGGCGACGACATCGCGATGCTACTGATTCTGTGTTCCGATATACTTAGCGTGTGTATCAAATTAACATCTGGCATTTCATGAAGAAAGAATATACCCGTAGAAAATCCTGAAAAAAAATCGTTTTAAATCAATTTTCATAAGAAATACTGGCATTTAGGTTCCTTTAATTCACACCTATTTGATGTTAACACATCCATAATCCCTACTAAGTACTAAAAAACCGACCTCAAAAGTTAAATTATGTTTGCCGAGTTGATACTTTCGATTACTTTATAACTACAACTTAATGATAAATGTAATGTGTACTTGTACAGGGTCAAGAGCCGTCAAGCTTGACACTTAAGATTTAAATCCAATTCTATGCCGCTTACGATCAGAACGGTCCAAAGTAAAAAGTGTCAAGCATGATGTGCTCTTGACTGTACTAGATGACGAGTGGCAGTGTACGGTAAAACCTAAACTGGTTTTTGGGAGACTGTACAATTATTATACCCATGTAAATTCTGTTATGTTTATAATAAATAAAATATAAAATATTGAATTCGGTTACCGTGAAGTGCTCGAAACCAGATTCATTCCCTAGTTTGCCACCTTTAGAGGTGGAATATTTCTTCAATTTTAAATGAGAACACTGCAGAGATTATACTCTTTCCAACAAATAAAGATACATCAAAATCGGTTCACAAATTAAAAAAAAGTTATTGAGTAACATACATACAAAAAAAATGTACAGTCGAAAACCCTCCTCCTTCTTTTGAAGTCCGTTAAAAAAGTATTACTATACTAATAAAGTAGAATCAAGACACCCTCGAGCGACTGCGACCGATTCTATATGTCAGGTATAACCACCGTTATTATTATAGCTTTATTGTATTATAGCTTACCCGTGACCAACATCTTTGTCTCCTTATGGTACTGAACGGCAGTCAGTTTGCACTTATGATGAGCGTTTCTAATTGCATCACCGATATAGTGCCGGCCCAACTTCTTGTACAGTAGCCTTTTATCGTCCTCTGTTTTTGGTTCTTGTTTTCCTACCTCTGAATTGTCTTCATCGCTTACCTGTAAGTTTTCAAAAGTTTATTTCTTTTTTACGTAGACAGCAAACAAGCATACGGCACGCCTGATGGAAAGCGGTCAACGTCGCCTATGAACGCCTGCAACACCAGGGGCGCCACGAGCGCGTTGCCAATACTTTAACACCCTACTCAAACCCCTTTTGAAGGACGCCATGCTGTATTCCTGCGGGAAAATCCCGACAGGGAGTTCATTCCACAACCTATTTGTACGTGGGAGAAAGCTCTTCTGAAACCGTACAGCACGAGATCGACTCGGTTCCAGAGTGTGAGCATGGACTCCCGGCCGGTGGCGATAAAGATAAGATGTATCACTATACATCTTACATTTATCGCCACCGGCAGGGAGTCCATGCTTATCACTACAAGTAACTCTAGGTACGGACCTAAAATATTTAACTTGTTTTAGATAAATGCTTAAATTATACAACAGGCCAAAGTTTCTCAAATTGGTCCCCAGTGGGAGCTGAAGAGTCCTAGGGTAGGGCGGTAAGAGCTTTTGAACCATTTGGGGGATGTCGGTGCTAGCGTACAACATATACATAATTTGTTTCCTTGTGATTTTTTGTGTTAATATAAAAAAAATCGACCCCTCCTACGTAAAGTAGCGTATATCGAAATTGTTTAAGTTTAAATTGAAAACAATTAAGTGGGCGCTGAGCCAGAAAGTTTGGGAACTTAAGGGCATGCCAAATCGAGATGCCAAGGTGACCAAAAAATTAAAAGCGTTTCCCAATTGTACAATGTTGAACACATGTTTATATTGAATCTTAAACACAACTTTACTTACATATTCCTTATCTTTTTCAATAACATCTTTCTCGTCAACATCATCCTCACTGTCGTCCGCATTCTGCAATTTCCTCCTTTTTCTATGCGAAATCTGCACCTCTGACGTCACAAGGTCATCCATATCAATACTGGCTTCCCACAAGCAAATCTGACCATTACGACTAACTGTTATTAGGTCTAAACTCTTCTTCTCAAAGAATACTCCCACGATTTTATCTGTATGACCACTTAAAGAATACATGTTTAGATTGTCTAGATACTCAATAGTGTATATTTTTGTTGTCGTGTCCTTGGAGCCAACGGCAAGTAGTTTTGAACACGAAGACCAGTCTAGACACGTGACGTCATCATGAGCCTTCTTAAATACTCTTTTCATAACAAAGGATCGGAATTCTCCAGTGAAGGTGCACGGAGCTGTCATTATGAAAACTGAAAAATACACAATATTATGTACTTATTCAATGGTTTTTCATTTGTAGTTTTTATTGAATGTCACGATGTTTGACCACCATGACATTAAATTATTTTTTGTGAAATCACTCCACTAGTTTGTCGTTTATTAATACAAAGATAGAACACTTAGAAAAAATCCTTCGAGCTGGCTGGATTCGAACCAACGTCTTGCAGCAAACTATGCCGTTATTCATTTGTTTATGACACGGATTCAGCTTAAGAAAGGCCACACCGTGAGCGAAGCTAAGTTAGCTTAACTCACATAGCTGCATGCAACAAACTATGCAAGCTTCGCTTAGCTCACGTAGTTGCATGCGAAGTTAAGCTAAGAAAATACGGAACCGTAGTGGAGTGCCGACGCTCGACGCTTGTTGAAGTTTTAGATAAAGGGCGACAGTACTTAATTACCTAGTTTACAACACTCCTACGCGGAGTGAACAAATACGGCCACGTGAGCTAAGCTTACTTAGCTTAGCTTCACTCGCGGTGTGGCCGGTGGTTTATAAATGTTATGTTACATAGTCTTCACATAAAGAACTAATAATATTCGTGTCTATGTCGTATTTTGCAGCGCAGCTAGCGCGTTTTAGTAGTGGTCTAGAAGAGGACCTAATGGCAAGGAGGCGGACATTGTCGCAGGACACTGCTACCAGCATCTCCTGCTCTAGCCCGGAGAGCTAGTAGAGGATGATCTAGACATACTTCGGTCCCTCCAGCCGAACTTTGGGAACTGGAGAGACGCCATACATTCGGCGTCGTGAAGTAAGAGTGCCTTACAGCTCCACCACCAATGAGATTTGATAGTCGACTTAGAGTAAACGACTACGCAGTGGCAACCGTTAGTTGAGTAGAGCGCGACGGGAAGTGAGCGTGCCTACAGCTCCGGTACTTATCTTGAAAATAGGGAGGGTGCTGTACGTGTACCCGGGGCGGCTCACCTAAGGCACTAGCCTTACAGAGAACGAGAGGATGAAGTCCGTGCAAACAAACTGATCTGGTTAGGACCTAACTTAGATGGTCCCTGTGCGGGTCGCTCGCTCAGGTCATCGCACCCTTCCCGCATAACCAAGAGGTTGATAGGGAGGGGCACTATAAACAAAACTTATGTAGAAAGATATGGGACTGTTCTATTCTGTACCCAAGAATTGTATTTGGAACTTGGATTCCAAGTTTTGTTTTATATCTAATAATTATAATGTTAATTTATAAATAACAACCACATCACAACTAATAAATTGGTTACAATATTTTATAAATCAAAGTTACTACTACTACTAAACCGTGACAGAATTAGAATAGAAACAGATTAGACCGCGAGCTTACAATGAACTTATTACTTCTGCAAATATCGAGTTCTTATGTTTTCGCGATTGTTACACATTTATTTATTTATTTATTTTATCTTAGAGGGTACAAACAGCTTAAGTGCTATTACAATAGAAATTATATTAATAGTAGAAAAGCAAATAGTTCCCTACTGATAACACATAGGAAATGAAACTATTTTTCCAGATTTAAGTCACGTATATTTGTTTTTTCAAACAAACCAACGGTTCGGGCCCTTTACAGGTTCCTTGGTCACGGTTGACAGTCAACAGTCAAAAGATTTAAATCCGGAAAAATAGTTTCATGTCCTTTGTGTAAATACTTATAAGTATAATAAAATAACACTATAGGTGATTTCGGATTTGGAATATTGTGCGAGCGTGCGTGTGTGTTTGATTGTGTATGTAGAAACTGCATTTCAAAAGCAAGTACTTTGTCTGTATCATCGTGATTTAGGTTCAGTAACCACTGTTGTATATTTTTCAATTCATATTTATTTGTGTATGTTGAAAGAAACATTTAGATGATGTTTACGTGATAGTGCTTGAAGGATGAAAAGTTATCTGATTGTAAGAATTTTGAATGATGAATTTAATTAGAAGTAGGATACCATTACGATTTGAAACCTATCACTATCAAAACCGCCCTCAGCGCCATTTGTCTTCAAAAATGGTAAACTTGTATCTGGCAACTGTATAATAGAGAGAGCTGTCTCACACATTTCTTATTACCGCACAAAGGTACTCAGAGTCTCCAAATTAATTATACTATAATTAAATATTATTCATTACCAGAGTGATCGGAATAGGTAGTTTATGTAGGCGCCTAAGCTTCGAAAAACAGAGACAGAAAGTGGAGACCGCTTTACGACTACATTTGTTTGTCTCGGATCTTTTCGGGATTCGGGAAATAACTTGGGTAGATTAATAATTAATGTTATTTGGTATAGTTCATCATCATATATAACGTCATTTTTTAATCTACTGAATTGATTTCGTGTGTCCTGAAAAAAGCCAGGACAAAAAAATATAGTCGCAAGGCAGTCTCCTCTTTCGGTCTCTGTTCCTCAAGTTTAGGTAAATTAACTCTACGTATTCTGATTACTGTTCCTTACATTTCATTCAATAAAGTTATCGACTTTCTATAGCGAACCGCGTTATGGCACGCACTGTTCAGTTTGCCATAAATCGCAAAAGGTAATAAAATAATTATCTTTTGTGATAGGACTGTTGTCCAAAATCACATATCACCTAAACTTTAACTCACTCAATAGTTAGACTATAAGTATAACAAAATGCTTCACTGAAGGGTTACTCACCAGTGTCATCGCAGCATGCAGCAAAATATTTTCCATCAGGACTAAACTTGATAGCATTCACTTCTTGCTTAAATTTATATCTGTGTATCACTGTACATGTTAGCAAACTTATCATTTGTGCTTCACCCTCTGAAAAACATTAAAATACATAAACCTGTTGACGATGAGTGCTGAAGCCCTTTACTCCTATATCTTGATTCCTGATGAGAAGCAATACCTCTCATGGGAGTAGTGACAGCTAAAGTAGGATAGTTCTTTATATGTAAACATACATTACGAGGCCGACATGAACTCCCGAACATTTCAGGCCTCTTAAAACTAGGTTTAAAATAATAATAAGATGATATTATTAACTTTATGAGTCTGTAGAGCAAATTTTAACCACTTCAGTGCTGAGAGACTCCTTGTGAGTGTAACTGCACTTTTGCTTTACCTTGAGAACACACAAAGAAATTAAACAATATTTTTCAGATCTATCTAATCGAAATGACTACCGTGATGACTACTTTAACTGGTTTGTTTGAAAAAACAAATATAATATGCGATAGATTCGAAAAAAAAATAGTTTAATTTCGAAAATCACAGAATAAACATACAAAGACTCAAAAGCTTTTTTTTAAGATAGTTGCTCAAAACGTGGTATTTTTCGTGCAACAAATTGTGCGGAAAGTTGGATTTTTCGCACTAGTGCTTTTTACTTTTCCATTTTTTTTTAATTTACTGTTGTTTAAAGTCTTAAACATATAACTAAAGAGGTTGTATATTTATTTAATATACATATAAGAGCTTTGTGACTTAAATCATTCGTCATTAAAATTTATATTTACTTACAAACATCTTATTTGTTTCAATTGCATAGGTGTTTTATTAAACAATGGGTTACATTTAAAAATACCAAAATATTTTCCATAAAGATAGCTGACTGAGTATTAACAATGACCAGAGGTGAGTATTAAGTAAGATCGCTACACGCCGCGCCACTAAAATAGTAATTTTAATGTGGCTGAATACTGACAACAATTGCCATTGTACTCTGAATTTTTATCAGACAAAGAAATAAAATGAGTTTTTTTTAATACTGTTTTATTTTACTTCCGAAAACTACATTTTTTTCGCAAATGTATTAAAAAACGTCATTTGATACACATGCGGGTTTGTCATTTTCACTTGCCTCGAGTCTTGATCCTCGCTTCTGGCTCGGGCCAGGAAGCCTCAAGACTCGTGAATAATGACTAACTTTCCGCACTTGTATCAAAAAGAACTATTTTTTATGATCATAAGTGATGGAATGCACAAGTTGTGTGAATGCACAATTTTATTTCAATACTCACTTTCATTCACAGCAATGAGTATGGATCCATTGGGAGCTATATCAACTGCTGTGTAGTTGAAGTGACTTTCTACAGGAAGTGTGTTACTTTTGTTTCTGTAATTACAAAAATAATATTTGAGCAAAATATTGATTCTTATTAGGGGATGTCCATGTATTTTAGTATATTCTTTTTGAAATCCTTTGCAGTCTTAGTTGAACACTTAATTATCGTCTGTACACTTCTTTCTTGATTAATATAAATAATAATAACAATAATGTGCAAGACAACTACTTCAATTGCCTGGTCTCAAACTAGGTAATTCCCTGTACTGTGAATACCCGAGCAACGGAATTCACTCCAGGACATTACACGGAACACCCAGACAAGAACCAATTTAGAAATGTTTATTTCCCATATTACTCTTACCGGGAGCCGAACCCGGGACTTCCGCTTTCCAGCACTAACAGTACAAACTGTTGGGTCAATGAGGTTGTCCTCGAGTCTTAATTAGTAAACCAGAATTAGTTCCATCAAAATAGGTCTTTTTCTGCTCAAGTTGTATTCTAGCTATAAATATGTCTTATTAATTAATATACATCTGTTCTGTCCCAATGCTGGGCAAAGGCCTCCTCCTCTTTTTCACCACTACTGATTTTGGACAACAACTGGCCAGTCCTTTATTTATTTTGAAACTCGAGAAGTCACATTTCGTTTCTTCTTCTTGTTGTAAATGTTATGGTCATGCAAAAGACATTTTTTTCAAAATTGAGTTCAACAATTACTTACTGTTTAAGATTGTATATCACTATCTTATTGCCCACAGGACTAATAACACAGTTTCCATCATTTGTAAACAATATATCTCCTTTTCTATACACTGTGCCCAGCAAATTTTGAAACTAGAAAATGATTAAAAGTATTTAACAAAAATGGTTGTATTTTTAAGTTCCATATGAACCACTTCTTCACATTCTAGATTTTACTCAAACATAACCTGTTGTTATAGTAAAAACTTTATTAAATTCATCTATTACCAAAACGCTTAAGAAATAGGTAAATTAAAATGTTTTTGATAGATAATTTAGCAAAAGAAATTCATTAAAAACTTTTACTTAACTAACAATAGATGCATTTTGTTCATCCAAGATCTAAACTTAGCAATAGCATGAATATTTACACACCTTGTAATTGAACTTCATGTTTATTTACGTACAAATATAAAATTTAAATAATCATAGAAAAATCGAATCATTACAGGACACTTCACACTATTAAAAAATCTATGCAGAATTGCAGAACACCGACCGGTTTAATCAAACAACACCAAACCGAACACGTGTATTTATTTTGACAGATGACTGATTGACTGACTAACATTGACATTTGACATTTCACATCACAATCAATTTTTAACTTGACATTACGCCAAAATTGATATCGACTGATTTAAAATTCTACTTTAAATTTTTATCCTAGTTTAAAAGTTATGTATACTTTTTATTTCTATAACAACGTCCCGATAAATACTAAACAAATAAAAATAATCTTGCATGATCACAATGAAAGGATATTATAATATATTATTGTAGGTTAGGTGGTCGCGTGATGACAAATCAAATAGCGCAGTGCAGCCCTAGATCTGAGTGCAACTCTATTGCAAAGACTGCACAACTGGTTTTGATATTTTTGTATATATTTTGTGAATATACCGTGTCCAATTTATAGCGCTAATAAAATTTTGCAATAAGTTTTCGTTACACTAAACGTCCTGTTGTTAGTTGATGAATAAGTAATAGAGAAAATATGATTTAACGTATGTCCATAACAGTTTTTCAAATTTTATAATTAATCCAAGTATTCTAAACAGGTCACTTTTGCTTAATAAATAGTCATCCGATGTTAAACAAGTTAATGATAATAAACATTTTATTTGTCAACATTAGTTCAAAATTTTTATTTGCCAGCTTAGTAGCTATGTAATATGTTATACTGTAATGTTTTTGTTCTGGTGCTTTTATATGAATAATAAATAAATAAATAAATAAAATAAAAAAAAATTCTAAGCATTGACAACCTTGGTGAGCCAACGGTATGCACTTTGGGTACTGAATGAGGAGGCCCCGGGTTCGATTACCGGTAGGACTAATTTGAGAAATGAACATTTCTAAATTGATTTTGGTTTAGGTATACGAGGAAGCCAAGAGTAAATTCCGTTGCTCTGGTTCTCATACTACAGGGAACTTGCTAGTTTGAGACCAGGCAATTGATGTAGTTATCTGGCACATTTTTATTATATTATTAGAACTGGGTAAGTAAGATATTTCGTTTATTAGATACATTAGGAAATGCAAAGTGCATTTTCTTTGATATTCTTCTACCTAATAGCGTTTTTATTCATATTACATATTATGTATATTTTTTATATTTATTATTATACATAATATTTATTCATTTTTGTATATTCTTACTCTTCTTAAATTAAAAAGCGGCGTTAAATCGCGACGAATAGAAAAAGTGAAAGTGAAGTGAGGCCTTAGCCATGCGGCGGAATAATAACGAGGCGGCTGATGATGAAAAATACTCTTATTACACCTGTAGTATCAAAATGTATTACTCCAACCATGATAGTCGTTAAAACATTTTTGACAGTCTTAATAAGTTGCAAGTATCAATTTTGTAATATATACTATAACAATGCCGAATATTTCTAAAACAGACCAATCACTACACCCGATACACATAAACTGTACGCATCGGAGTTTATTAATTAGTATTAATGTTTGATACTTGAAATAAAACGAAAAAACGTGAGATTGTGGAGTTGTTTAAAACATTTCGAAATACCAGATTCTCCTATGAAGAAATAAATGGCAACATTATCGGTATCAATACAACAATGTTTTTGTCTTGTATTACAATACAATAGGTAATTGAATTTGTATTTGTGACAAATTCTAGCAAATAAATATATCTTTTAATTTTTTTTATATTCTGTGTTACTATCTTCCTTGAAAACTCAAAATGAAAATAATAAAAGCATCTGCATTGTCTGACTGCACATGCGCAGAAATATTTTGCTGGCCAGCGATCCACATCAATGATGGACGTCATACCGCTACCAAATCTTCAGCTCAGGATTGGTTGCGCATTTCGGAAGTGACGTACGAACGCCAATCACAACTTGGGTCATATCGAGTACTGCCTTGAACATCAATCGTCATATGACCCATTCTATCGAGTCCACAAAGCTTGAGCCATATTTGTCTGTGCAAAAGTAGTTCCGTGGAGTGAGTGTGTGCAGATAGTCATCACAGTTTTTGGGACCTGAAAATACTCTCACACTACACCTCAAAATGTCTGCTGAGAACCCGATCTATGGACCCTTCTTTGGAGTTATGGGGGCAGCGTCTGCTATCATCTTTAGCGGTATGGATTCTCTACTTTTTCTGATTGAAATGGATGTCCAGCCTCGATATCGATCGTTCACTTTTTGTTACTATAATTGTACATTTTTGGATCTCTAAAAGCCTATTCAGAATTTTTCATGTTGTGATGCCCCGTTTAATCATAAAGTGAGTCTGGACATGTTATTTTCGGCATCCTAAAATTAGTATTAGCCGCACCTAGCGCCATACGTTGGCTTCATACAAATAAACGCATTAAACATACTTGCTTGCCATAGTTTTGTTTAAACTGCGTTTTGTGCAATACAGAAAGATAATTTATATTTTGAGTAAATCCTAGTCTGCATGAATACCAGAATACTGTGAATCATTGGTCATGTGATTAATATCTTTATGACGTTGGTTGTGCAGCACTGTACGAATGTATACACTTGCTATAGTTACCTACTTATGTTCCTACTGAAATGTAAAATAGATTCAACAGCTTCTTATGTAGCATTCAGCATTTGACGGCGTCAAGCGGCAAATTTCTAGGTAATTTTAAAAGACCGTCTTTTAATTAAGGTCTGTAACATGGTTGCTTTTCATGTGACATGTTTGGAAATATGTATTTCATGTTTGTCCCTAAGTTATTTACCAGTCAGATGATACACAAATTGGATCCACTCTATAAACAACATAACATGAAAAACATGTGACATGTAGAAAAGTAGCAACATACCTAAAAAGCTATGACTTCTGTATTAACATACAAAAGTCATGCTTTGAAACTGGATTAATTGATATTGGGAAACTATGTAACTGATTGAGAAGGGTTAATAAGGCAAGAATCTAGATAAAATTACCATCACATGATGGGTCATGTGATACAGTCAGCTGGTTAAGCCATGACTTAACCTAGTACTTAAATATTTTATTATCATTTGCATTTAATAACATACTCTATCAACATAATTGTAATAGCAAAACACTTTTTTCAATTCCATTTAAATACCATGATTCTATAATGTTCCATACTTCCAGGACTTGCATCATATGATTTCATAACTCTTATTTTCCATTCTATGTCTGCTATTTTCATATATTCCACAGAGAATGTTATGTATCATTATACAACATTCTATTTCATAAATTGTCAGTAAAGTTATAGAAATCCTATATTATACAAAAATTCGATGTTTGTACCTCACGGTGGATATACTGTGTGGAATTACTTTTTGGTATAGAATACCACTATTCTTACATTTTGAAAGATTGTCATATCCAATCATAAAATTTCCTATACAGTTGGATACATGGAAGGAGTAAAGTTGTTGAACTTGTTAAAACCTTGTCTTGTAGTTTGATTTCATTTGAAGACTAATTCTTTCTGTGAAATTGTCTTATCTCACATGACAATTTCCTAAATCCATTATGATGTGTAACTTTTCACATGTCGTGTGTCTTATGTGCTTTCAGCGCTGGGAGCGGCCTATGGCACGGCCAAGTCAGGCACAGGTATTGCCGCCATGTCGGTAATGCGGCCTGAGCTGATCATGAAGTCCATCATCCCTGTCGTCATGGCGGGTATTATAGCCATCTATGGACTGGTAGTGGCTGTACTGATTGCTGGAGCGTTAGAATCCCCATCCTCCTACACCCTATACAAGTAAGTACTTTTTTCCATTATCTTTTGCTTGTAATTTTCTATCTTTTACCAATATTTTCTAGTTAGACAGATTTGTGTACATTATTCTATCACAAAGGTTATAATTATTTACTAGAAAACACTGCAGTATTATATTTTTAACTATATAGTTCTAGTTACCCCAAGTGTTAAAAATTTGCATAAACTGACAAGTTTATATCGAAAATGCTAGTTTTTGGCCCTTAATTTTCTAACTATACAATTTATTAGAAAACTGAGTAACTTAGATATGTGTTTGTAAATTTTTTATTTTATATAGATTTATTGGCATACATATTAAAATTAAAAATGTCGTGCATGAAAAGAGCGTGCTTGCGGACTATACTCTTAGCACTCCAACACCAACAATATCCATGTTTTTTGTTGCCCAATACCTTTCTCCCAGATCGTCATACATTTTGATACCTGCAAGTTTCATCAATAAATAATTACAGCCAAAGTGATGGCATATCTTGAGGTCCATGATGTTTGATGATAAGAACTTTCAGAGCTATTATGTGTCATCACTATACCTAACCTTGACAATAATTACAATAGCTCAGCAAACCTCAAGGTTACAATGATTTGTTAGAATAAAAATAGAAGCAGTATTTTTATCTCTTTCTAACCATCAAATAAATTTCTTAGTTTACCTGGTATATAGCAGCATTACCTTTTACCTGCATAGTCTAGTTTCTTCTACTGCTAGAAGTCAATCAATTTATTATACTATAGTTATATAAATTTATAATGTAAAATTATCACTTTGCTGTGTATTTGTGTAAGGCTATTATACTTCATTATTTTATACAAAATCAGTTATACTTGAGATTGGTCTAATATAAATTTTCCTTTTAAGTTTTGCTGGAAAAAAATATGGAATTTGAGGTTTTCTTTAGAGAGAAATGTAAATGAAGTAGCAATCATAAAGTATACCATATGTGTAAACAATTAGTGTGTGTCAATAACGCAACCTATCAGTGCAAACACTTGCTATGATTGTAATATTTTAAAATATTTTATTTTGTTTTTTACAATTACATTTTTTGCTTTGAGAGTGAAATGTAACATGTAGTAGATAAGATACAACACATATAATAAGACCTCTTATTATGATAAGAATTGTAAATATCTCAAATGTTGTTCTTCAGTAACTCAGAAAAATATAAATAGGTGTTGATGTATTAAACGGTAACCTATCACAAACTCAAATTTTCTTTTCCGAAATAATGTTTGTTCGAAATGTCATTTCGAACTACTGATAGGTAACCGTATGAAACAATACATTTTTTTACTCTGCTTCAGGAAAGAATCGAATGTGTTAAGTATACAGTCTATATTTCATGTGCAGAAGTAAGACTTAAATATCTGTTTTCTTTTTCAGAGGGTTCATCCACCTGGGTGCTGGATTGGCTGTCGGTTTCTCGGGTTTGGCGGCCGGCTTCGCCATAGGTATCGTGGGTGACGCCGGTGTCCGCGGTACCGCCCAACAGCCCAGATTATTCGTCGGAATGATTTTGATCCTCATTTTCGCCGAGGTGTTGGGTCTATACGGTCTCATCGTTGCTATCTATCTTTACACGAAACAGTAAATCTGCACTACACTTCTCCCGTCGCCTGTGCTCCGAGCTTCTATGCCACTGAATCTGCTCAGTCGAGTCGCGCACAGGGAGTTGTCCCCGGTAGCGAAAAAGAAAAACACCGCATAGGGTCTCGGAGCACCTTACCATCGTATATATAATAGCTTGTTGAGTATTAAAACGCCAGTTATTTATATATTTGGCCGTATGGCTCCGGCCCGGCGCGGTCTTGATGCTGCGGCCGCATCGCGCCCTGAGCCTCGGTCTCTTAAACTTTTTTTCTATAACAATTTTATAAGAATAATCACGACTTCCAATCATGATTTCACCGCTACCGGGCGATGACAGTGTAATTTATATTTTAATTTATTTCTGCCATTTTTATTTTCGGTGACAGGAGAACATTGCTGCCCTTAACATATCAGTTTTGTTGCGCGTTCACATCCCCTCGCAAAAGATTTTTCATAACATCTGATGATATCACTTTTAGATTATTTTAGCATTAAGGCGAAACTAATGTACAGTTAGAGTAGAAATTTAAGTCAAAACAAGTTATCTTAAATAATTTATGAACCGTTAATCCCCCACGGTACTGTGTACTGTTTTTGCTGAGTATGTGAAGATTAAACCTGGCTTAAGGACTACTTGCTATCTAGCTTTCAGTGTTATAATGGACGTATGTAATTACTTGTATTATTACGAGCCTGTAAATGTTACACTATTCTCCCTGAGTGACATACTAGGAAAGCGAGTCACAAACATTGTATTGCCAGGAATCAGTAAATAAACATGATTTGTACATTCCATATTATTTTGTTTCTACTTAATTGTTCTGTGTGTTTTATTTTCCTTCTCGAACTTTGGTAAGCGAAATACATTTACATATTAAAAATATTAGATAGACAGATGCTTTCATGACATAGTATACAGCATTGTCTTATATCAAGTTATCTATATTCCCTAATTATAATATACATTTCTGACGACTTACTATATGAAATATAATTCAAATATATTTATTCTGTATACTTCATAGTCGAAATGTTTGAATGATTATTATAAATTGGTAAGTAATACATACTAGGTAAAATTGTATTTTATTTTAGGTTTCATGTTAGAGAATGTTATAATCTTTGGTGTTAATGAATGAATTGTGTTAATAAAATATTTTGAAAACAACTGCAAATTATAATTATGACTTGTGTGTTTTAGTTGGAACTGTTTGTTTTGATTTGTCTCGCAAAAAATTTGGCAACATTTCGCACACCTCGCTGAAGAATGGCATAAGTGGAGTCACGTCAAAAATCTTTATTGCTCCATTATATACATAAAAATATAACCCACATCTCCGATTGTAACTTTATCGACAATATTAGTCGATAGAGTTGCGAGAACTAGAGAGGATGATGTGGGTTATATTTTTTCTGTGTCTAATGGAGCAATAAACATTTTTGGCGTAACTTCACTTATGCCTTTCTTCCATGAGGGATGTGATTTGTCACTAGAAATTTTATCATGGGATATCTAAGGCCTCTATGCAACAAATACTTCCCAATTCCGGAGTCAGAATTATACCAATGATGTCGTCTCTGTCTGTTTTTATTATAGGTATACTACATACACTACCGAAATTATAGAAATCCTTTGTGGGCAAGTTACAAAATTCTCAACTCACCACATTCTCATCTTGCCACGTTGACCACAGGAGCTTTTGGGAGTCGCCTGAATATTGTTTGGTGGCCACATGGTGCATTTAAGCGCAGTGCTTAAGTTTAGTAGTAGTGAAACTATTTTAGAAAGCGGTCCTCACCGTACCAATGGGCCGCGTAAGAACTACGCCTTTAGAGCTAACATCATAAATCATATAGCTTTCGTTATCTCGTGACTATTGCCCATGTTATTTGACATATTAGGTTCACCAAAAAGCCTCGTCAATGTTCTGCTTGTGTAATCTGATTTTCTATCATGCATCATGAATAATGATTTAAAAAACCAAATCTGACCCGGATTTCCGGCGGGTAATGTAGGTATTCAAATGGTATTAAAGCATTTAATGTTTTTCATCGTAATATTAGATGACGTAAATCGATAGATCTGAATGTTACCTTTGAGTTCATCTTAAAGGGTACCAAGTACTTCGCAGCAGACAAGATCAGTAGGAGGTAGTGAAAGCTGTATCCGCATACACCCCACCCGATCAGGGCCCTAGTGGTACGAGACGAGTGTGGCGATGCAAGTCGGCAGATTGGGATAAAATGCGATATTTTTTTGCTGCATATCTCTGGCAAGCTTGCTTTTCTTCAGGAGACTCGTCGAGCTGTGCTGATGCTATAGTCGAGGTTCTGCGTTTGGGTATGGAATATTACATACTTTATTCTGATGTACCCAATAGACCCCAAACTCGTCCTTGGTTTAGCGCTGACTGTAGACGAGCTGAAGCACTAAAATAGTCGGCGTACCAAGCTTTGGCAGATGCTCGACTGCGCAAAGCTCCGAGTACTCGGAATCTGAAGAAAGCTTTTAATAAGGCCGCCAAGAAGGGCAAAAGACAGTGACGCAGGGCAAAGTTCGACCATGTGCGCCGCATAGGGGCCAAATTTAACACTTTTCCAGCAGGCAGCAAGTCTTTGGTTCCTTGCCAAAGTGGTCGAATATAACTTTTGCCACCCTTCCTTACCACCTCTGCTGAGGCCGGATAGCTCGCTGGCTCATACTGCGGAAGAGAAGGCGAATCTTTTTGACTTATTCTTTGCAGAAAATTCACGTCTCAAAAGTGTCGCAGGGAACCTACCACCTTCTTTACCTCACACTGGCTGCAGTGTGGCGCCAGTTCGCTTACGCCAAAAAGAGGTACTCGGAACTCTGCGAAGATTAGACGTGAATAAAGCCAGCGGGCCAGATGGGATTCCAGCAATAGTCCTGCGTAAGTGTGCGCCAGAGTTGTCTCCTGTTCTCACACGCTTGTATCGCTTCTCACTTGAGACTGGTATAGTTCTCTGGTCAAACGTGCAACCCTGTGCCCAAAAAAAAACAAAACGGAGCTGACCTACCATCGACCTATCTCAGTCACCTCCATACTCGGCTGCAAGACTATGGAACGTGTACTTAATAACCGTCTCCTGTCGTACTTTGAATACAACGACTTCCTCAGTGATCGCCATTACGGATTCCGACGAGGGCGTTCTACTGGGGATCTTTTTGTATACGCATCTCATCTATGGAGCGAGGCTATAGAAAGACATGGCGAAACCTTTGCAGTGTCTTTAGATATCTCTAAAGCCTTTGAGAGGGCCTGCCACGCAAACCTTTTAAAAAGCTTCCCTCTTATGGACTTTCCCACTGACCTTTGCAATTGGATTTCGGATTTCTTGAGTGAACGTTCGATTCGAGTGGTCTTAGAAGGCTACTTTTCGAAGGTGAACATCGGGCAATAGATCCTCAGGGTTCCGTACTGTCCGCAACTCTATTTCTGCTGCATATCAATGATATGTTAATTCCAGGTGCCTTTAGGTATGCTGATGACAGCACATTTGTAGACGGGTACTTGACCAATGAAAGGGTCAGTGGAGAAGAAATCCAGTCTTGTCGAGAGTCCATGGTTAGTCGCTTGAATTTGACACTTATTTGACGCTTCAGACGAAACGTTTCGCTTCCACATTTATATGGCGAGCGGTTGGAGAGTGGAATTCCCTACGTGCGGACTTATTCCCCGAACGCTATAACTTGGACCTTTTCAAGGCGAGAGTGAATAGGCATTACTTAGGTGTGCATGCCACATCGTCGACCTCATCATCACTTTCCATCAGGTGAGATGGAGGTCAAATGCTCACTTATTTTTTATATAAAAAAAGTCTTGTGCAAGAGCGACATAATCGCGAGATTATACGAAAATATCTGTATCTCGCGCAAGTTGCTCCCTGTCGTGCTAGCCCTACAGATCCTAATTGAACGCGAATACGCGAACGCGCGAATTGACGATGCGGTCATCGCGCAAACAAGAAGCGGGTGTGTGAGTATCTTAGAAGAGGATGGAAAAAAAATAAGAGTATAGTGTTCCGTAGAATGGTCGGTGTTCTGTCATAGAAGAATAAGAACTTCTGTGGTTGAGAGCCACTGGATTTTGGCTAGCATCATTTTTTTTGCTTGATAAGTCAGAAAGCGACAAAGACATTATAGGCTATACTACTATTACGTTGTCTATGCTACTCTATTTTTTCTTGCAGCGTTTTTAGTAAGCGAAACAAATGCACAAAAGTCATTAATTTTTCTGTTTGAAATTGCTATGTCGGTTAATTTTGTTTGTACTGTACAAAAGTTAAAAATTGCTATTTCTTGTCGGTTTAAAAATGTTGTATGCGCATTACTTTCATGCTTAGTTAGCCTGATGTGATTTACGTGTATTTGCTAACGAATTATGAAAAAAGATGAGTGACAATATTAAAGTAGTTGTCAAAGTTAGGCCGTTGATTTCTCGTGAAATTGACGAGAAATTATCATATCAATGGCGCGTAAAAAGTAATACATTATACCAACTTGATCAGAATGAACGAGAGATCGGCACCAGATACACTTTTGGTAAGTAGAAGTTTTAGCGAGGTTACCTCTTGAGATCTATTGTAATTCTAGTATAGTTTGATTGTCCACGAAAACGTCATCAAAACGAAGGTCACTGTGTGTACATAAACTACAGTCAAGTATCTATAGTACGTATTATTAAATATATTAATCAAACTTTCTAAAAAATACCATCTTGTTTAATTACACTTACTATATACTAGCATAATATACTTACTACTTATTTTAGACAAAGTTTATGATGAAGACACTAAAACCACGGAGGTTTTCAATGATATCGCTAAACCAATCGTGGAAGCAGCAATATCTGGCTTCAATGGAACAATATTTGCCTACGGGCAAACTTCTTCAGGGAAGACATACACCATGTCTGGTACAGACGAGTCGCCTGGTATCATTCCGATGGCTGTGTTACATTTATTTGAAAGAATAAAAGCTATACCTGATAGAGATTTTTTAGTTAGGTAAGTATAATAGAATGCTTGGTACTTCATATTTTTCTATGATTTTGACTAAGACGTGATTATTTACAACATATTACTAACGTCATTCTTATTTATAAACTTCGGGTTTAATAAGACATAAATAGGTATAAGTCCTTTGCAAACAACTCCAGTCATTTAAGTGTTTTGAGTCTTTTAGTATAACGACTGAGATTTATTAATAAAAACTCGAACCCCCAGTCTTCATTTTAGAGTCGACTCCTGTAAAATGGAATCGAGTCGTTATAAAACGCCTTAAAAGACTGAGTCTTTCACCACTAGTGTTGAAATATGTTTGCCTAGAAGTGAGAAATGTTGTCACATCTATTTTCTGGCAGAATCACAATTGTTTCTGTTTTCACATAGATTAAAGCTGTTATGTCACTATTTAGTGTAAAAGTCATAACCCTTATTTCAGAGTATCGTACATAGAAATCTACAATGAAGCTTTGAAGGATTTGTTGAAGGTTGATAAGAAGAACATTAAGATCCATGAGACTCTTCAGGGGGTTAAAGTTGACGTCACTGAACGGGTCACAAGTTCACCCGAAGAAGTGCTTGATTTTATGAAAGAGGTTTGTGGGGAAGACATTTTTAGCTAAAAACAAATTTGTGCTCATATTCATTTATTCTAAGCTCTGAGATCCTGTGCATTCGCTATAAACGTAGCTCGTACACATTCAGGTTTTAGACTCAAGGTGAACAGTTTTTTTATGGTATTAAGTGACTGGATGAACAAGTAAGGCAAGTTTACTCCATGTGGTAACCGACATTCTCACTCATAACTACTGCAGTACCACTCAGAACTTTATATTGCAAACATCTGAGGTGCACCAGCAATGCACCCGTCATCCTGAGCATTAAAGTTGACTAGTACCATGTTTAGAGAACCTAAACATATTGTAATCCGAAATTCACTTACCTAGACAGCACATAATATTGTGGAATTTACTTATTGTATTGCAACATGGAAGGTATTTTTTTATGACATTATTACAAGATTTTGTTATGAGTATTTATACGGCATAATGAGGGAATCTAGACCTCTAACAGTCATCACTTAGTCTTCTTCTGTGTCAAATTGTTATATACAAGTATTAAAAGAATGCTTCAAATCAAATAGAATCAAATCATTTACTGTGTATGCACGTCTATAAGATCTTATTTAACATTGTTGTGTCAGTATGTATTGCCAATTTTACGGCATACAATTTACATAATTAAATTAATTTAACAGTATACTACTTCATTTTAATTACAAAATGTCAAATCTTAATTTTAATTTAAATTCTTAATTATATTCATGTCATTATTTTGTGGTGGTTAACTATTATTCTATGGTCTTGTGATTTAAGTAATCTCTGACTTTATAATATGCTTTCCCAGTCAATAAATTAAATAATCGCTTTTTAAAATTGGCATGTCGTTAGTCTCAAGTATATAATTAGGCAGCTTAGTGTATAGTTTTGGCGCCATTGCACAAATATTATCATGAAAGAGGGTAGTCTTACAGGCAACCAGTTTCAATTTATTGTGTCTTCGTGTACTTTCCACCTTGCTAAAGAGTGTGAGATTTCTTCGAACAAAAAGAACCGTTTCAAATATATGTATTAATAATCTCAGTTTTTGAAATTGCGGTATACAGCTGCACATACGGCACAACCCACAAATTGCCCAAATGCATCAATTTTTTGTGCAATCACCACGTCCCATGCTTCACACGCTTCACACACGTCAATGCTTCGTTCTTTGTAGATTTCATCGCTCCAGTAGTGATCTGTGATCCACTACAAGGCCAATAGAATTTTGTGGCCCAAAGTTTATGTATCAAAACAAAGTAGGAAAATGTAAAGAGGAGATATCAGAGTAGCTAACTACCATTGCTGCCGTCCACTAACTAAAATCCGGCTAAGTGACAAATGGTCATATATCCGTTTTAAATAGAAAAAAATAGAGCACAAAATTCTCTTTTAAAAGCAGTTAAAATTAGTTAACGTGTTCGGCTTATCGGAACACTTTTTTTTTTTTTTTTTTTTTTTCGGAACCTACCCTAACGATGCATAATTGCATAGCTGAAGTATCATTAAACAATTTCAATAGGGTGACGGCAGATTGGTTGCTGGAACATAGCTCCGCTCCTCTTGGGTCGATGTTAAAACTAAATTTAGCTGATTATGTTATTCAATATAATATTAGAGAACTTCAAAAGTTGGAATTTTTAGGGATTTTTCAATTTGTAAATGCCGCAAATATAGATGCTAAGTCATTCATACATATATTGTACATTTTGAATAATTGACATCTATAAATATTATTGTAATTACAGGGAGAAGCCAACAGACAAACTGGTGCTACAAATATGAATGATGAGAGTAGCAGATCTCATTCCATTTTCCAAATAGTAAGTTATGTTTATAGATATGTCATGCTCATTGACCTACCAACAAATGGACATCGGGTCTAATACAGAAACCACGAAAAAAATGTCAGAGGTTAACCTATACAAACGTAGTGACATGTAACGAAATATAAAAAACTAAAACATTTAATTTAAATTGTAACGTAATTGCAGTACTGCCTAAATTTGCTTACAACAATTTAAGGGCCCAAAAACACCATATTCAGCTTCTACTGGAAACTTAACAAAATGCACCATATTTAGCTTCGACTGAAAATTACTTGAACACAAGAATAATGGAATAGCCTTTCTCGTAAATATTAATAATTTTTTATATATATATTATTATGTCATATTTTGTACAAATTCACTTAAAGGTATAATAAAGAGTTGGGCAGATACATACATACAAATATTACTACATATGTGAAAATAAGCGTGTACTATAAGAAATGTACCGATATTCTAACTAAACATAAACTCAGATATCCGTAAATCCGATTTATAACAAAACCGTTACGCTTTCCAGTAATTTTGATGTTTTTTATATAGACAAAATTAGCTTTTGTTTTGTAATCTTCGTAAAAACACATAATGAAAATTCGAGCTAATGTTATTTCGGGCAAATGTATTTTCTGACTTCTGATTGGTAATCCCATGCCGTAAAACGAGTACAACAATATTTTGTTAGTTATTGCTAACGTTTAATAAAAAAATCATTTTAAAAATAGGAGTACAATCAAAGCAACTCTACAGTTTCTTTGTTCTCAATATTTCAATCGCTTGTGGTTCGACCAATTGAAAATGACCAAGAAGTTTATATAAGCTTCTTGAAACTGACGTAATGGGTCTCTTTCTCGTTCGTAATTTATATTTACGATTCAGTTATATATAAATTAAATACTATAAAACTGTACAAAATAACACTTTTAAATGACAACTATGATAACACTATATATTTGTTTAGTGAAAATATGGTACAAAATCCTGTTTTCACACTTTACTGCAGTAATTTTTACAAGTTATTATTATTGGTACTGCATGATTGGCAACCGCGCTGTCACTCGAACAAACGAAGACTATTGCTCGATTGACGCTCTGTATGCGAGTTTAACGCCCTACAGGTGCGGACACTTTTCAGCGCGAACCCAACGTCCATTTATTGGTAGGTCAATGGTCATGCTACTTATATTAGTCATCACTAGATCTACAAAAAGTTAGCAACTCGGTATACCTAGCTTTTATTTTTAAGCCACAATAATGGTTTCAATGTTACAAACAAGTGACACGACTCCTCTATGCGTTTGTTATGAACAGTAATCGGAATTGAGGGAGCTAATTTACCTAAAGTATGAATGTTTTCTTAGTATGGACACACCCATTTCGTCATTAATTCATATACAATTTCTTTTAAATGGCTTAATTTAGTTAAATACGTATAGTACTTATAGAAACATAACTGCGATGTTATTTTTGAGACAATGATTTGTAGCAAATACTTAATGGGAAATAATAATTTTAAATAGAAAACTACCGTGAGATTCGGACATATTAACGAAAATAACGGATTCTCACGTATTTAAGTCGAATTTTTGCTCGACATATTCCGAACCAATTCGTGATCCTTAATCATGAGATTCCACGGCGGTGACTCGACGGAAACTGCGCGCCAAAGCCCTGGCAGCCCAATCACTCAGTACATTTGTGGGCGCAGGCGGCGTCGGCGAGAAACTACCCTAGTTTGCTTCTTTTTTATTAAAGTTGTACGCAGGATTGCACACTACACTAACAACGTAGTGTAATCGGGCTGCCAAGGAATCTCATGATTAAGAACCAGGAATTGATTCGAAACACGTCGATCAAAAATTCGACTTAATTACGTGAAAAAATAATTTGTCGCCAATGTACTCAAATTTCAATAAATTAAATGCGTATTCAATAATAAGTTCCGAGAAGTCCAGGGATTTGTAGAACAGAATGTCCACATTATTCTTTAGTTTACCTAATTATTTTAAATTAACTCTCTCAATTCTGATCACTCATTATGAAGAAAAAATCAAATACAAAGATCTATAACAAACACGTAGAAAAATTCGTAAGATCTGCTGACTCAACCTGTAGATCATTTCGCAGACTATCGCCCTGTTTTGGCGTGGTTACACGTTCGAATCCTGTCAGGTCGAAGGAATTTTTCTTTGTGTTCGATCTCTGTATTAATAATTATAACAAATGGAGGATTACAATGGTATCTATAATTATACTTATTGTTATTATAATTCGGGTGGCTGCATTCAGGGCCTATGCGACCCCTCATCTCTGCGACCATCAACTGATCTATTGTAATCACCATTAATTGTAGTTTGGTTATAGTTCACTAATTATAGGCAAAGGCAACAGCAATAAAGAACTGAACAACTTTCCTGGCTTCGACAGTTTTTATGTCCTTTGATTGTGGCCTGTTCCCCCTTAATAGTTATACTTACTTATGTTTAAGTGATATGTATGAAATCGTTGGCATGCCTGGTATTTGATACAACAGTTATAAATATATATTTGTGATTGAATTTCAGACAATAGAGTCTCGTGAGCATGTAGAAGGTGAAAAAGAAGGGGGATGTGTTAATGTATCACAACTCAACTTGGTGGACCTAGCTGGTTCCGAAAGAGCCGGCCAAACGGGAGCCACAGGCCTCAGGTTCAAGGAAGGCACACACATCAATAAGTCACTATCTGTGCTAGGTCTTGTCATCAAACAATTGTCAGAGGACCCTAACAAGTACGTAATTCATGAAATTAATTTGTGTTGTCGATTTTATGACTCGCAGTTATACGCCAACTGATTATCATTAGTTACAGGTTTCTTACCATGGTATGGTTCATTATTTTCCTGATATTTCGGATCACCCGAAAACTCGGGGAAATAGTAAGAAGTCCCTGGGCGTTGATTCAGAACCCTACGATAACTCTGTTGTCGACCGATTCGATTTGATATCGTACGATTACTTTTAGTTTTTATTCACAACACCCGAATTGAACGTCAAACTGTGGTATTCGAATCCGAATCCAAATAACGTGACACCCATACGGTTACTCGAGCTTCTCGACCGGCAAAGGCTACAAACGTTATTCAGAACTCAGTTATCGAATATCCTATTATTTACATAGCAAGAATGTAATATAGAAATCTCTTATTATTTTAAATAAAGTCTGGATTTTGTTCAATTTTATTAATTTATTTTAACGCAAGACTATTGCATTCCTATATTTTAGGCATTCAAAGTCTTAAAAATGTATATAAAAGGAATTCCATTTTTCTTATAATCTGTTTCACCGATTAACTCTGTAAACGTTGTTAGATAATGATATCATATCCGAATCCGAGTCGAACGTTTAACTCGAGTATTCTGAATAGCTCGGAAAGCGCCCTTCGATTCGAGAACTATATCCAATCGGACGTTTCGGTTAAAATATCGAAGAGTACTGAATCGGGGTCCTGATAAGATACATATAACTACTGGTATCATTTACATTTATGTTGCTATTTAAGTTTTTTTTATGACACGGCTATTATTTATTTATTTATTTATTTATTTATTTCATACATACATCTATTTTTACAGGCTAAACCTAATACAATAGTGTAGCATATCAAAGACATGAATAATTACTATACATAACTAAAAATAATATAATAATGATTGAATTAAAAACAATTAAATTATATCCAATTTCTACTGAAGTATATAGCCAATAATATTTAACAAATTTAACTAGGAACTAAGTAACAATAGTGTTGTCCTCATGAATTCGCTCTGAAAACAAGTAAAAATGTCTATTTCATCCGCTACTCGATTCAGTGTATGAATGGTGCGAGTAAGGGGTGCCTTGTTGAGCAAATTTGTCCTACCTCGCGGTATTATTATGGGTATCTAAATTTTCTCCTCTCCCATGGTTCAAACTAAGTTTAGAATTTTTAAAATGAGAGAAGCGATATTCCCAGCTGTTGCACAGTCGACTAGAGTCAGGAACTAAGTTTCAAGAACTAGCGGACGACACGTGCCGTAACGAGCAGCACCGCTTTCAGCGTTCGTGCTGGAAGAGACACCCCACATCATTACTAATTGTTGGCTTATTCAAAACCAAAACCTCTGCTGCCCTTATCACTACTGCAACTGATTACCATTAATTACAACTTTAAGTTAAGACCTACAAAATTAAAGAGCTATAAGGTTGTTTGTTTGTTAGCTTCACTTTACCTCCTAAAGTTGGGCCATACGTTCGCCGAGGCGTGAGTTTCATTACGGTGTTGGCTAAGGAAATATACAGACGTCAGATACCCTTAATATCAGAATTAATTGTTTACTTTCTGCAAATAACTGCTTGTATTGAGTATTCTGCCCTCTTAACGAAAAAAGCGCAACTATGCGTACTTTATACAGCAGTTGTGCCTTTTTTCGTTCCGAGGGCAGAATATGTAATCTAATGTTATTTGATTTGTGTATACCATAGTTTCCCAAAGTGACCCCTATCGCCCAGTGGGCGCTGAACAGTCCTAGGGGGTAGGGGCCTCGGAAGCAATTGGGGGGCGTTCAAGCTGCTCTGGACGTGCTACCGCAATTAAAAAAGATACCTGAATTATCTACATGAACTTTCGCTATAAATATATGTATATATATTTTTATCTAGTGTTTTTTTGTGTTAATATATAAATACGTGTTTTCTAAACTTTTTTTTATTTTGCCTCAGTTTGAGTCAAAAAGTTTGGGAACCTGTGGTCTAAACAGTTCCCTACTTTCATTGAAACAGAATTATTTATTATTTATAAAGAGCAACACCTAGAGTTTCATACTCACACTTCTTCCTTACGTAGTGTAAAATCAATGTTACGATTGCACGTGTAATTTGCTTACCTATGAAATAAATATATCGCACAGTTGATACAATAGTGTATTAACTCAAAAAGTGTATTTTTTCAGAAACGATGTAAAACGAATTACTCCCTTCGTAAAATTTATCTATAGGTTAAAGTTTATCACAGACATCTAATCTATTTTTCGTCATCATAAATATATGTAAATTAAATAAAAGGGAATAAACTATTTCATATTTTTAAGTAAGGAATGTTTTGGCCAGAACTAGCTCACATAAAGTTTGTCTCATTTTAAGTTAAATAGATATCTTTCAATTGTTTTTTACAATATTCTAAGGACTGTTTTATTGACGTGTAGTGAATAGAATTTTAAGTTCAGAGATGATAGTTCTGAATTTCACATATTTTGAGTTACAACACTGTTGTATAGCAGTACGATATGTTGATTTTTTTTAAACTTGTCTTTTAATTTTGTTGAATATTACTTATTTGACAGTAATTGTTTCGGACGGATGTCGGACGGAGATCGAGAGTAGACCCCCTATTTCCTTGTGTTGAGATGTAAACTATTATATTATTATTTCAGATACGCAAACTATCGTGACAGCAAACTCACTCGTATACTACAGAACTCCTTGGGAGGCAATGCTAAAACGAGCATTATTTGTGCCATTACACCAGCTTCTGTTGAAGAAACTATATCTACTTTACAGTTAGTATAAATTACACCATCGCAATCTCCTCTAAAATACATTCAGTAGGCAGTAGTAACAAATACAACCTCCGAATATGACTAGTAGTGTGGCCAGGGAATTTTTAGTCGAAAATTACACTTCAGTACCTGAGAAGTTAGTAGAATTTCCAGTTACATATAATCTCAAAAGTTACGAAAATTGCCTTAATAAAGTTACTTATATATTACACTAGCGGGTTGAAATTCTAACAGAACTGGAGACTAGCTTTGCAGCGAGCTGTACTTAAACGGCACTACCTGCATTGGTCGTCTGCCGCACAGGCAGAAGACTGCTCACACACTATCCTGTGTGGCCCTATGGCCCACGTATGGAATCTAACAGGACGCATTGCAGTATTGCAGGAAGGCTTGCACGCTACGACCACATTCATACTCCTGCATTACGTGGTGGACGGCAAAGCGGACTGCAATGCGGGATAATGAATGTTCCCTTTGAAATACAATTATTGCTTATTATGAAAAAAAAAACGTACTACACAGATGATATATAACCAGTTAATACAAAATATGTAAAATTCCTAACTTGCAGATTCGCAAACAGAGCGAAGGCAATAAAGAACAAACCAGAAGTGAATGCAGTGGCAACAGACGCCACTATGATACAGGGATTGACCAAGCAGCTGTCCAAATTGCAGGCACAGCTTGAAAGCAAGAAAAGCATTGAGGTATGTACCTTATTTGAAAAACAAGTATTTTTAGAATGAAGATCTTTATAAAAGTGTGATACTATATGTTTTACCCTTGTAATAGGGCTTGATTTTTATTCTTTTGTATCCTGTAATCTTTAATATTCCAAGATAACGCGATGATGATGAAATAAGATCATAACGATTGATTTACACTACTTCTATGCAGTAAAAACCAAGCGCGAAATGTCGTCACGTTCCCAAAACTCTGTCACCTAACTTCTTTTTTATGCGTTTCTTAAGCGTCTCAAGATATTAACACTATTTGTTTTTGTAAGTGATTTACATGGTTAAATTAATGTTTACACTTTTCTTTTTGTAAGTTTCTTTTTACTCTGCAATAATTTATTGTGCATTTAGTGTCGGTCTATAATAGATTGTGCACTTAGTTTTAAGTTTTTTGCATATATGTTTTCTGATCCTTTATTGGTGTAACAACTTTCTGTAATAAAAATTATTTTAAATTCTTTATTAATAACTATAAGGGTGCTGGTGAAATTAAAAGCACACGATAGTTATCGACTTATGTCTCAGTGCGACGGGCGCAGAGACACTGCCCCTCAAATCTTTGCGATTTAAACCTCTGAGTGGCACTGGAACTGCTGTGGACAGACGTGTCGCTTACCACCAGGTGCAAAACTTGTTCGTACCGTCTCTGGGGATCATAAAAAAAGACTGCACGTTTCACCTCCACTCGAACCGGCGACACGAAGCTGGCTTAAGGTGCTTCCGTGCCGATAGATGTGGTGATTCCCTTATTATTGTTACAGCAAGACAACGCAAACCTTCAAAAGCAGATAGCAGGACTGCAGAAGTTGATACTCAATGGATTTGCACAAAATAGTACTATACTTAGCAACACCCGCCGTAAACTTCAACAGCCACGCAGAGTCACTATACATTCTACATTACATACTGTCGATGAAGATTCTGAAATTATTCCTACAATACCTAAGTTTTGCACACCTGGACTAAAGTACAAGTAAGTGCTTTTCTTTATATAATCGTAGCCCAGCCTTGGCGAGATTAAAGAGTGAAGTCTCGGTCCACATAAAAATTAAAGGAAGGGGTATAAGGGGAACAGGAAGCTTGTAACAAAATACAATGATATAAAAAAACAGGTATCTACAATAGTATAAAACACTCCCTTACAACCATTGACCTACTAACAAATGGACGTGGGGTTCGCGCTAAAAAGTGTCCGCACCTATAGGGCGTTAAAATCGCTAAAGTCTTCGTTTGTTCGACTGACAGCGGGGTTGTCAATCATGCAGTACTAAGAGTACTAAAGCATAATAATAACTTGTAAAAATTACTGCAGTAAAGTGTGAAAACAGGATTTTGTATCCTATTTTCACTAAACAAATATATTGTGTTATCATAGTTTTCATTTAAAAGTGTTATTATGTACAGTTGAATATTTAATTTATATATAAATGAATCGTAAATATAAATTACAAAAACAAACAAAATAATCAAATAGCTAACTGTCCTTTTTCTATATATTACATGCGCAAAAGATGGAAAGAGACCCTCTGCGTTCATTTCAAGAAGCTTATATAAACTTCATGGTAATTTTACGCTGATCTATCTTTATTGGAACAAGCTTGATATTAACAATATCCTTATAATTTACAGTCCATTAATAACACCCGGCTCGTCAGATTTCGTGCCTATCCAGAACGCGAAGAAATTGGCTCCCGTTCCAGAAGAATCTGGCTCTAGACTGGTGACGCCGCCACCACGGGACAAGAACATTAATTACGATGACGAAATTATTGATCTTGGTAATGTATTTAAATCAAGACTTACATAATTATGAACACAATAATCGAACACAAAGAAAAATTCTTTCAATCTGGCTGGACTCGAACCAGCTCTTTTGCCTTACCGGGCGTAACGCTCTCCCAACTGAGCTACGGAACGAACCAGCAGACCTTACGAATTTCTCTATATGCTTGTTGCAGATCTTTGTGTTTGGTTTTTGAGATATGTTTATTCTGCGTTTCTATCACTTTGCTTTCTGATTAGTTGTTTCTAAATAACTGTTTACGAAATAACTAGTATGTTTAATAGGATTATAGTACAGTTTATTTTTTCAAACTTTCGTGCATTATTTTCATCGATAAACTTTCATATTTCATTGGTGCTGGGCAACTGATACCACATAACAGTTTTCTTAGAAGCGTTGTACAAGAGAAAATCGAAGGAAAGAGGCGGGGATGACCTAGACGAAGATATTTGTTTTTCATTTATTGTTATTTTTCTCTATCTAATTTTTCGGTGACATTTTTGTTATTTAATTATTCGAGTAAACGTTATCGTGAAATATTAAATAATATCTCAGGTACTCGAATAATACTTCATGGTCATACTCTACAATATTTCAATAATAGAAATTTCCACCGAAATTAGGTAGAGAAAACTAACCTGGAATTTACCCTAATGTTTTTGGGAGTCCCGACACGATTTCTTATGAGGCGGCGGCGGTGGTCGAGTTAAGGACTTTCCTAAGTCCGCACTTTTAACGGGCGGCGAGAGCGTAGAAATTTAAACAAAAAGTCATTACTGCCCCGGGGCCGTATGTTAAATATACCGACTAGTTCTGCTGCACGTTATGCTATTACTTACGAGCAAGTGTCATGAAAACAATATTTCATTGTATCGCAAGTTGTTTGCAACACGCAGAACGTAATCACCTACTTTACTAATCAAACTGATTGGATATGAGATTACAAAGATCAATCGCCAGTTAGAATTATCTACTAACCTGGTATCAAAACATTATCAAAATGACATAATTTTGGAATATTTTTTCTTTCCTTCAATATTTTCATTGCACGATGTAAATGTAACCTATGCTTATTACACGCGGTGGCGGTCGATAGGTTTTTGTAAAGCATATAAATTCGCCTACCCCTTTCTGCGCTCTCGTCGGAAGGCACTTGTACGGGAGTTTCTTCGTTGATCCACACCGCTGTAGGTGCACACTAAATTCTTACGGAAATTACCAAAATTAACCAATTTTTTGGGGTTATATCTGCATCGGCTACGAAATAATATCATTCCAGCGGCCCCCATCAAACCTAGCTTGTGTGCTTTGTGTTTATACAGTAGTAGCTAAATCGCTTATTTGGTGCTACATTGATGTAATTGTAATTTTGGCAAATTTGGATAAAGGATGTTAATATGTAATTAATTAAGTCTTAATTCAATTATGCCAAAATTGCAATTAAGTCAATGTTGCACTAAATGAGCGAAATGTGCGTACAGGTAAATGTTGCCACTAGTCTGAAAGCAAGGTAATGACCCAGAACTCTTTATTTATTTACTCAGAATTGCATATAAACCTGCATCAACTATTTCATCGATTTGTATGAGAAATAAAGTAAAGATGTGGACATTTTAAACGTCGTAAAGTAGTTATTTGAAATTCCGTTTTAAGACGTTATTTAAAAAAACCGTCTGTAGTAATTTTAAATATGTAGTTTCTGTAATTTTTAAATTTACACAATGTCACAATGTTTGTCCACCAGATAATTCAATTATTTTTGTGAAATTACTCCACTAGTTTCTTATAATTGTTAATACCAACACTTAGAAAAAAATCCTTCGATTCGATCAGAACTAACGTCTTCCAGCAAACCGTGCTACGCCAACTAAGTCACGGAACGAATTAGCTGACCTTACGAATTTTTCTATGTATAGAGTTTCTGATCACATTCCTTTCGTCAATCTTTAAATTCAAATGCTTTGGTGTGATCTAGTGTTTCATTTACAGACAGTGAACTTGAGAACTCAACAGATCGACCAACTTGTTCTCCGTATCACAAATGCTATGGTAAATACATTATCACGCTTTCACATTTTCGTTCTAATATTTATGCATGTTGGAACTTCGGTTTTCGGGCGCACACATTTACTATTTAGTAATGTTTCCTATTAATAACACTTTGAATACGAAACTATATTCTTTTGTGTTCAAAAGTCAATTCATGACTTGGCTGTTCCTGAGAAATATTACAATATGTTTTATTATATTAGTTTAGCAAGCTAAATTAAACATCGGATGATATTTGTATTATATTGGTATTTTAGTTTCGTCGAAGACTCCGCCGTGTGTACTAAGAAACAACGCTAAACAAGCTGAAAAGAAGTTAAAAGATATTGAAGAGCTCACTGAGAGGGAAAAATGGTACCCTCCAGAAGTGGTAAGATTCCTGTATTATTTACTATGACGATTGCACCTACTGGGGTAGGCAGGAACCTCCTCTCGATACGTTCTTGGCAAACCTCTGCCTCCTACAATCACATCAATCTTTTCGCACATATCTATACCTATTGTCACACTGTACTTTCTTTTTATTTATTTGTTGGTTATTTTAATTCATATACTAGCATTTAACCAAACCATACCATTCCACCCGATTACGACCCCACCAGTCATATTCCAACGTGCTATGCATGTCGACAAGTTTTTTATACAGTAATCAATTCCTGGGATCTGTTATATGTCAATTACGGAACATTTTTTTTATAATATCAAGTGACGGGACGAACAAGTCGTACACCTGATGGTAAGCTCCACGCCTATTCATAACAGTTGCAGTGCTGCTTAGAGCTTTACATCGCAAAGATCTGAGGTGCACTGCCACTGTGCCCGTCACCCCGATACATAACTTGACAAGTCCATATGCCTGTAATTTCACTAGCACCTTACCTTTCATAACCGGAATATAGTAATGCTGATAAGGTTTTTAGTTTTCATGTTTCTACTAATAAGGAAGAAAACTATGAAATGTTTTCAAATCTCGATGACATTTTAAATACTATAACAATTAAATATAATAACACTTCTTCACGATCAATGCCGCGACACATTAAGCTACATAATGACGTATTGGTATTGGTGCAACGGGCTAGTTTCCGCAACTCGACGTCGAGGCGCCTATTTTGCGTGTGGTGGGTGCAGGGTCCTACTCGTGCCACCCAAGCTCCTCCAGGAATCTCAGCAGCCTCTTCGGTTTTCTGAAGACTTAGGGGAGCGACCTCGGCACTCCAAGGTACTTTGCCCTGTAGTTGGCCACACCGGAGCACTCTAGTAGGATGTGTGCGGCCGTTTCCTCCCCCTCCATGCACGCTCTGCATAGAGGACTGTCCGTGATACCTAAATTGAAAAGGTGTTTATTGTATGGACCATGACCCGTTAGAGCGGCAGATAGAGTGCGCAGCTCTTGTCTTTCAAGTTTGATTAATTTACGAGATAGACTGGCGTTGAGCGTTGGGAGTGCTTCCCTAGCCTGTCTACAAACCGTAAGGGTTGTCCATATGTTATTATGAGAAGATTTTGTACCTTTGAGTATAGTTGTTCTTGACCATTGGTTGGGGAGGGACACTATGGGTTCTGGCCCTACAGCATCCGTCTCCGACCCTTTTCTAGCTAGTTCGTCTGCTGCGTCGTTGCCACGTGAGCCGCTGTGTCCTTTAATCCACTGTAGAATTACGTGGTTGTGTGTACATACCTCCATGAGTGCTTGATGGCATTCATATATAAGCCCTGAGTTAATGTCATAGCTGCTCAGCGCTTGAAGTACTGACATGCTGTCGGAGAGTATTCGAATGGAGTGATTCTTTACTCTTCTCGCTATTATTGCTTCTGCTGCCAACTTGATACCCATACATTCAGCCTGGAATACTGTGTTGTGGTCACCAAGCGGTGTTGATATTCTGATGTTGAGGTCTTCTGAGAACACCCCTGTACCTGTTCCTGAGTTTGTTTTTGATCCGTCAGTGAATACGCGGACCTCTCTGAGGATTAGTCCTTCGTTGGGATCTTCAAACAATTGTATCCTGTATTTTTTGTCAAAAATGTATTGTTTTGGGATCCTATCCACAGTCGCCTCCAGTAGCGGTTCCTCTTTGACTATCTTGTAAAGGATTTCTGTATGTGGGGTCCTCATGTGCTTCCAAAGGCCGGCTCTCTTTAGTCGCACTGCTGTTGACGCCGCTTCCTGTCTGATAAACAGTGGGAGGGGTCGCAGGTCCAGCATCGCTTCGAGCGCTGCAGTTGGAGTTGTCCTCATGCAGCCGGTCGTCGCCATGCATGCTAGCCTTTGGAATTTGTCCAACTTGTCAGTTGCAGTCGTCAGCTTGGTTCGTGGCCACCAGGCTATCGCGCCGTAACTAATCATAGGTCTTATCACCGTTGTGTAAAGCCATAGTGTTATCTTGGGTGAAAGTCCCCATTGTTTACCTACCATTCTACGGCATTGCCAGAAGGTGATAGTAGCTTTTTTAATTTTGTTGTCCAGGTGTTTGTTCCAGTTCAACTTGTTGTCCAGAATTACTCCCAGGTACTTGACATCGGTTGATAATTGTATTTCTGTACTAAAGAGTTTGGGTAGTAGGTAGTTACCCATTAATCTTTTGTTTGTAAACATTACTAGTTCTGTTTTTGTTGGGTTAACTGTTAGTTCATATGCCATCTTTCCACAATCCGGAGTGCAGCTTGTGTGATGTCACAGAGTGTACTGGCATAATTGCCTGTTATCAGTATGGCTATGTCATCAGCATAGCCTATTGTATAGAAGTGTTCTTTGTTAAGGTTGGTGATGAGATCATTTACGACCATGTTCCATAGCAGAGGCGACAGTACTCCTCCTTGAGGGCACCCCTTCGCTACTACGGCCCATGGGGTCTCTTTCGCTGTAGTTCTTATTGTTCTTTGTTTGAGCATATTGCTAATCCAGCTGATCAGCACTTCATCCACTTCGTGTCTTCTTAGTGCTGCTTGTATGCTGGAGAAGTTGGTTTTATCAAAGGCTCCTTCAATATCTATAAAGGTGCCTAGGCAGATTGCCTTGCTTTTAAGGGCCTCTTCTATCTTGCCGACAACGGCATGTAGGGCCGATTCGGTGGACTTGCCTTGGCAGTATGCGTGTTGGTTTCCGTGTAATGGAATGTTCTTTAGAGCTCCGTCCCTCAGTTCTCTGTCACATAGCCTCTCTAGCGTCTTCAAAAAGAACGATGTGAGGCTGTTCGGCCTGAAGGATTTTGCATCAGTGTAGTCGTTCTTACCTGGTTTTGGTATAAAAATGACTTTTACGTCTCTCCAGCTATGGGGCACATAGCCGAAAGCTAGACAGGCCCGAAAGATGTCGACCAGGTGCCGGGCCAGTGTGTCCCCACCCCATTGTAGGAGTGCGGGAAAAACTCCATCTTGGCCCGGAGCTTTGTATGGTTCGAATGTGTTCACTGCCCATTTTGTTTTTTCGTATGTTACTACTTGTTCAGCGTATCGCCAGTTTCGGGTCGATGTGTTGTAGTTCATTTCTTCACGCCTGTCATCTCGGACGAACCTGCATCCTGGGAAATGTGCTTCCAGTAGGGTTCTTTCCGTTTCTTCAGGGGAAGTTGTGAATGTGTTGTTTGTTTTACGTATTGAACCTAGTTCACTTGCATTTGAGTTCGCTAGGATTTTTCTTACTCTGTTCGCTTGTGCACAAGACGTGATGTTCCCGCAGTAGCCTCGCCATGACGCGGTGCTCCTGAATCTTATGCGTTTCTTTAATTTGGATTTGACCGTCTTGTAATTTTCCCAGTCCTCATCCGCGCATGTGTTCATTGCTCTATTGAAGTATCTCCTTACCCTTCTTCGCAGCCTCTCAAGCTCAAGCCCCCACCATTGGTGGCCTTGTCGCGGGGCTGGGTCACTTAATGGGCATGCGGAGTTGAAACTCTTCAAAATGTTTGACGTCAGTTCTTTAACCTGTATTTCTATCTGAGCTGTGTCCAGCAGTCTTCCCGGTGCTACCGGTTTCTCCAGGCTCTGGTGTAGTTTGTCAGTGTAAATCCGATCGGTTTTTCTGGGGTTCCGTTTCGGTTGTTGTACTTTGATAACTGTTTCTAAGTTGAATCTTATCCATCTGTGGTCCGAGAGAGATGCTTCTTCGGACACGTGCCAGTCATGGACAAGATTCGCTGCTCCGTCTGACGCTAGGGTTAGGTCTATGATAGTTCTACACCTTTTATTTACAAAAGTTGGTGTTGTACCTTTATTGAGAATTTGAAGGTTAGTTGTAAATAAGTATTCTGTTAAGTTCTTACCTCTTTCATTCGCGAGTTCCATGCCCCACAGCGGATGGTGAGCATTGGAGTCAGTGGCCACGACAATGTGCTGGCCGTTCTGCTCGCAGTGTTGATTAGCTGTACCATTTCCTGTGGTGGTGGCACATCAGTCTCCGCCATATAGACAGAGGCGAGTACCACTTCAGGCAGGCCCGTGGCCGCATCAGCTAGAAGCTTTACGGCACACAGGTCTCTGGAACAGAATTGTGTTAGTGGCTGTATGTGTAACTTGTTTGAGTAGTATATACATGTCCGTGGTTTATCTGAGGTAGTAGTGGATAGTAGCTTACCTCTCAGATGTGAGAGTCCATTTATTTGGCCGCGGGCGCCGATCCACGGTTCCTGAATCAGTGCCACGGCTGTGTCGTTTGCCTCCAACCACTTCCGAAGCTGAACCGTTGCGGTCTGACTGTGGTGGAGGTTGCACTGGATGACGGTACATTTATTGGGCGAGGGGGACACCGCCATCAGCCGATAGCAGTATGTCGTCCTCATCCTCGCTCAGACAGATGTCTCCCATCGCCGACACGCACTCGTCCTCACTATTGGACGCCACCGTATGGCTGGCGACGTCCACAGGGACGGAGGTCGGGGAGGGCCCTTTTCCTTCTCTGGTGAAGCCAGTGGAGGTAGAGGGCACCGGGGAGGCATCTGTTTTGTTAGTCGATGTACCTGCCTTTTCAGGCGGCACATCCGTGTACACTCCTCTTCTGGACCTGAATCGGAGGTAGACCGTGCCCAACTGAAAAGTAAAGCGCCGGCCATGCCCCACGATAACAGGTACCAGGTAGGCTTACCACCACAAAAGTGTTTCCCTGTTGCTGTTGCAACCTGTGGACAACCCATCTGTGGACCTCCGCCCACTTGTTCTGCCAAGTGAGCAAGTGTCCGATACGGCGCGCTTCCTCCCAATGACCGGGGATCAGCAGTCCACAGACCACCCTCCGGGGAGCCTCCACCCCATTTTTCAATGAGAGGAGCTCCCCGGTGGGCAGCCTGATGGTGCTGATTGCGTCCTCTAGCCATTAACTGCCTTCGTGGCCAAATGGTTACCATGCCGGACTGCCACGCAGAGGTCCCAGGTTCAATTCCCGGGCCGGGAGAAATGTTTGTATGGCCTACATTTATTTCTCTCGTGAGTTTGGGTGTAATTTGTGGTTGTCTATGTGTGTGTCCATGGCACCCGCAACACAGGGATTCCCTAGTGCGGGGCTATGTTGAGTGTGTGCGTTATGTTGAGTGTGTGCGTTATTGGAAGGTGGCATTGTCCTGGCACCACAGCTTTAGGGACCCGTCGCTAAAGACGGGTTTACCTCGGAACTGTGGGCCGACGTCCTCCTCACCCCATTCCTCTGCTCCTTGAGAGAGGCGCTCACAAAGGGCCTTCTGTATCATGTCTGATTCAGGGCTCCTTATGTATCCAGTCTTGGCCGAGGTGATCACCGCTAGAAGTTCCGGTGCGGTGGCCTCGGCATACGTTCTTGACTGGGCGGGCCTCTCGACTTTTTGCCTTTTGCGCTCGCCTCTTGGAGAAAATGTCTCGTCGAGACGGGCACGTTTGGCATAGGTCGAGGACCTCTGTGCCTTCTGTGCTTGTTGGTTCCTTGGGGGGAGGGGGGCCCTTCCAGAGGCGTGCGAGTCCGGTTCAGTGGGTCGCACTAACGCGGTCTCTGCACCATTCCCGCCACCCGCTGGGGGCCGCGCCGCTCCCTCTTTCGGATTACCCTTCATCTCGCGGCGTTCACGTTCACGGAGTCGACCCCGTTTGTTCTTTCGGGCAGGGCGTCCCCTGCTCCCGCTGGGAGCTGGAGGTGGTCGCTGGCCTTGGCCACTTTCCCCTTCCATATGGATGGGTGCCGTGGTTTTGGGCTTGCGACTCACCAGAGTCCACCCTGCCTCAAGGGCAGTATATGTTGGGTTCTGCGATGCAGAGCCAGGTGTCTGAGCGGGGGCCACAGAGTACGAGGCTCGGGCCGCTACCGCTGGTGTAGGGCCAGCACCGGCATCGATACGCGGTTGGCCTTGGGGTTTCCCCTTTGGCCTACCACTCACCGTAGGGCGCTGCTGTACGTTCGAGTTTGTTTTTTGTGGGGCACTTTTGGGTTTCCCCTCCAGTACCACCGGTTTTGGGTGATTTGATGATTTTTGTTGATCTGCAGAATCCATATTGCAGTGTTCTTATGATTCACTCTCCTGATTTCCCACCCACCACGAAGCCCGCACCTTTGGGGATGTCCCATTCGGGACACCAGGATTATCAGGAGAGTATAGGTGCAGAAGTTAGGAGCTCACTGCGCGACATCTGGGGCTCGAAATGTGCGGCTGGCTGACCCGATCAAAGTCGGCCAGGTGTTCCGCACATACTCACCCCGTCAGCATGGCCGAGTCCGTCCCCCCACACCTCGCCTGTGGCCCTCTGACGGGACACATTGCCGGTTCCCTGTGTTGGCTAGTCACAGGGCTACCGTTTGGCAGGAAATCAGGGCCGAAGGGGGCGTATTGCTTGCCGGGGGGTTGGGCCCGCTCGGGCTCAACCCCCCAGGATTCCTTCATCCCTGCGTACGGCGCTCAACTGCGTAGGCATGAACGCAGGAGGATGTAAATTAAGACCGCCCACCACTTGCCATGGTCCACCCTCATAAACACATGGCCGGGCCGTGTTGATCGCTTCGCGCCCTCACTGGTAAGACTCAGACTGAAGCCGAGAGTTGTCAGTGTTGGCCCCAGGGTGTACCGGCTACACCCTTGGGCTGTCTGTGACAACATGTCATCACAGACTGCTCAAGGACTTCGCACGCGTGGAGGTGGAACAACGAACACACCCCTACATAATGACGTATCTTGTCCCGCTGCATTAGAGGCGATATTCGAACAAAGGTGTATAAACTTGATGTGCTCTTGACTGTACTATAAGTGGCAATAATTGTAATTACAGGTAGAGTTGATGGAAAAGATTGAAAAGCATATAAACATCATATCACAATTAACAGACGAAATAGACACTTTAACTGAAAAAAGCCAAGAAAAAGATTCACAATTGAAAGATTTAACCAATAAAGTGAAAAATACTGAACAAGAACTTCAAAGTCTTTCTACTGTTAAGGTAGGAAATTTTATTGTATTGCGAAGTTATAGTTTTAGAATAGAATAGAATAGAATAGAATAGACATTTATTGCAACGCCACAACACATAGATACAAAAAAAAATATTGATACTACTTAGACAAGCAAAACAAAACAAAAAGACGTAATAAACAAAATTAAAATAAAATGAAATAAGACAATAACAAACAAAGAGCAAAACAAAAAATACTAAATATAACAATAAAGAATTTTGTAATTCGTTAATGTCAAAAAGAATAAATATCACTAGTATTTGGGCTCATTTGATAATATGTATATTTCAGTGTGATTTAGAAAAACAATGCAAAGAGTATAATACGAAAATTACTGACTTGGAGGTTAGTTACGAGACTCTTCAAAAGAAATTCAAAAACAGGGAACAGGAACTTTTGTCGCTGCTAGAAGATCGAGCATCCAAGAAACCTGACATAAGTATTTAAAATATCTTTTTAATAATATACTTTTATTACCATCAATTACACACTAAATATTAATATGTTAATATTTAATTATCAGGTACATTAAAGAGTCTGGAAAAGGAACCCTTAAATTTCATGGACATGTCTAAAGATATTTCTCTAGTAAATAGTGACAATGAGAGTAGTATCGTTAATCCAACCGACGACGGTTCGATCGAACAATTACAAGAATTAATAATTGGATTACAAGACCAACTAAAAGCTAAAGATCTTCATGTTAAGCAAATTCAGACTACTCTCGACACGCAAAAGCTAACAATCGAAAGTCTAGAGAATTCTAATAGAAAATTACAAGGAATTGTCGATAGCTCTGTAGAGAAATTATCACGCATAGAAGGCGAAAATGAATACCTGAAGTCCACAATTATCTCTTTAAATTCAATTATAGAAGGACAAAATCAACACATTGAAACTGCTAAAAATAATATTGAGTCTTACAATAGCACCATACAAAAATTACAGAAAGAACTAGAGATCAAAGAAAGTATACATTGTGGGAAAATAGACGACATTGCATTGGAAACGATGATTGCTAATGAAAACAAGGTCATTGCAAATAATCAAAACTTGAACAATATAATACTGTCTTTCAAAGTAGCACTTGAATCAAAGAGTGACGAAATCAATAGTTTAAAAACATTACTAAAGGAAAATGATGAGCTTAAGTCTGAGAACATTACATTGAAAAATCAACTGAACTTTCAAGGGCGACAAATGAGCACACTCATTATAGAGATGGAAACTCTAAAAGAACGAATAACAGAAAATTTAGAAATGATTAGTAGGCTAATCACCACGGAAGAATTACTTAACAGTAAAGTATCCAATCTTCAGAAGCAAAATGAAATTTTGCAGAAAATGAATCAAGAAAAATGTATACAGCCTCAAAATTTGCAAGGCGATGAAAAACTATCAGTGGTAGTTTCTGAAATAAAAGTAAAGGAACAAGAAGCTAAACAGTTAAATGAAGAAATAGAACAAGTTCGCAACGAATTAATTCTAAAGAAACAAGAAACGCATGATTTAGAAAAAAATCTCGCGGGTCTTCAGTCCCAGGTTGATGAACTCACCGTTCGCCACAATGAATATGTAACTCGAGATGAAGGATTGAACCAACAAATTGAACAATTAACACAGGCCATTGAGGTGCTTCAACACTTGGTACAAATAAAGGATCAGGAAATATTGAGTTTCAAAGCACACATCGTTGAAACAGGTGACGACAAAAATAAATTGGTTTTACAGAACCAAGACTATTTACAGCAAATATCCTCTCTTTCAAAAGAACTGGAGATTGTCACCAAAGACCAGTTGGAGAAAAATGAAACCATTCGCAAATTGGAAGATAAATTATTTAACTATAAGAGTCTGAAAATAAGAATAGAGGAGTTAACCGAAGAAAAAGGTAAAGTAACCAACAATAATAAAGATTTAATGAAAAAAATTGCACACTTATCCGAAGAACATAATAAAGCTCAAAAGCTTTTAGTTGAAAAGGATCACGAAGTAGAAGACATGAAAAGAGAAGTGAACGAAGTCAAAGAAGAAAATACAGATATTAAAGCAAAAATTGAAAAAGTTGTTAATGAAAGAGTTGGAATTATTCTCAGCAATGAGGATTTCCCACAAAAAATATTACAGCTATCAGAATATCTAGCCAAAAATCAACATGACATCGAAACCAAAGAACAAGATATTCGTAATTTACAGATCATCTTGGATGAAAACGATAAAAAATATAAATACATTCATATGCAGCTTGAAGAATGTAATCGGGGTAAACACGATCTATTATGCAAAAATGAAAAGTTGTCTCATGAACTTGCCGTCGCTCAGAAAGACATTAAGTTGAAGGAACAATTAATTTTAGATTTAGAAACCAAATTTAAGGATGCCAATGATGCTAAAGCGGCGCTTCAATTACAAGTAGAAGAATTAAACCAGGCCAGTGCTGAGTTTATGCGTTGTAATGATAGCCTCTCTATACAGATCAAACAGTTAACTGAAGTTCGCGATAAAGTTAACAATGAACTTGAAATTAAGAAACAAGAGTTCAGCGCGTTGTTGTCTAAACTTACTGAGGAAAATAATCATAACAATGCAGCTCAGTCCCAAATAGACGAATTACAACAAGCCAAGTATGAACTATTGCGACGAAACGATAATACATTGCAACATGTTAAGGAATTAAACGAAGAAATTAATACATTCCAGAAAGAACTTGAAGTAAGGAACAACTATATCAACGATTTAGAAATAAAACTGAAAGAATCTGAAAAAAACAGCTGTGATTTATCTATCAATCAATTGCACTTTACAGAACTAAGTGACATAAGATATGACCTTGTGCGTCAAAATGAAAACTTGAAACAACATACTGCACAGTTGATTGAAAAATTTAATAACATTCGCAGTGAGCTTGATGTTAAAAACCAAGATGTCATTGACTTGGAATCAAAATTAAATGATGTAAAAGAAAACAATGAATATTTACGCAACGAACTTCTACAAAAAGAAAACCTGATTTCATCACTTCAAAATAGAATTACTAATTTGAACTTGGAAAGCCGAACCCTTACTCAAAACGAGCAAGTTGATATCAAAGACCGGGTAAATGAAATCTGTTCCTTCAAATCTGAGATTGAAATTAAAGAAAAGAAAATCGAAGAACTTGGGCACCAAATTAAAGGTTTGAAATTGACACTTGAAGAACAATTTAAAAAATCCAATGAATTGCAACAAGAATTAAAAGACGCTGTTAGCAGCCGAAAAACTATTTTGAAGAAAGTCTTCGATTTCGCCAAGGACGTAAAAATTGAACAAGAAATTAGAATTAAAAGCTCTAGTACTGAAGAAAATGACATTGATTGCATACTCGACGTTGTTCGTAGTCATGTAATTCCATTAATCACATCTAAAGGTAACGAGCAGGAAATTAAACAAATGTTATTAACAGAAAAGGAAGACATAGAAGACTTAACTCGAAAGAATGTGGAGCTAATTAGTGAATATTCAGAAATGGCAACAAAGAACCGGGATTTACACAGTGAACTACAAAAAGTTAGCAATTTGAATAAAGATTTACTAAACGCTACCGAATTTATGCTATATTTGAAATCGGAATTGTCTGACAAATGCGATGAGTTAACTGGTATGAAAACTAAAGTTAATTTTTGGAAAGGTCAATTTACTTGTTACCAAGACTTGATGAAAAAACAAATGATAGATTTACAATTAGAAAAGGATAATCTGGAAGACCTTCAAAGAAGTTGGCAACTAAGTAGTATTCGTCGTAATTCCCCACAAAGCCTTTTGACTATTTGCTGTAACAAACTCATAGAAACTTTACAACTTAAAGAAAATTTCGTAAGTACAGAACCTGTTGCTAAACTGCATCGAAGTGAATCTAATTTGGATATTTGTGACGTAACATTCTCGGACTCGAAATCAACTATAGAACTTCGTCACGTTGAATCCAGTACGCAAATTTGTTTATGTTCTGAACTAACTTTAGAGCTGCAATTGGCTAAAACAGAAAACGAGAAACTGAATAAAATTATAAAAGATCTTGAAACCTATAATAAATATCTACTCAAAGAAAAAGAAGAAGTTCGTAAAGAAATCCAGCAGTTAGTGGAGCCTGTCATCGATCTACAAAAGAAAATAACTAATCATAGAACTAACCTGTCTACTTTGACAGCTACTACATACGCTGAAAATAAGCTACTGAACTCTCAATTAAAAGTATTAAAACATTACCATACACGATACATCCACGTTTGTCAACGGGATATACCAGCTGTCAAATCTCAGTTGCATGAATTGATGTCGATTCTCAAAGACAACAGCTCCTTTCTTGATAAACAGAACTCGAGTTTTAAGAGATATTCTTTGCCTGACGTTCTGGATAATAATAGCATGATTACGAACTTTAAGAACGAGTCTACGTTAGATGGAGATCTTTTAATGTTAGATACAAACGTAACATTGACTACAAGTGCCGATAATACTCTAATAGGCCAAGGCTTATTAGAGTGTTCTCCAAAACCAGATCGAACTTGTCTTGACGTTACTCAAATACATTTTGATAGCGAAGTGGCCTGTCAAACTAACGACTTGAGTAAGATGATCGACCCATATACACTTTCCTCCCAAATTGAAAGTCTCACAGACGATAACCAAAAAATGATTGCTATTTTAGAAGCACTTACAGAAGAAAATGCAAAATTAAAAGAGGAAATGAACAATCGCAGAACTGAAACAAATTCTTCTCGAACTGTAGATACTCAAAGTAGTCCTATTAAATTTAATGAGACTTGTAATGATAGTATCTCTAAAATGGTTTCCGAGAAATGCAAACGTGAACAAGAAGTTGACAAATTACATAATCAAATGAAAAGTCTTACTCAAGAATTACAAGAAGCTGTGGCTCACAAAATTTCTATAGAAAAAAAGTATAACGACCTGGTTACAGAAATGCCAGCAGTTACTACTTTAGCAAAGAAACTCAGTGATACAGAAATTGATTGTCAAAATAAAATGCAAGAAGTTGTAAAATTGACTAAAGATTTAAGCAAAAAGAACAGTTTCATCAAAGAACTTCAGGAGGAAAATGACTCATTATCAACGCAACTCATGGAAGGTATAACCGAAGCCGATGACCTCAGAAAAGAACTGGATACGCTTAAAAACAGCTATAGTCATCTTATAGAGAAGTGTTCTCACTTAGAGAAAATAACAAAAGAATCTAGATACAATGACTATAAAGAAAATGATAAATGTTCTCAGTGTGCAAACAAAGACATTATTATACAGTCATTAAAAAATAAACATACAACAGCTCCACATTCAAAATTAAACAGAAGTCTCAGTGACTCTGAGAGTTCATCCAGACTCAACAAATTAAATACTTTACAAAGTGAATTACATGCGAGTAAAGAAGACTGCAAGAAAATCACCGAAGAAGTTTCGACTATAAAAAACCATTTAGAACAAAGTAATTTATCAATGTCTCAAGCTATGGATTTGGATGAAAGCATGGGCGAGTCCAAAATTTTCTCATTTTCTAAGTCTGATGAGCAGCACCTAAATAGATTTATGCCTAGCATTCCAGAGGAAAGGCCAATAGACTCCTATACTCTTGACAAAATAGATTGTATCAACTTTTACGCTGATAAAACCGGCATAGACAAAGAAAATCTCACTCATGATATGAAAATTATAGATGTTCTGGAATTGTTGTACGATAATCTTATTGCTAAGCATGGAAATGAAGTACAAAATTTATTTAATAAACTTAGAGATTTCGAAGACACGAAAAATCTGTTACAATCTCAAATTGGTAATATTACAGCAGAAAACTTGCAAATGACCAAATCATTAAAAGAGAAAGAAAACGATGTTAAAAATATTACGAATGCTTTTACACAAATCATCAGTAATATAAACACCACAGGTGATGTTTCTGACAATAATCAATCAAGCATAGTGTCACTTTTCAAGGACAATTACCTGGAAGTCATTGACAAAGCATTTGATCTGTCTAGCAAGAGCATATTTGAATCATTAATAAACAGTATAGATAACAAACACCAAAATGACTTGAAAAACATAATGGAAAAATATTCTAAATTACAAGATCAATTGGGAAGTGTCTTTGTAGAATTGAACGACGTTAGTAAAAATTTTAATGTTATCAAAGAACAACTATCCACTAAAGAAAACGAATATAACCTATTGAAAGACCAGAAAGAAAGAATCCATGAGATAAGTAACGCCGTTACTTTAGATATAGTCCAAAGGGACCACGAGTTAGGCGAGATAGTGAAGAATAGCTATGATAAATTGGTAGCATTGAAAATGTTAAGTGCTTTCGATATGAGACCAAACCTGACTGTGAATGAAAAGGTTAAATTGCTTCTTGATGGTTTAACCCAGTGCGTTATTAAAATAAAATCTGAACGGGATCAACTTCAAGAGATGGAGAATTTGAAAACAGCTTTTGAGGTAAAACAAACAGAGCTTGAATCTTTGAAAATGGAGTTGGCAGAAAAAGAAAGAAGTCTACGAAATCAAACAGTCTTGTACGACGATTTGAGCAAACTTTACCAACATAATTTAGAACAAAACAAAGACAAAATGGAAATGTTAAAGACGGAAATTAACGTGTTAAAAGACACGTTATCAAAGAAAGTAGAACTAATAGAGATTTTAGACGGTAAATTGAGCTCAAAACTGGAAGAAAGCTTTTCGGAAAGTATCAATGAGTTTATGCAGAAAATACAAACCTTGGAACAAGAGAATGCTAATTTAAAATCTGTTAACCAAATAATAGCAAAAGAGAAGCAGATCCTTGTTTTGGAATTGGAGAAGTCTGGTGAGATGATCAAGAATTATAAGATGGATATGGACAAGATGACGACTGACATTATTGTTTTAAAGGAATCAGTGTCCGAAAATATGGCTATTGTGGACAGTTTGACGCTGGAGTCCAAGTCTTTGCTAGAGAATAATGTACTGTTGAAGAAACAGTATGAAGAAAAGTGTCAGGATTGCTTGCGGCTTGAAACCAATATTAAGATTCTTGAGAAAACAGCTGAAATACAGAACAAGACGATTCTGAGGTAAGATTTATTTGTATATGAATAACTAATGAATTTGTTAATTCATTTTAACAAAATGATTCAAAATTTCCTAAACTTAAATGTAAAATTTTCATTTTTGTGTTCCTTTAAGATACTTTACAAAAGGAATTATAATTGACCCTTTCAGTTGGCATCACAAAAATACAGGGTTTTTTCTACATTTTGTCGGTTCGATTCCAAGATGAGGCAAGCCACTTTTTAAAAATTTTTAAATGCAATAATTATTACTTTTTTTTTTAAATAAAACAATGTTTCCTTGAAGCAAAATATCTTAAGTACTTTAAAATAAAATATTTAAAGTACTTTCCCTCTGTTCCCGTAGCCGTGTGACGTCCTGTAGAATACCATCCACAATGGGATAATAATATGTTATTTGCCTTACTGTTTTTTCTAATATACTATGGTATTTAGTAGTTTCTTCTAATATTTCATAGTTTCTTCTCATATTTTATAGATTACAGAAGAAGGATGAAGATGATAAAGCAATCACGGAGAAACAAATCGTAGAATTACAAGATCAAGTCAAGATTTCTGGAGAAGAAATCGAGAAACTGAAGAACTGTAACGCGTCTATGGAGGTAAATTGATTAATGACCAAGAACACTCAGATATTTTCATTTATTACGTTGTTAGGTTTTCGCGATTGTTACACATAGGAAATGAAATTATTTTTCCGGATTTAAGTCGCGTATATTTGTTTTGTCAAACAAACCAACATTTCGGGTCCTTTACAGGTCCCATGGTCAGTCAGCCGTGACCACGGGACAAATATACACGATTTAAATCGGGTAAAATAGTTTCATTTCCTGTATTTTCATTTAGTTTACTAAAATTATTTATTAAATTTGAAGAAAAGAATGTGTTAAATGACGATAAATTTAAAATGGTATGATTTCATAAAATTTCATTTTTAATTGTATAATCCATTTTGTCACCGAACTCGCATGTCAAGGAACTCGATCTAGCTGAATATTAATTTGTAGACTCGTATAGCTGAACTACAAGGTGAAATAGAGGAAGGGTTGAAACGACGTCAGTCCATAGAGGCAAAGGCAGAAAACACACGGCGCAGGCGCCAAAGTATTCATGATTCCATGAGGATATTATCTGATGAAGCAATTGGTAAGATATTTCTAACTTTAAATAGTGTCTATAATATTTGGCTACCCTGTTGTGTTTGACAACAGTGTATTATAATTCTTCCAAATATTGAACTATAATTTAAAGTGATCAAGCGCCCATAATACATAACCATACATAGTATGTGCATTGAGGTGGCATTTTGCATTTTATGCTTAAACTATATTAAGTAACGACAAAGGCGTTTTTTAAAAACTACTCCTAAAGTAATAGAGAAGCGGACTCAGTACCTATGGTGAAATAGTCTAAATAGTCTCTCGCCAGGACTGGTAGCTGTAAAGGTACTAACTGGGTGATAAATCTTTCATAGATTTCTCATAGATGGCGCTACGACTAAAAAGTCGTTGAAAAACCAAATACAAAGACACGACGCAAGCACATAGAAAAATTCGTGAGGTCGCGATTCGCGTTGGTATAGCGTCTGGCACAGTATGCAAGAAGACGTGTCGGTTCGAATCCGACCAGATCGAAGGAATTTTTTCCGAGTGTTCGATCTTTGCATTAATAATTATAACAAAGTAATGTTAGTTGTTGTCCATATTTTTTTTATGATACAGAGTGACGGGACGAATAAGTCGTGCGCCTGGTGGTAAACGACACGCCTGTCCATAACAGTTGCAGTGCTATAAATCGCAAAGATCTAAGGGGCACTGCCACTGCGCCCGTCACCCTGAGAAATAACTTAATAAGTTCCATTTGCCTGCAATATCACCGGCAGTCTTACCTTTTAAAGCCGACACGCGGTTACATTACTGTCTGGAAGCAGAAATATGTAAGTTGGCAGTACTTCCCTGGACGAATTCTTTCACAAGGAGTTCTACTGCTACTAAAAATCTTGAGTGTACCCGGACTCTCCTGAAAATATACAGTCTTTGCCCCTACTATTTACACTATTACAAATCTACTATTGCCAATATGTTATTTTGCAGACCACAACAAGCTAGAAGCGGTATTTGATTCTCGGCCGAAACCGGACGACTTGTTTATGGAAGTTGACGACGATAGTTCTAATAGGAGCACTCCACACAGGCTTAGCAAGGGGTAAGGAGCTCAATATAATTTGTGCTAATAAATTCAAGTAGAATAAGAGTGGTGGTGATAGCCCAGTGGGACAAAGGTCGACGATTCAAATCCCTGTGGCGGAATGTAGAATGACTTTAATTAATAAGTCACGTACAATCGATGCCCTAATAATATACCTGACGCTTAGCCGACCTTTTTTGCTTCGGAGCCTTCTTATACATTCAACAGAAAAGTGTAAAGAAATTTCAGCCTTTTTGTTCAAATTTGTATTTATGTATTGTAATTAAAAACTTTCTTAAGACTTCGCCGACGCAGCGATGCGTAATTGCGTAAATATGATCCCTTGCTGTATCATTATTACTAAAACTTTAGTTATGGATTTAATGTATAAGATATTTAAACATTCACTCTATAAACATATTCTTTATAAACCCGATTGCTTGTAGTTTCCTCCATTGAAAAAAATCCGAAGTTATCTCTAAAAACTAAATAAACCCTGAGTACGGCGCAGATACTTCACGGAAGGTCATCAGTTTTTGAATAATAACAAAAGTACATCTTTTCTATAATGTATATTCCATACGTGGAGGTTGTGTCACACGGCTGTAGAAACGTATGCCAGACATACACGGAGCTCATAGAATACCTAAAATTAATAAGTCATTCACTGATACAATAAGGAATTCATATCAACATGAATTGTACAGCTCACAGGTTAAAGATTTGTTTAACACTTTTCACAGTGTCTACTCAGAACCAAAGGGGGTATGTTAGAGTATCGGATGTTGTAAATGTTTTGTAGCTATACATCAGCCTAACGGTGAAAGAAAACGTGATGAAACCTACATGTCGAGAAGGTTCACAATCGTAAAACACACAGTCACCAACCCGCACCTTTTGACCGCCACTGAGAAGGACTAGTTATGTTTCCTAAACGCCAAGATGTGACATGAATTTGAGTTGAACATAACATGAAACTATGTTCTAGTTAAGTATGGATAAATAATGTTTCATTGACGCTTTAAAACGTCTATTGCGGTCAAAAGGTTGTGGCCATCGTGGCTGATTATAGCTTAAACCCCTATCCAAAGAGAAGAACTGTTCCCAGTACGGGAACGTATAATGAGTTATATCACAGTTGAAGGCATATATTTATATGTTCATAATTTGATTTCTACAGTCCTTGGTTTTATAAAATTTATTTTTAAATAGTATTTTATTTCTTTTCAGGCGAGACAGCTTCCCGTCTAGACAAGATCAGGTAAATTCATCATTTAAATTCCTAAAAGATTACTGCGTTAAATATCAGATAGAAAATAAAGATACTGTTTAAGTTAGATGAAAAAACTACTAGTTACAGCGTCAGTTAACTCATAGTAGCCACAGGTACACAAACTGCTACTTTCAACTAAGAGTCTTCACACATTATATATTTCTAGGCCCACTGTACCTGAAACGTGACTGTGAGAAACTGTTTACCATTAACGACAAAGAGAGATACAATACCCATACTTTTCCATCGAAATCGTATTAGTCTTCTATTGTCTGTCTTTTTGACGGCTGTGTATAATGGTTTAAATGGTTTAAGCAGCTAGTGATTACCAAAGGGGGTATGTTAGAATATCGGCTGTTGTAAATGTTTTGTAGCTATACATCAGCCTAACGGTGAAAGAAAACGTGATGAAACCTACATGTCGAGAAGGTTCACAATCGTAAAATGCAGTCACCCGCACCTTTTGACCGCCACGATTTGATTTGATTGCAGTCGATAAATATTCTATCAACTATCGACTGAATGTTGGTCACGCTTATGCAATAAATAGCCGAATTTGTTATATTGAATCATCCACAGACCACATTAATACTAGTAGAATCATCGTTTGGCTTACAATAAAGATTTAAACTCAGTTATTGGAACCAAGCACTCATGAAACTTTTAGGAACATTCGTTTTTCTTCATTGAATATTTAGCTTTTACTCAAGAAACGGTATCAATGTTGATTTTCGACCTAGCTCGGAAACGCAAACAAATTCGGTTCTAACATGCGCCAGCCGCACAGCACGCTCGCATCTGAACCAGGGCTCCGTCACTCGCTGAAAGTTACGCGATAAGTGCCTGCTGCTGAATGCGCCGACGTCGGCGCAAGCATTCAAACAGGTCTTCCATTTATGAGCATTCGGTTCCTCACGACTGCACACGGCTCGCAAAGTTATTTTCACCTCTCTGAGCACGTGCTTAGGTCCCTTTTTCCTCATTGTGAGTGCCTGGTGTCGTTAGTCAGATTTAGTAGGCTATTGTGGCATAGGTAGTTTCGATTTTGTATGAGAGTGTCCATGTATCTGTTACGTAGTAATTTGTGCCTAAACTCATAGGAGGGGGTCAAACCAGCTCGGAAACGCAAAGAGTAATGACTAATCTGATTTTTTCTTTCATTTATTATTTTGCCAAATTGACGGCCGGAATGTGTATAATGGTTTAAAAAATATTAATTATTATATACATTGCCTAAAGAAGCCCGGTATTGTATAGAATGACGAGGGATTCTATAGAATCCTTGAATTATACACATTGTACTTAACATCCGCTGCAGAGTGGACCACAGTGATTCAAAATACATCTTCGTCACATCTTTATTACTTAGGAAATGAAACTATTTTTCCGGATTTAAATCGCCTATATTTGTTTTTTTCAAACAAACCGACGTCTGCGACAGTAATCATCTGACAGGGAAACTTCAGCATATAAAGCAAGTACTACATGCGAATAAGTTGAAGTTTCCACGCCAATGCCGCGGACCTCATGTGAAACCACCAACAGTCGAGCGAAGACTTGCCATCTTACCTTACCTAAGAGGTGTTACAGACAAGATTGGAAGAGTCCTCAGGCGTGCATCTATCAAGACCTATTTCAAGCCCCTGAGGAAGATTTCTCAGTCCCTGAGACCCGTGTAATGTAACATCCCCTTACAGGATGCAGGAGTTTACAAGCTTGACTGTGATTGCGGTCTCTCTTATATTGGACAAACAAAGCGAAGTATTTGTACACGCGTCAAAGAACATATAACTGATGTCAAACACCGTCGCGTAAACAAGTCTGCAGTCTGCGAGCATGTCATGGATAAACCTACACATTTAATGAAGTTAGACAAACCCCAGGTCCTTGCAAAAGAAGTCCGTTATCCACCCAGGATGCTGCGAAAGGCCATTGAAATTAAAAAACATCCTAATTTCAACAGGGAAGATGGTTTCTCCGTAACACCAGTTTGGGATTTAGTATCTCCTCTAATGAAAAATCCCAAACAGACATAAGAGTGCAGTACTAATTAATATGCTTTAGTTTATTCTAATTTCTATTATTAATTAATAATAAATTGAACTTAATAAAAATTCATTTAATAAAATAATTTGTAAAACTTAATGTAGCGTAAATTGGAATGTTTTCTTTGTAAAATTAAAAATAAGGTATTTAATTAATAACTATTGTAACTATAGTGAAAAAATAGGGTCGTTTGCATCAATATTAGACATAACTGGTTGAAGACTGTACCACCTCAGTCCACCGTGACCATGGGACCTGTACAGGGCCCGAAACGTCGGTTTGTTTGAAAAATCAAATATACGCGATTTAAATCCGGAAAAATAGTTTCAATTCCTATGTGTAACAATCGCGAAAACCTAAGAACTCGATATCTTTATTACTTGTTCACAAAGAAATAAACGAATTTAAATTAGAATTTGAACGTTCGTGTGTCTTGTGTAGAGCGACTCGGAGGGTGCCTCGCGACCGAGCAGCGTCCAGGCGACGCGGCGCCGCCGTCAAAGCATCCACGACCAGCACAGGGGCTCGCTGCAGCACCCGGCGGAGGTCAACGGTACGGTCACAATTACATCATCTCTTCTTTCGAATCTACCAAATTTTCCTAACATTTTATCAAAATAAACATTACGTGAATGTGTTTAAGATATACTTTCCTAATGAGACTGAAATATATTTCGAAACAAATAAAACTACACCTTACAAGTGAGGTGTAGTTTTAATTGTAGTAAGTAAGTTTTATCAGCTGTTGCTTAGTAACAGTATAGCTCTTGTGAAGGAGTTCGTCCACGGAAGTACTGTCATCTTACCTATTTCTGCCGCCAAGCAGTAATGTGAGCATTACCGTGTTTCGGTGTTGAAGGTTAAGGGTGCTGGTGAAATTACAGGCACATGGGACTTGTCAACTTATGTCTCAAGGTAACAGGCGCAGTGGCTGTGCCCCTCAGGTCTTTGCGATTAAAAGTTGTGAGTGACATTGCAAATGCTATGGACGAGCGTGTCGCTTAACACTAGGATGACTTTTTTTCGGAAAGCGCAACATTTTGACGGATTTGATAGCTGAAAATGTGAATTTTGAAATATGTACATACAAACAATTACACTACACTTAATAATAAATTCTTATTCCAGATCATTCAACACTAAGGCTGATTGATGAAATGAACAACGCAAAAACTGTAACAACTGATAATAAAGACAGGTACGTTATCAATAACTTAGATAACTCATGGTATCTCTTTAGATAACTTTGTCGTTTCGATTTCTGAAATCCCTATTCCCTATCATATTCATCAATCATCATCAAACTATTGTACGTTCCACTCCTAGGCCCTGGCATCCTCTTTGGAGAGAGTTTAGGCTATAAATAGTTGGGGAGTTCACACTCCTTCCAAGGGTTGTGAACTTTCTTCGACATGCAAGTTTATTCTTTTTTTTCTTCACTGTTACTACTAAACATTACCTACTACTACCTACATTACTTACTACTAAACCTACCAAACATTCACAAATAAAAATGTACAAATAGATTACTAATGAGTGCAAGATATCTCACCGGCATGCAAAAATTGAATTTTACACTAATATATGAATTCTTCATGTTTATGTACTACAGTGTTTAAATTTATTAAACTATTCCAAAAGTTCTTTGGCGCACTTTTGTACGCATTCGAAATTGATATGAGGATACAAGTGTCATATACATATCACTTTGTCTAGTGTTGGGCAAAGTACGGACCGCAAAGGGCGTTAAGACGACCTGCCAACGTCCCTTCTAATCGATACACAAAATAACGTAGCACTCATTGACTTACAAATAAATGGACGACGGGTCTAATACAAAAACCACGAAAAAAATGTCTCAAGTCAACCTATTTAAACGTAGTGACATGTAAAGGAATATGAAAAAGCTAAAACGTTAGATTTAAATTGTAATGTCATCGCAGTACTGTCTAATTTTGCTTGCTTCGCTGTCAGTCGAACAAACGAAGACTAAAGCGTGAATGACGCTCTGTATACGATTTTAACGCCCTATAAGTTCGGACACTTTTTAGCGCGGACCCGACGTCCATATAATTGTAAGTCAATGGTAGCACTACACAAAAATATTTCAAAAGAAAATGCATTATTGTTCAAATTCTGGCCCCCCACACATCCCTGACTGTCCTTGCAGTGAAGTCGCCCAACTGCGGGAGAGTCTCGCGTCGTGCCAACGGGAGCTGGAGGAGCTGAAGGAGCGCTACCGCGAGCTGGACGACGAGTGCGAGACCTGCGCGCAGTACCTGCGCGAGCGCGACGACCAGTGCGCCAGGCTCAAGCGGGAGAAGGTCGCTCTCGAGGTGGGCCTACACGTCTTGTGAATGTGTACGCACCTCTAGCGCGCACGCTCGACTTTCGGATCAAGTTTCGAAATTCTACAAGTAACATTTTTGGAAACTGGAAAGTCAAAATTATTGATTTTTGTGTTAAAATTTTATATTTCGACTCTTTTATTTTGTTTTTTTTTATTCGGTGATGTCATTTGTGATCAGATAAATGTATTTTCTTACTTCTCAAAAGGTGTTTACTGAATGATTACAAGCGGAAATGGACATATGCGTACTCATTGTTTACGTCTATACGTATATTATACCTAATGCTATATCACACTATGTTAATTGATTATTAATATTGAGTCTATTTTCAGCACCAAGTAGCGGAACTAAATGAGAAACTAAGGGGCAATAAGAGCTTTAATACGAGTGCCATGAAAGTTACATTTGCGCACGCGTCTGTCAATACCGATGAAGGTAAGTGCTTTCTTATTTTTTCATTAAGTAATGATTTTTTAACGACTTCGCCGGTGGCTCAACGGTTTGTACTATGAGCGCTAGATGATGGGATCCCGGGTTAGAAATAAGGTTTTTTAAGTTGGTATTCGTCTGGATGTTCGGTGTAGTGCTCCGGAGTCAATTCCGTTGCCATGATCAGGGCTCCGTCACTTGCTCAAGATTATGCGATAAATGCAAATACAAATCTTTCATTTATGAGCGTTCGGCTCCTCACGGCTGCACACGGCGCGCCAAGTTATTTTCACCTCTCTGAGCGCGTGCTTAGGTGCCTTTTTCCTTGTAGTGAATGTTTGATGTCATACGTCAGATTTAGTAGGCTATTATAGCGTAGGTATTTTCGATTTTGTGTGAAAGTGATGTATCTGTTACGTAGTAACTATTAGATATTCTGTGCTATGGTGCACATAGTACAGTAATTGGTGGGACTATCGATTATTATTATTACTATATATTTTAAAATTAATTTTGTTGCGTCCTCACGTCAATGCACTCTGTGATTGACCGGGTAATTTCGACATTCGGAACTAGTCTGCCGCCGTTAATTGTGATTGCATGTGACAGTTTTTCAAAAATTTGTATTGTTTATGTATACTGCCGTGACCAGGAAAAAATAGCCGATCTGTCACAATTTTTTTCTAGGCGGATAAGGTATGAAGTTACCGCAAGGAAACAGAAGATATTTTCCAATTTCATTTCTTTATGTATTGTTTGAGTTTTTGTCACGTGCGCCCTTTCAACTAACGGCGGCAGAAATTATGTCCTTTTCAATACCAACCTATATACACCAATTGCAGTGCAATTGTGCATGGATCTCGTTTAAAAAAGCTATACGTTACTGAGTTAGTTCACCGAACCCTAACCGCAGGGTTCGGAGACTAGACTAGAGATCTTCGACTGTTTCACAGATTGGGCCAACCTTCACTCAGTGGTTGTAGACCGCATGTCGTTCGACGCCGAAGTCGAGAAGAACAAGAAACTCACACGCACCATCGAGGAACTTCGCTATAAGAAGCAAGAACTCAAGAACACACTCGCTAAGATGCAAAAGACTGCGGGAAAGCATATCCATTACAAGGATGAAAGGTGAGAGATCCTTCTCGCTTAATATACAGTGTATATGACTTGTTCAAATGTAGTACTAAGTATCAAACAGGAGGTGCTGACACGTAATCAAAAGTCAATGCAAAAAATTACTGCACGCAAATGTATTGGCTGAAGATCAGCATCTGAGTAGCTTGAAAAAGTCAAGGATTCTGAATACATTAACTTAGAATGCAATCAGCTGAATAATAACTGAGAAAGAGAAACCTTATTCCGTATTGAGGAGCGATGGTAGTGCAGCGAAAGAACCGCTACTCCATGGTGGAGTGCACTTATAACTTTAATTTGTAAGTGACGCATATTTATTTGTGAATCAATAGCAACACCTCTTACTAGCAGTGAAGAAAAACATTGTCACGAAACCTGCGTGCCCCAAAGAAGGTTCACATCCCTTGGAAAACGTGTGACACTTGTCCCCACATGCATTCACCCAGTGCGGCAGAGTATGACCAAATCTCTCTGTGCCCAGCAGTAAACGTATAGGGGGCTGATGATGACATTAAAACTTTAACACGGATATTTATTTATTTTGCTTATAGGAAGGTTTACAGCTGTAAGTTTAAAATGGTGTATAAAACTACAATATCAAAAAAATCTTATTCCAATAGTCCACATGTGGACATCAAAATTACAAACCAATAAGTAATACTGATCTTACATACATTTTTAAAGTTTAAAACAGTCATAAGTATAAATATCTTAAATATGTCAATTTCATATATCGACCCCTCCTACGTAAAGTATCGTATGTGGAAATTGATAAGTTTACAGGGGAGCGTTTTAAAGTTATGAATTCACTAAAACGAGCATAACACATGGCTTTAGCATTTGTCAGTTTTATTCGGCAAAGCCCGTTACTTGCATAGAGTGATCATCTAATAGATCATTTAACCGATATCTAGGATTTTATAATAGTAGCTCGTAGTAGCTATAATTTAGCATAGCATATAATTTATATGAGATGTTAATATTATGTATATATTAACATCTCATATAAAAAAAGTTTGAGCATACCTACAATTAATAATTACTACAAGAAATAATAGTTGTCCAAAGCAATTTAAAGTTACAGTATAACTTATATGTTCACGCTTCTTTGACCGATCGTAGATGGATTCAAAATAAGAAAAGATTATTTTTAATGAGGATACAATAAGTCGAAGCCGCTGACCGTTACCAGTACGATTTTTTAGTACGGAAAAAAATCGATATCCCTTACATTTTCTATGTTTGTAGCTTTGAACGAACTATTCGACTAGTTTTTACAGTTATGGCTCAAATTTGGTGAACTTAATTTGTATAAGTTTTTATCGATGCTTCCATTGAAAATAGCCCATTTTAGATTTAAGTTACATTTGCAGGTTTTAGGCCTTGTTTGTATGCAACTTTGTAAAATGAAGACTAAGTTTTAGCATTTTGTTTCAGGGAAATAGAAGCAATTAAAGCAGAGTTGAAAACGTGTAAAGAAGAGCTAGCAGAACTGAAGGAGCGGTACAAAGAGCTCGATGATGAGTGCGAGACTTGTGCTATGTACTTGCGCGAGAGAGATGAGCAATGCCGCAAGTTAAAAGAGGCGAAGATGGCGCTTGAGGTATGTCCAACTATTGCATTTCGACTGTGAACTGGCAACCGGTACTATCTCAATTTTGACAACTTTACAGGATAAGGAGATAATCATTTAATAGCATCTGGTTTATTAAATAAAAATACGTGGTGTGCATACATACATGTGTAATAAAAATATTTAAAAACTACGTGTTTTTATTTAATAAACCAGATGCTATATACATGACTCAAACAATTTTTTTTTCATCGTGTAAAGTTGTTAAAAGGCGCACGCAAACATAATCATAAACACTATGAAGTTAAAAAGATGTAACAAATTCTGAACTGATAATACAATTTAAATTTTACACACTCGTTATCGTTGAAAGTTTAATACTTTTATTGCAAGATTTGATTTGATTTTGATCAGTAGCTCCTTGTGAAAGAGTTCGTCCAGGGAAGTACTGCCACCTTACCTATTTCTGCCGCCAAGCAGTAACGTTAGCACTACTGTGTTCCGGTTTTGAAGGGTAAGGGTGCTGGTGAAATTACAGGCACGTGGGACTTGTCAACTTATGTCTCATGGTAACAGGCGCAGTGGCAGTGCCCCTTAGATCTTTGCGATTTGAAACTCAAATTTGCAGATGAACAGGCGTGTAGGCGTGTAGAATCAGGCGCACGACTTGTTCGTCCCGTCACTTGATATTACAAAAAAAAGAATAATATATTGAAATTTTATTCAACGTGCTGCTTGCTATCTTGCGGCTTGAATAAAATCGATAAACAGAAAATTGAAAATTTATTACAATAAGTCATCTTACCGATGATATGAAATACTACTACAGGTAATATTTTTGGTGCGACCATCATTTTTGCACTCCTTTTTTTCTGCGATTTTGCGAAAATCGCAGATTGAGCACAAGTAGGTCTTTCGAGACCTAATGTTGGCACGCGTTTGACGCTAACTAACCATTTCTACTGTATTTATTGTTCTATGAGGTAGACAGAATATGATAACTATATTTGTCTATAAAAGTTCCCTGTTTTGTGTTGCTTTTTATATTACTTTAAGTTATTATTATGAAAAAAGAAAAACAATTTGCGGAACAGTTCCAACCAGAAAAACAGAAAACGTTGATCGTTATAAATTTCTTAACCGACAACACGTAAATTTAAGTCACAATGTGACTCCTGATAATTAAGGGCGCAGTACGATCATGTCAGTTTTTAACTGCATAGTTATATTACAGGCGAAACTGGAGGAGTTTCAAGACCACGGCATTGGACTCTCAGCTCGAAAGAAGCGACAGAGTTTGTACGATCAGAACCGCAGCCCGGCAGTGGAACTTGTCGATGCTTCTACTGAAATCAGCGACGGTAAGATCCACCGATCTAAAAAATGAAGAATCGATACACAATAAATACTTTAAGAATATAATCGGAACCAAGGCATGCAGACCAACGAGTGAACAGCTGATTTTTCTTTCCAGATTTCTTTTAAAACATTGACTTTTATTTTGAGATACCATAAGTGTCAAAATCAAATATTAATTTCAAATATGGATCTCCAATATACACAAACATGGCTTCTGCCTACTCCTCTGGGAAAAGGGCGCGTGTTACACTAATTTCACAGATGTAACAATAGTCTCATCCTTTACACTATCCACAACTTTACGGACACCATTTTATAACTTCATATTTATTGACCTTTGTCGCTTACAGACCTTCTGACTTACCTAGTGGAACGAGACAACTCCCTAAAGGCAACTGATAACTTGCAGCCTTCCAATAGTGAATTGAAACGACTCAAGACGGTCAGTATTTTAGTAGCTTGTTTTAGTTATCGTCAGTCATCTTTACGTATAAGTTTACTAGTTAATTAATATGCCTGCTCATTGGAAAAAAAAACCAAAATGATATAAAGGAATCGTTTTATAATTATGCAAATTCGAACTAACGTTGTAAAACTTAAAACGCGGTTTACGCTGCGATAGAGTTGTGTTTCTGATATGCAAATTAATGCGAATTATAATATGCATGTAGTACGTACTCAGTCAAGAGCACGTCAAGCTTGACACTTAAGACTTAAATCCAACTATATGCCGCTTACGATAAGAACAGTCCCATATCAATCTACATAACTTTTGTGTATAGTGACCGTCCTTATCAACCTCTTGGTTATACAGGAAAGGCACTATGACTTGTGCGCGCACAGGAACCTTACAAGTTCAGGTTCTGACCCCAGATCAGCGTACAGGGTCCTCACAAACCGCTGTCACTTGACTTCATCCGGTTCTTCGAGAGGCTAGTGACCTGGGTGAGCCGCCCCGGAAGCACGTACAGTACCCTCCCTATTTTCCAGATAGGTACCGGAGCTGTAGTCACACTCACTTCCCGTTGCGCATTGCACAACTAGCAGTTGCCACCGCTAAGCCGTTGACTCTGAGTCCACTACCAAATCTCCTCATTCAAACAAACATGTCTGCAGCTAACACAAACCCTAGCAAGTCCGTATCCAAGTCCGGGTCCGCCAGAGACTGGCCCTGGCTGGGGGTCTGGCGGACCTGGCAAACGCGTATCACTGGCGGAGGGCTTGGCCCGGTCGCCCGCCGTACCCTGGTCTTGCCGTCGAGCTCGTAGTCTCTCCGGAAAACTCTCTTGGGTCGGAAGATAGGGACTTACGATTAGAACAGTCCAAAGTACAGTGTGAAGCTTGATGTGCTCTTGACTGTACAATCTCGTTATGAAATATTTTATTTTTTTATTCATTTAATTGGAGCCAACTGTTTTTAAATTACTTTTTATCGTAAGACAAGCAGAGCTGTCTATGATGTGAATTATATTCTTATAGGCTCTAGAAAAAGCGCTAAAAGACAAAGCAACTCTAGAACAACAAGTATTGTCAATGGGAGTACCACAACACCCGCAAGTTCATCCGACTATGTTCGTCTCCACTGGCAGTGCTATCGTCCAGGTAACTTCTTAATTTACTCTATATTCGCCTGCTGCCGAGTTTGAGCTTCAGGTCCAACGCTCAATAACAGACGCATCAATGTATTCAACTGTTGTATCTTTAAAATTTCACAGAATCAACAACTGACAGATGTGATGCGTGAAAATCAAAAACTGAAGAAGATGAACGCTAATCTTATTAAGATTTGCAAGAAACGAAGTAAGTCTGCTAATAATGAGATTAACAGAGAAAATGAGGACCCTGTAAGGCAAGACTGACGTAAAAATAATTGAGATATGCATGTGATTAGTATTAAATATGACGCCGTTTATAAATAGCTCGTTTCGTTTACTGCAGACACTAAACGATAAATGGTATCGTCGTTGATGGTAACATGGACTACATAATAAAAAGCGAAACGAGGCACTTTTGTTTAGCAATGGTTGTTCAGGCGTCAGGCGTTCTGCGTTATTGTTTTTATAATTAAAATTAATTACGAGACTATACTCTGCTAGACAGAGTGAATTTGTCTTGACAATTTTCCTATTTTTGAGTAGCTAATCTGAGGTTTAGCGCTATTATTACATTGAAATAATTACGAGGTAAATTAAAAGTCTTAGCATTTTTCTATTTATGGTGGTTAATGTCTACATTAAAATAATAACAATACTATTATAATCAGCTAGGCTTATTGCACGAAACGTCTTGACATTTTTCTATTTTTATAAATATAATTAGATAAAAATACTTATTTGAAATTATAAAGCGACAATTTATTATAACACATAACGTAGTGGTATAACGTAAATTTAAGACTGAATTATATTGTTGCCATTCCAAAAGCATTTACATATATATTTAAATGTGTGAATTGACCAAATTTACGTTGTGACTGATGGTGCCATTAATCGTAAATAATTATATCATAGTATTGTACTAACGACATTTCAGATTGTACTTAAATAATAATGTAGTGAGGTACTTACTCGTAAAAATATAGATTATTAAAAATATTGGTAAGTTATATAGTATCTTTGAATCCCCGATATTTATAACTGTAAGGTTTAATTTAATGCCGCCGAATGGAAGAATCACTTTTGCCTCGTTGCGCGAGAGGGCGCGCGTGTCCGTAGTTTGTACGTTACACGATAGACAAAGGTCATTATGGTTACAAAAAAGTTTCTATGCCTTTCCGCGGCTATGTAAATTGAGCCTAACAGGGTGGGATTCGCCAAAGTTCTCCAGGCATAAGTTCGCCTGGCGTATGCAGAAATGTGTTTTGTCGTTACTTGGAATATCGCGAATATCTTCAATTACACACTGTTTAGATAATATTTGCTAAATCTACATAATTCCATTATTTATTATACAATATGTAAGTAACACGAGTGCTCAAAGTATTTCAAGATACATGTGCCAATTTTGTTATCATGAAGAAATCTTGGTATTTTATTAAAATTAAATTTTGGATGTAACAATAGTGCCTATATTAAAATAAATGTTTGATTTTGTATTCTTTTCTTGAATTCAGTAGTTGTTGAAATAACACGAACTGTATGTTTGAACACATATTTATTAAAAACAAAATACCATTAAGATAAACAATGAGCCATGTTATACAGGCCACCATGAATAATACCTGTTTCAAAAGTCTCTGGAGAGTTGGCGGGATAGTATACCCATTCTTAAAGAACACAGATTAAAGCCTTAAACACTAGTGAACATCAATCACATTAATTTCAGTCCTTTTTAAATGATAATAACATAATTACTTAGTTAAAGCAAAGAGATAATCACATTACTAATTGGTACATGGAATGCATTTGATTAATTGTCAGTATCGGTTACAATTAAATGGTCTCCTCTCTCGTTGACATTGTCATTAATATCGGAAGCATCCTTTGCTATGGCACCGGCTTTGTTTTCATTGGCTTTGCCGTTCTGAACATTTCCATTTTGGTACATATTTTCGGACATTAGATCTTTCATTTTGGACGGCAGGTCTTCCAATAATTCGTCTGTTTTCTCGTTTTTGGGCGCTTCTTTGCCATTTAAAACTTGGTCTTCATTTACATTTTCCACAACAGCCTGAACTTTGTTTTCATCACCCTTTGCTACATTTGTATCTGATGCACTGTGTTTAAAACGTTCATCTGTTTCCTTATTTTTATCTTTTTCGACATCTGTAGCATTTTCTTCACCCATTTGCCCACTTTCTTTATCATTTTGAGCTGTTTTGGATAAATCTCGTTCGTAGTCCGCTTCTAAATTTGTCTTATTTCGTTCATTATCATCATCTTGTTTATACACACCTGAAGGCCCTGCACTTTCTTCAACATCCAATTCTGGGACTATGTCACTCTTAGCATCTTTCTCCGAATCTTTGTAACTTTCACTATCGGACTGATCTGGAACTTTATTCAACACAAGTTCTACTCTTGTTGGCAGTGCTTGGATCTCTTCAGGTTTTTCATTATTTTTTTCCATTTCTTGTTTAATTTTAATCACTTCTTTCTTCTTTGCTTCGATGTGGTCAGCGTAAGTGGTCTGGCCGACCAATTTGGCTAACTCGGCGGCTAAGCTTAGAGATTCTTCCTCTTTAGATTTACCTAGCACAGTCGCCGCTTGTGACACGTTGCCAAGATTTATGTAGCTGTTAAACAAAACGATTATATTAGAAAAAAGCCACAATTAGCAAATGAATATATCGAGACAAATTGTGATGCTTGCCAGACAGCTGCCATATTGAAACGCCCATGAAGGGTAAGATATTCTCCCCAAAGAAGCAGTACTTCCTCGGCCAAGCTCTCCATGTATCTGAAAGATCAAGTTTTGTAAAAGGCGTCTCTTAAAAAATACGCGATGAATTTGAAAAACAAACTGTATAAAAATATGTACTGCTCACCTCACTCTGCACAACACGTAAGCTTCTAAAAAGAGCTGCGCTTCGCATAGCACTGCCAATGCACCCTTGATGTCATGTAAACTTAGCAACGTAGCTGTTTTGCGATATATGGCACCGCCATAACGCCTATTCTCTGAAACAATATTCGATTTCATACATAGAAAAATAGCGAATGCATACTGGAGAAAGTTTTAATATTTACAATAAAATTTTACCACTCAATTTTCCCTCCTCCCCTTTAGCTACTAGGCGGTCAATTTGAGCCAGATAGAGCTGAGTTGCGTCTTTCCAATACCTGTAAGGGATGACAGTTATTAGATTTGTGTAACGACGAATAAACAATAAGCTTCTACTAAACTCAAAACATTTTCTGTGAGTGTACTATAAAGAATATATAAAATTACTTGAAGGAGACGGACGGCGCCAGACTAATCAAGTAAGGGTCGAGGAGATCCTTTTGACTAGCGTACTGGATCATGGCGTCGATGTACCCGCGGAAGATGCACAGCATCAGCCACGCTTCCACGTTCCCCGTATCTTGGTGCCACTCCACTGGAATTTAGAAGACCTTTTAATAAACACAATACCGGACTAGTGATGAAAGAGACTCAGTTATTTAAGGCCTATTAGAAAGACTACTCCATTTTACAGGATTCGACCCTAAAATTAGACTGGAGGTTCGAATTTCATTAATCGACTTTTAATAAGACTCGGTCGTTATACTTATAGACTCGACGACTAGAGTTGTTTTAAAAAGACTCGTGCCTTAGTCGTGTATGATATTAACAGCTATAACTCTTAGGCTAACAGGCAACAGAGTTATACCTCATTTCTATCTTACTTAACCTGAAGTTTATAAATAAAAATGATGTACTATTCAACCTTTTGGTGTATGTACAACATACATTTAATTTGTATCTGGTTGTAGGAATATTTAAATGACAGTAATGAAGGGCATGTTGTAGCTTGTAACTTGGTAGGGTTCGTTCATATGTCATACTGAAAATAGATATACTGGATGAGCAGTTCTAGTGAATTTGAATTCACTGACCTTTGTTTAACTTCAACAAAAACTACATCATACTTGAAAATATTTCCATTGTATAATGTGTGAGTGGACAAGGTTATTATAGATAGATATGAATTATGGTGATTATGCGGACTGATTAATTTATAATCTATGCTGGTGAGGTCTAACATAATTTGACATTACTATTATTATTATACTTACGTTCCACATCCAAAACATCATTGATTTCGTTGATATTTCCGAACAACTTGATGAAATCTAAGTCGTATTCAACGGTCTCCATTCCGCCATCGATGGCGTTACCGGACAATTTCTCCAAGTACTTCTTGAGCATTACTCTCGGGCCGTTCGCCTTGCAAGTATTTGTTTGCTTAAACAACATAGGTAGGAGGAACTTCTTGCAGCCTTTCATCTTGGTGTCCATGACGGCAGCCTCATGACCCTCCGTTTCTTCTTCGTCGTCCTTTTTATTGTCTTCTTTGGTTTTCTTGTCTTTCTTCTTGCGGTCTCTCTTTTGATCCGGTCTTTCTGTAACAATTTTTATGCCACATACCGTACATACTGCACATTGATGGATAAACACTTTAACTGCCTCCGTGGCCGAACGGTTACCATACCGGACTGCCACGCAGAGGTCCCAGGTTCGATTCCCGGGCCGGGAGAAATATTTGTATGGCCTACAATTGTTTCTCTCGTGAGTTTGGGTGTAATTTGTGGTTGTCTAAGTGTGTGTCCATGGCACCCGCGACACAGGGTTTCCCTAGTGCGGGGCTATGTTGAGTGTGTGCGTTATTTATTTATTTATTAAACAAGATATGTAAAAATCAAAGGCTGCTTTGAGGAGATTGCTGGATTCTAATTCGTAATCAAGGAGAGCACTAGATCGGGAACCAAGCAGCCTTCTGTCTGTTTAGTCTAATTTTATTGCATCCATAGGCGTGTCTTATTGTAACTTACTAGTTGCTAGTGTAAATCTAGGTTTTAGCAACTTTTTTGTGAATAGTCAAATTAAAAAATTCGATCATGTTATGCTGGAGTAATGGACGCCATTTATTTATATGTTATATGGACAACAAAACAGGTAACAATCAAATTACATTGATAAGAGTTAAATATGATATTACGAAATTCTGTACCACACTGTAATCCTACTTATGTTGAGACATCATTGTAGAAAGTAGCACCACAAGAAAGACCTACAGTTCATAATTTGCTAAGGCGCCTTGTGTTGTATACAAGCAACTGGCAGAAGCGAATATTATATTTTCATACAACTGCGGTTGCAGCAACCGGCGACAATGTCCGGTTGCCGCGACTGTGTCGATTTCATATCAATTATGTGAAAATACAATATTGGCTTTTAGTTGCCGGTTGCTAGTATCCAACACAAGACACTCGTTTTCACGGTGTCTAATAAATAATTCGACCCCTCCTACGTAAAGTATCTTATGTCGAAATTGCCAAGTTTACTGTGGAGCGTTTTAAAGTTCTGAATTCACTGAAACGAGCATAACACGTGACTTTGCCGAATAAAACTGAGAAATGTTAGCATTTCTCAGTTTTATTCGGCAAAGCCCGTTACTCACATAGAGTGATCATCTAATACGTTAGTTCCCAAAGTGGTCCACTCGACGGTGGACTACGTTGGCGTGACAAAAAACAATTTGGATATGGAATATGGTAGAAATGTAGCTGCAGGGGGTCCACCAGAACCAGCTAAATTTTGAAAGTGGTCTATGAGAAAAAAACTCTGGGAACCTCTGATCTAATACATCATTTAACCGATATCTAGGATTTTATAATAATAGCTCCCCTGTAAACTTGGCAATTTCCACATACGATACTTTACGTAGGAGGGGTCGAATTGACTCATTAATTTGACCTTTTTCGACTTACTACTGAGACTTAGTCAGAAAATGCTCATCTATTGTGGTTGAAATTGCAAGCATTCCATCGGTTAGAATATGACATGACAACATCGGGACGGTCTCCGATTCGTCAAGTCAGCGCGGCAGACGAAGATACGCTAAGGGAGGCTGCGCACCTTGGTAGGCCTCCGAGGGGTGGTTCGCGGCGTCCCAGAGGCGCAGCGCGGCGTCGGCGCCGCCCGAGCCCACGAGGCAGGCGCGCTGCGGCCGCGCAGACCACGCCGCGCCCAGCGCCGCCTGCACGTGCCCGTCGAAGATGGCCGTGCACGCGCCCGACGCCGCCGCCCACACCTGCGGACGCGCTTCCTCGAGTACTGCACAATCTGAGCTACGGAACGGCCGGCACGCCGTACAAACTTCTCTATTGCCGTGGCTCCGCTTGTGTGTTAGGGGTAACTGACGGCTCGTGTCGCAAAGAAAAATTCGTAAGATTGCTGGTTCGTTCCATGCCTCGCTTGGGAGTAGCTGGTTCGAATCCAGCGGGATCGAAGGAATTTTCATTGTTTTAGGTTCGCTGTGAAGTGTGTTTAGTGTCTAACGTGTTTTGAATTTATTATAAAATTTTCATAAAGTGTTTTCCCTCCGTCACTGCCTGCTATTCAGTCTACTGCTCATCCTATCGTTTCCAGTATCAATATTTACACCAAACTACTGAGTATTTAGAGTAAAACATCGTGATATTCAAAAAAAGACATATTACACAATTCAGTGCTGTACGTACCCTAACGGTGCTATCGGAAGAAGTGGACAGGAGGATTCCTTCCATGTGGGGGTTCCAGGCGAGATCCAGGACTGCGCCTTTGTGCCCGCTCAGGGTCTTCCAGGTGGTCAACTGCTTCGTGCCGTCTGTTTAACGAGCAAATTTTAAAACACGTTATTACAAAAGCAGTGTTGTGTACATGACAGTAGCAATGTAGGGAACATCAATATAATTTCTCAAATTTCATAAATAAAGTTTCAGACAACCACAACAAATACCTGGTCTCTAGGGAATCCCCTGTACTACAAGTAGAGCCCCCAAACCAAAACCAATTTAGAAAACTTCGTTATAAAGATCTGCAGTTAAATGAATACTGGTTTCAAGCGCTAGTTTTAATAGGGAAGTCTGAAGTCCAATGTGAAATAAAAAATCCTTACATTCAACCCCATTCATTGTGTGTAAATTTTAGTACGAGGGGAGGTCTAAAAGTCCGCGGAATGGAGGGGGCGGGAGCCAGCTAATTACGCTTGCTTGATGTGGTACTAATCAGATACTCATTAGGGGTATATATATCAAGCTTCACCCTTTTAACTTCATTAGTTTACGAGATATCGCCCTACAAACAAGTAAATCGGGAAGAAAACTGCAAATATGGAGCAAATCGAGTTTCGTGCTGTCATCAAATTCCTTACCAAGCAAGGAAAACCTCCTCAAACCATTATGAATGAGATGGAAACTGTTTATGGGGATCAGTGCCCTGGTAAAACAATGATTTACAAGTGGCACAGTCTTTTCAAACATGGCAGAGAATCAATTGAAGACGATCCTCGCCCAGGACGGCCAGTTGAGGCCACCACATCAGACAATGTTGAAAAAATCGAAAAATTTATATTGGAAGATGCCCGTCTGAAGAAGAAACAGCTGTCTGCATTAGTAGGAGTATCAGACACTACCATTTTGAGGATCCTACACGATCATCTTGGCATGACGAAAGTCAGTGCAAGATGGGTGCCGAGAATGCTCACGCCGCCTCAAAAGCAACAAAGAATCGATGCATCAAAGCACTTCTTGGAGCTGTGTGGCGCAGAACCTACCCCAATTTTGGAGCAAATTGTTACTGGAGATGAAACTTGGGTTCATAACTTTGAGCCTGAGTCCAAACAGGAGTCAATGCAATGGCATAAAAAGGGTACACCACCCCCTAAGAAGTTTAAGGTGTCGGAATCGGCTGGAAAAATCATGGCTACGGTTTTTTGGGATTGTGAAGGAATTTTATTGGTTGACTACAAAGAAAAGAGGGTCAATATAACGGGAGAATATTACGCAAGAACATTAGAAAGACTGAAGGAAGCTGTCAAAGAAAAAGGCGGGGAAAATGGACAAAGGGTGTGTTGCTTTTGCAAGACAACGCACCGGTTCACAAGAACAATGTTGCGATGGCTGCTCTACACAAGTGTGGCTTTCAATCGCTGACCCACCCACCTAACAGCCCGGACTTAGCCCCCAGCGACTATTATTTCCCAAATTTGAAAAAAGAATTACGTGGGAAAAAATTTCGCGACGATGAAGAGGTTAAGGCAGCAATTTTAGCTCATTTTGAGAGCAAAGAGAAAAAATATTTTTTCGATGGCATAGAAAAGCTAATTTCGAGATCTAAAAAATGTATTGAGCTCAAAGGTAATTATATTGAAAAGGATTTTTGTTTTATATTATTTACAACCCCTCCATTCCGCGGACTTTTGGACCTCCCCTCGTAATTTACAAATATGTTTAGAAACATAGGATTTGACATTTCACGTTGTATGTTAAGGTGATTTTCAATTCGACTGTTAGGCAGCTGATTAATCACGTAATCAATAAAGTATTTCTTGCTGTACCTTCCTTGACACCGTACTCCAATATTACGATGGTATTGACTCTATCAACAGAGCAAACAGCGATGAGATTCTTGTACATTGATTCTTCACTGGAGTTGGATGTCTCTTGCGGATGCCAAACAATCGAATGGATCATTTTACTGCAATACAAGCCATATACAATAATATTTAACAAATGTATCATGCCGTTTTTCTTTTACCTATACTTTGTAGCAGTAGAGCTCCTTGTGAAAGAGTTCGTCCAGGAAGTATTTGTCACCTTACTTCTGACGCCAAGCAGTAATATATTACTGCGTTCCGGTTTTGAAGGGTAAGGGTGCTGGTGAAATGGTGCCTGTAGCACATGGGACTTGTCAACTTATGTCTCAGGGTGACGGACGCAGTGGGAGTGCGCCTCAGATCTCTGCGATTTAAAGTTCCGAGTGGCACTGCAACTGTTACGGACAGGCATGTAGCTTACCATCAGGCGCACGACTAGCTCATCTCGTCACTTGATATTATGAAAAAAAATCCGATGTGCAGAGATTATCCACCAAAATCAGAATTTCATTGCACAAAATTTAAAAAAGGAAGAATTTCAAATGTTAATTTCAACATGGTTGATTTGAAGGATAATAGAATTGGATGACCGATTTCATACAAACCGTTTTGAAATGTTTCTTTTTTTATGCTTACCAACTAATTGTAAGTCAATGTTACCAACTAAATAAAAATATTCTGAATTTCCTTTTAATTATTTCGTAATTTCTCATCATCATTGGCCTTTTATACATCTATTGCAGACGATGTAGTTGGAGTCAGGATTGATATCAATAAAAGAGATAAAAGCACACCAGTTCGTGGCTAAAAAGGCTCATACGAGAGTGACTGTCATTACGGCATTTCTGAGAAATTAAAGAAGCCGTAGATGACTAAGATTTGGTGGCGCGACGGCACGCGTTGGTGACGTAGATTCCTCCCGAAACGTTTTGCCTATAGCATAAGAACGGGGCCGCTGGCATGAGGTCCAAATCGAATAGAATTCGAGTTTAATGTCGAATTTTTAATGATAATACACTGACGTTTTGTGGGTTGCCACTTTTCAATAGAATAAAAAAGATTTGATTTCACTGACTTGCTCAGTAGGTAAATTATATTTATTAATAATTAGCAGGTTCTTTAATCAAGAATTCTCTCAGAGAAAAGTTTAAGGAGACTGGTATCACAGTACATTTACTCAAATATTTTATATACCCGTAAAAATATACATAATTTCAATAAAAAAGAAGATATCCATAATATTAATCTTAGAGCTAAGTCCAAACTCATGGTACCACGATTTCGTTTAACCAAGGTAAACAACTCTTTTATGGGGAGCTGTATACGTTTTTACAATAAGATTCCGAAGCATATATTAAGTTTATCGTTTCCTAAGTTTAAAAACTACATTAAAAATATTTTGATCGAAAAATTTTGTAATATGCAAAATTGAAGACAACGTGTTAGATAAAGATGTATGGAGAGACGACACGGCTCCAGAATCCACACAAATTTGATTCAAAGTGTATTCCATAGCATTTAAGTTTATTTGAAAAGAGCAATCCCTAGAGTTTCTTGCTCGTTCTTCTCAGGGAGGTCAGCGTAGCGAACGAGCAGTAGCTTAAATGTGACGTTTTCAAGTGAAAATTTATTTTACCTATGGAATAAATAATCTTTGACTTTAAAACAGAAAAAAATGTAGAAGTATGTAGAGGTTGACTGTAAATAAAAGTTTATTTTTTATTGTCTCTGTTTTAGTGGTAAGGCAACAATACTTTTCACAAGTGACATTAGTAGCTGTCAGTTTGTTTACCCTAATTAAAAATTGGACTAAATTTAGATGTTTAGCGGTCGCTCTCAATAAGTTTACTTACGCGAAGATAAAGGCGGCGGCTTGGACGACGTGCGGCCGTTTGGTGGACAGCACAGCCACGGCACCGTCGCAGCTGCCCACCACCAGCCCCTGTGGGTGGTACGTCACTGAGCTCAGGTCCAGCTTGCGCCCCTCCAGCTCCACGGGAATGGCTTTCGGTGCTAAATTAACAAAATCATTTAATTGTGCTATACAATTACACCAATTAAAAACAGGACAGATTTATGACTGTCGTCAAATACAATGCGTCAAATTATTGCAGTTCCTATTTTCTGTGGAAAGTTCCCACTGAAATTAGGAACTGCAATAATTGTATAGAATTTAAGACATTATTTAATTACCTTGATGATATGACATTGTACAAAATTGGATTTTTGTTTTAAAGTTTCACATTTTTTTAAAACTTGTGAATTATTAATTCATTCTTGTAACACCTTTATAACTTGCATATCACAAAAAATAACTGAATTTAATCATGTTTTAATAATGTTTCGCAGCAGACGCGGTTGACGTATTTTTTATACAAAACGTTGGGGTGTTGTACACTTTGCCCATTTTTTTGAAAATTGTCGAACATTTTATGCGGTCGATAACAACAGCTTTGTCACTATAAAGTAGAGGAATTGGTCTGGTTTTATTTGATTGGCATAAACTAATACACCGACATCAAATGCTTCATGGTCAAGCTACCAATAAATGGACGTCGGGTTAAAATCGCATACAGAGCGTCAATCGCGCAAGTCTTCGTTTGTTCGACTGACAGCGCGGTTGTCAATCATGCAGTACCAAAAATTATAACTTGTAAAAATTACTGCAGTAAAGTTTAAAATCAGGATTTTGTATCATATTTTCACTAAACGAATATATTGTATTATCATAGTTATCATTTAAAAGTGTTATTTTGTACAGTTTTATAGTATTTAATTTATATATAAATTAATTGTAAATATAAATGACAAAAGCACACAAAATAATCAAATAGCTAACTGTCCTTTTTCTACACATTGCATGCGTAGAAAAAGGACAGTTTCAAGAAGCTTATAATAAACTTCTTGGTCATTTTCAATTGTATCTATAATTTATATTTATATTTTATAATAATTTATATTTATATATATATATATATATATTTTTGGCTTTGTGAAAAGCATCAAAATTACTCGAAAGCGTAACGGTTTTATTACAAACCAAATAAATTAAATGTTTTAGTTTTTTATATTTCGTTACATGTCACTATGTTTGTATAGTTAACTTCGGACATTTTTTCGTGGTTTTTGTATTAGACCCGATGTCCATTTATTGGTAGGTCAATGCGGTCAAGTATTGCAATTGCGAACTTATTCACTCGCGTTTATAGAAAGTGGTTTCTGTTTCGCTTGCAATTAAAGTTATTATCCAAAGGTGTTTGCACAAAGGGCCTCACGTTCGTCAGTGGCGTTGCCCTTGAAGAGTGCCAGCTCGCCTCCGCCGCAGGCGTAGAGGTCCCAGCCCTCAGCCCAGGCCAGTGCATAAACCCCTCCGCGCAATAAGGGCGGGAAGGGGCGTGCAGGCCGCGGCTGTTTGCCTGCCGCCGACGCGTCGATTATGCCCACCTGCACGCATATTATGCAAAATGATGGATATACACTCCCGGAAACGTAAGTCGAGTCTTCTTGCATTTTCAGTATTAAATGGCCTAACAATGTTTGATTGATAATAAACTATTTTGAAATTGCTGTACTGAACGTCATTACTATAAGTCCTTCTTGAAAATTTTAATTTGTAAAACCGACAGAAATGTTTTTATCATTGTGTTCTGTCCTTTAAAAATAAAAATGCAAGGTGATTTAACTTATGTATCCGGGAATATATTATCGGTTTTCAAATTACATGACTATTTTAAATTTTACGAAAACTGGCCACCCTGCAAATGTCATTTTAGTCCGTCTTCAAAAAAGACAGACTGTATACATACATGTTTCATGATAGATATATGTTTATGTGCCTACTCAAATGTTCACATTAATCGGGGTTACGAGGTTTACGAATTTAACCGACGTTATGTTTGTATAGAGTTTTTTACTTGTCCATACTGTAAAACTTTAAATTATAAGGCAACTCACCCTAGCCTCTCCAGTAGAAAAAGCAAGGATGTTCTCCACAGTAGGATGCCATGCGACGTTGAGGACTTTTCCCTGGACGTTGTGAGAATATGAGGTGACAGTGCCCGATGTCAGCTTGGTGTCGTCGTCGTCGAGTGTGTCCGACTCCCACACGCGAACCTCGCCGTCGCCTACGGCTACTGCCACCCTGGATAAACAAATTTTCTATAAATATTATACGTTATTAACAGGTACACAGTTCACAGGACAGCATGTCCTGTGCACAAATATAAGTAAGAAACGAAAAATTGAATCTTGTAGATATAGTTGCATTTCTAGGTATAACTTTATATGCTAAATTGCAGTGGGGTCCACATATAAATAATTTATCGCAACGGCTCAGCTCTGCAGTGTACTCAGAATACAAAAACTTTCAGATGTCGAAACAGCTAGATTGGTTTACTTCAGCTACTTTCACAGCGTAAAGACATACGGCATTTAAGTTGGGGTAATGCCGCCGATATTAATAGAATCTTTGTCCTGCAGAAACGTGCGGTAAGGGCAATTTACAATATGGAGTAAGAGTGTCTTTGAAAGTTACGTTTAAAGAAATTAACATTGTTACACTAACGTCACAGTACGACCCCTCCTACGTAAAGTATCGTATGTCGAAATTGCCAAGTTTACAGGGAAGCGTTTTAAAGTTCTCAATTCACTGCAATGAGCATAATACGTGACTTTAGCATTTCTCAGTTTTATTCGACAAAACTCGTTACTCACATAGAGTATTGTAAAATCCTAGATGTCGGTTAGATGATCACTCTATGTCAGTAATGAGGTTCTGCCAAATAAAACGGAGAACTTTAAAACGTTCCCCTGTAAACTTGGCAATTTCGACATACGATACTTTACGTAGGAGGACTCGAGTACATTTATGAAAATGTTATTTATGTTAAATATTTTTTTTATATTTATGTAAAAATAGTGTTAGGCCTAACATTAACACATTAGCATGGTCCTTGACAGTCATCTTTATAAGGTCTCAAATGCATTTAAGGTGCAATGTGTATGCTTCTATAAGATTCTGATTTATATTCAAAATTTGCCATTTACGAGGTTTAAAACTATAGTGAAACAAAAACTTTATAATAAAGGTTTATACAGTTTCTGTGTACTTTCGATGACAAGAATCCGTGGTAGTGGCCCGTTTAACTCTTGCAAAAAGTGTTAATCTTAGAAGATGTTTGAAATAAATATTGTAAATGTATTCAAATCTATATTTAAAAGAGCAACCCTATAGTTTCTTGCTTTTCTTCTCAGGGGATTCAGCCTTACAAATGAGCAGTAGAGTTTAATTAATATGACGATTTCAAGTGTAATTTGCTTACCTATGAAATAAAGATGATTTGTAATGTGATTTAAATGGTTACCATGTTGATCTATCTGCCAAGCAGAGGTCTAATTTGTAAATTTGTGGTTTGTGTGCTATATGTATATTTGGCCTATGTGCAGGGTTTCCTTTTTTTTTATTTTTGACAGGGGGGAAACCTTTATGGATACCCCTGAGCCCAGGGAGACTTATGTGGGGGCTCTCCCTCCAGACTGGAGGGCCTACCCCACTAAAACCCCCCCTGGTTTTCATCTTGCCGGTTGAGTCGGCGCCGTGGGATCGGTGATCATTCACCACGTCACACAGGGTTTCCCTAGTGCGGGGTAGGATTGTACGAGTTTTTGCTTTGAATCGATTTTTTGGATCCATATATCGGATCGTATGCTCTTAAATCGATCTCATAAAAATGGTTTCAAAATAAATTTCGAAAAAAAAAAGCTTTGAGTCTTTTTGGCATTAGTCGGTTCTGACTTTAATTTAGAGTGAGAAAAAAACGTTCAGATGTTACAGAAATAGCGAAAATCGCCAAATATTGTTGATTTCAATAAGTTAACAATTTAGCGATTTTCGCTACTAATACTGCAATTCGCTACTAGCAGTTTGGTAACAAACTGCTTTTCTTGCAGGCCAATATAAAATAGGGGCAGAAAATAGTTAGATTGTATACATTTGACTCGATCTTCATAAAAATCGAATGGTAATGTGCATCCCTAGTACGGGGCTATGTGTGCGTTATTTACTATTATTTAAGGAAAACACGATAATGAAACCTGCATGTCGAAGCAAGTTCTCAACTTTTGAAAAACAATTCTCCAACCACATTGAACCAGTGTGGTGGACTATGGCCTATGCTCTCTGTTTAGAGGAGATCCGTGCTTAGCAGTGGAACGTATACTGGATAGGAAGTAATAGATTGATAATCAAACTACTGGAGTCTTTTCACTAAAAAAATGGTGTATAACAATGTGTAATGGTTTATAACATAACTTATATAACATACTTATTAAAGTATATTAATTTAAATATTGCAAAGAACGTCTACGTACACGGTGTTAAGTTTCACTTTCATTTCAGTTTCACACCCAAACCAGAACCAATTTCGTTAAGTTCCCAAGTTGGTCTTACTGGGAATTGAACCCGGAACCTCATCATCCGGCGCCCAAAGTACAAACTATTGGGCCACAGAGGTACGGGCCGATGGTGTACTTAAATAAAGAAATATAAACACTTACTTTTTAGCATCATAAGGGCACGGAACAATCTTATAGACGAATCCCCCGCAGGTGTTATAGACCGCCGGCGGTTTTTGCTTCTTCATGGAGTAGGCAATGAGGGTGCGGTCCTGGGCGGCGGTCCACACAAGCCAGCTGTCGTCGTGCGACTTGTCGGCCGGCATCTCCGGCGGCTGCACGCGCGGCGCGTTCGTCGCCACGTTGGTCAAACCGCGCTTGTGCAGCGTGGGGAACACGCGGTACTCCAGTTTGTTTTTGCTGGACGACGCAATGGTTTGTTATTTAACGTGATATCCACTAGTGTACCTATCGGGGTTGTCGCGAATATTAGCATAAATCCGCAGATTGATTGTTTTTATGCCGATACACTTTTTTGTTAATAAATGTCACAAAATCATTAAAACAATCTTTTATCTCAATACCAAATAGAAAGCTATTTCAAGATTCATTAAAGTTCTGTACATTTTTCACTATTTTTTCAAATAGATAAAATCTGCAACCGCACCAGCTTCTGCTGGTGTTAAAGCAAAAAAATAAGTATCCACTGGTCTGGAAAAAAATTGCACCAGCAACAACTCTGGTACCTAGTACAAAACGAGGTCGCAAATTGCGCGGTCAAGGTATATAATTTTAGAAAATTAGGAGTCCAATGAAAACTAGTGTTACAGGCTAATCTCGGCTGTGGATTAGCTGAGTGGATCCTTTCGCGTAAGCTACAGCTGTACACATGATAACGTTTCATATTGTATTGATATGCTTATGCTTGCTTGCTTTGTAGCTTCTTGTTTTACTTTTGTTTTCAATAACTCTTTACATTTGTGTATTATTGTTTTGTGACGTCCCAGTAAATGTTTTCTATTCTATTCTAAAATAAGAGAGCATTATATTTTGGCTTCATTAGTGTCCTCTACAAAGCAGAGTAAAATTGGATATAACTTAGTCATGACAAACGTATTATCAGATATCACAGGGAGGTGCAATATATTATATGTATTCCTATAGGAATAAGCAAAAATAACCTAATGCATACCAATCAATTTTCAAGGGATTACACTCCAGAAGCTGACTCTTGCCGTCGACCAAGAGCAACACCTCCGACTTGTACCATAGCAGGTTGCACCAGTGAGGAGTGCCCCTTTGGTTCCTCTGGTTTTTGTTGAAACCCGCATTTGGTATGGCACAGCTGCCTACCAACTTGCCTGACTTGGACCAAATACGAACACTTCTGAAATAACAAAGAAAAGTATGTTAATTACACATCTGTAGTCACACAGAAACCTGGTCACAACAATTACACGCTGGTCCTCGCCTTAAGTACTATGAAACGAAAAGACGTCAAGATCTTGTGAAAGGTTGTATGGAAGTTTTATCTCCTATGACAAATTCCATGAAATAGCAATGGACAGTGGCGCAATAATTTCACTAATGTAATTATGATACAAAAAGTACATAATAACATGCTTTAGGGAACATTGTTACCATCCAACCAAATAAGCATTATCAGACCTCAATTTAACTGGCCATGACTACATTTACAGCATCCTCTCTATTGGAAAACAATATTCGCAATTGTTTACTGTTTGCATTTGCCTTACATTTATTGTCAACACGTTCGCGGCGCGATAAACATTACTTACCCATATTTACCAACAGTGGCCAAAAGGTGTTTTTGGATATGCACACTAGATTCCACCTCGCCCTTAGTGATCTTCCCTTCAACAACAACTTTAGCTGCATTTTGGTTAGCAGCAGCTTCCTTTGCCTCATTTTTCTTTACATCTAATTCAGTTTTATCCATTGCCTCAACTAGAGACTCAATAGAAGCTTCATCTTGATTTTTCTTTTTAATTATTTCATCTTTCAGCTTTAAACATTCAGCCAAGTAATCATCTTGAACAACCTCTTCCTTGAGTTTGACTACAATGTCCACTGGTTGGTATTTCTTGTGTCCAAACTCCTCCAGATCAGGTTCCTTATACATGTCAAACAAGTCTTCCTCTTGGACAACTGATTGGTCATCAAAACTGTCCTCAGGAAGTATTTTGCCCATAGCAGATTCATTTAGAGGAGTTTTTGTAGTTTGGATCTCAGTATTAAGTGATTTCTCTTTAGCAGTTTGATCAGTTTGATCTGAGGATGTAGAGGGCTCTTGTACATCTACTGCTTGATCACCACAAGTTAGTTTTACTTTCTCATCAAGCATCTTCAGAGTTTCAGGAGATTCTGGTTCTTTGCGTATCCTTTCCATCCTTTGGGTGGCGACGCTTTTCTTTTCTGACTCTTTGAGCAACTTCCTCACTGCCACTTCATATTGCGGGCACCAGCCTACTTTGAGTATTTCGTCATCTTGACCTTTTACTTTATATAACACTCTTGCAGCACCTAAAATGAAATTCATAAAGGTTTTGAATTATAGCTTCACAACTTTACAAATGTTGGGCAATATTTTATTAATGTTATTATTAAATAGACTCAAATAATGTACAATAATAGAGAGATATGTAAAACATTAAATAAATACAATACACTCAACTTTGGTAGGATTATTCTAAATTCCTACCACAACCTTCGTGGTTGGGTGACTTGTACACCGGTTTTCATGGTGTCGCCATATCTTACGTCCCGGGTTCGATCCCCAGACAGGCAATGTAGAAAAACTATTTTTTTTTTATATTGTGTTGGGTCTGGGTGTTTGTGGTACTGTCATTGTGAAAGATTTCCATAATACAAGTGCTTTTAAATTAATTTGGGAGCAGTGCAACAAATGTGATGTTGTATATTTATTCATGAAATAATGCCATACAAAAATCACAATCTCAATGGAACTGTCTTATATTTTTAGTATCACATTAAAACTATAGCAAATTGTGAATTTCCAGAAACAAAAAAATTCATCATCAATATATCATATTCCACCATAATGACCAAAATTAGATCAGGGAAATTATATAAAGTTATGGGAACATTTTCCAACATCTACATTTTATCACAATATCTTTCTTCACCATAAAAGTATTAATGACCACTTGCATTTGTAAAGAGACTTTTTTTAAAAATAATTAAACATTCTTACCATTCAAGTCCAGAACGAAGATGACTCCCTGTTTAGTTCCAATGGCAACATTCAAATGGATATGTGGAGAGCAAGCCATACATACTGGTCGGAAGTTGTTAAGGATTTTGTTGAATGTCTTTACTACATTTGAGTTCATGTCCCATTTCACAATATAACCGTAACAACCAACTGTTACGGCATAACCATCTTTGCAGTAACCAACTCCTATCACTTCCTGAAATAATTAGACATAGTTCACAGTTGAGCAATGGAAGGAGACGGTTATGCGGTCATACAATTTTAAAACTAGATATAAAAAGATCAAAGTTGTGTCAATTAACAGCTTATATATTGCATAACAATCACTGAAAATTTTGCAGATTTTGGCTTCTGAGACCACAGTTATAAGAGATTTACTAACATTGAGTTCATGCATCAACCTATGCTTAATTATTCATTTGTAAACTAGAAAGTAGTTAGGAAACTCAAAAATTATTAGATTTAAAAGATTTCTCTAATTGTTATGCTACATTATGTTCTTTTTATGGTGTAAAGGTGCTAGTGAAGATACGGCACATGGGACTTTTCAACTTATGTCTCAGGGTGATGGCCGCAGAGGCAGTGCACCTCAGATATTCGTGATTTAAATGGTACTGCAACTGTTATGAACTGGTGTGTTGTTTACCATGATACTAACTAAACTTAGTATCATAAAAAATTTAAAAATAAATTAACTCTTTCAAATTCAATGTAACAATAAGTTACAACAAATATTGTCACTATCAGCACAGACAAAAATACTGTAACTAAGTTTTATTGAATGTCAGAATGTTTCATCTCCATATAATACTGTTTAGGGCAGTTTTATAACCCTGACGTTGGCAAAGGCGTCGTGCAAAATGACAGAGCCATACCAATTTAGAAAACTTGTAACTTGATACTCAACTATACGATTTTAAGTCTTGTGGATACGACTTGCATCAATGTCCTTTGTGATTATATAACCAGCAATAACATAAATTTATAATTTGTCTGTCCTGCCTAACACACTTACATACTAACATTTGTCTATATATATTGTTCTCCGTCCCTTTCAGGTAATTCAACAGCTTTAAATAGGAAAGGATTTTTTTTATATCACATTGTGCTCTCACAATACTCATTGAATAGCAGAGTCTACAGAAGCCCTTAAAATTACTAAGCGGAAAACTCGATACTGGCGAAATCTAAAGGGTAGCGCCATTAAGCAAAAAGAAGAAGAAGATTTTTTCTGAAATTACTTTTAATTATTTTTAGTCTATATCGAGTTCTTAGGTTTTCGCGATTGTTATACATAGGAATGAAACTATTTTTCCGGATTTAAATCGATTTAAATCCGGAAAAATAGTTTCATTCCTATATTTTTAGTCTACTAATTTGTTATAATTATTAATACAATGGTCAAAAACTTAGAAAAAACTTCCTTCAATCTGGTTGGATTAGAACCAGCATCTCCTAGCAAATTCTGCAGACACTATGCCAACTAAGCCATGGAGTGGAGAAATACATTTCTCAAAGCATCTGCTTTTGCAGGCATGTGTTGATGTTCATCAAGTTAAGTCATTAAAAAACCAAACAATTTTCAATATGCATTAACTTCACTTTGGCCAATAAATGTAACAGGCTTATTTTATATTTGAGTAACCTTGGTTTGAGAAGTATGACGCTGTAGGGACATACCTCTTTTTCGTTAGAGTGTATTTCATGGCTGTGTGTGGTTTTCATACTCAATGTTTTCTGTGTCCGTTCCAAGCTCCACTGTTTAACAGTACCATCTGCACTGCCCGTCAAAACCGCCTTCTTTTCGGGCCATTCTGGACTTATGTCTACGCATGAAATCCTAGAGAAAATAATATAAGTATTAAAATTTGAAGGTATAAAAAATAAATAAACGTGCACATTGAAAAATAAAATGGAAAAGTTACTTTTCGCTGTGGGCTCTAAGAGCTACATGGGATTGATATGCTTGGTTTCCGCAAACTAAAGTGTTGGAATCCGCCGGCAAAGGCTCCATAACACAAAGGCTTTTAGAGGGTCCACCATACACAAGCCAGCCATCGTTGCTGACTGCCAAACCTGATGATTGGTACCAATTAGGCGACGGGAATAGCAATGTTTGGTCCATGACCAGACAAATACGCTTAGTTTTAGTTTATTATATCAAACAAATGCTAAAACAATTTGCCTCAATGAAAGAAAACCGGCAAAAACCCGCGCAACTACAGACTGAAAAAAGAATTACATGAAAATATTGAAAATTGTGCAATGTTGCCATTATTAGGAAAATGAATGAATGTAATAATGGACAACAATATTATCGAAAAACCGGTTTTTACTAAAATTTGCAAATTTTTTCTACGGCAACTGTACCAAACTGTCACAAAGAACAAAATGACTGACTGCTAGAGTACACTCTATTTTGTCTATAGTTGTTGTTGTATTGTGGTGATCTCTGCCTCTTTCTTTAGTGGTTTGTGGTTGTGTTGTTGATAATTTTTCTAGAACAGCTGGAACTGGAAATTTGTGATTTCTCTGCATTTCTACTTAATCCTCTTCGCTAAAGTTTTCATTTATTGTGACTGTGTTTAACTTTGGGCTACATCATGGCACATTACAAAGGAGCTGCCTCTGAGGCTGGCAGAGCTATGCATCTAATGAAAAAACGTGAGAAAGCTCAGCAGGAGATAGAACTTCGTAGGAAAAAGATTGAAGAAGACCTTAAAATGGTCAATATTGAGAACAAATTTGCCACTCATTACGACGCCGTTGAGCAGCAGTTAAAGAGCTCAACTATTGGTTTAGTAACTCTTGATGAAATGAAAGCAAAACAAGAACACATTGTACGGGAAAGAGAGAAAAAACTCGCTCAGAAGAAAGCTGAGAAGGAGAAAGAGAGGCAAAAGGAAATTGAAGCAAAACAGGCCCAGAAAAACAAACAGAAACGTCAGGTGAGGGAAACTTAACCCATAAATGGTAGATACTCCAATTCAGCTTCTCCGACTCGCATGTAGCGTTGTGGTTCCATGTTCATTATGCCAACATGTAAGAAGTGGAAATCTGCTAATTTCTATATTACAATGCAGCCTGTATATAGTTAAGTTCAAAATGAATGCCTGACACTATCTAAGCCAAATTTATCAACATCTTCACAACCAAAACAAAAGTAAGCCAATCTTGAGTAAAAATAAATAACAGTTGTTTTTAACACCAGCAACTATTCCATGTTGCCATTTTCGTTAAAGGTTGCCTGAAACAAATTTCTTATAGAAAGTCAGTTGTGCTCTCTTTTTGTATATTTGCAATAAAGATGTATACAATTAATTGATTTGTAATTGGTGGTATAATGGGTTATCACTGACCTGTCTATGGTTGGGTCAGTGACCTGTTTATTTACATTTTCTGCATAATGAATTGAAATGAACTATTATATTAATTTTACCCTGGCTGCGTAGATGATCAAGAAGAGACGGCAAACATTTTACTCTATTTCATAATAATTTGCTTTGTCAGATTCAAGCTCTCTCTTTTGACCTGAATAAAGATGAAGAAGAAGACAGTGACAGTGATGACAATGATGGTGCACAGTCTAGTGAAGAAAAACCAGACATTGAAATGCTGGAAGCAAAGTGGAGAGATAAAGAGGAACCGGTGAGTTTAATAATATATTAAATAATTCGATTTCAACTTTTTAAACAAAATTTGAAAATGTATGAGAAGTAATTTTTTTGTGATTTACAGAAGTAATATGTAGGTGCTCAGGTCCTCAATTAGACTTCTTAGCCATTATATGATATGTGACAAGGAATATAATTTAAATCTTTAGTGTCAAGACTGATGAACTACCCACCATATTTAAGAATAGCTCCTGATTTAGACATTATCTATCCTTTATTTAAAGATATACTCTTTGTGATGGGCTATCCTGTATGAAAATAAAATATGTTGTTGGATAACGTCACACACCTTGCTTTGACTCCATAGTAACTAAAGCTCATGTGTTATGGAAATAGGAAACAACAACAGTACTATGAACACCCAGACCCAGAACAATATAGAAAAGTTAGTTTTTCTACATTGATCAGCCGGGGATCGAAATCCGGGACTTCAGAGGTATCGACACTAAGAAAACCCGTGTGCAAACCACTTGACCATGGTGATTGTCAAAATAAACACTAATATGTATTTATTACCAAGAGTGTCCCTTTATGCTCTGGCCACACAGAGGCGGCCGCGGAAGAGTTCCGGGCGCGGGAATTTTTATGTACGAATTTATATGAAACCTGCTCACTGAAACGCTGTGACAGGGTTCATATATACTCGTACATTAAAAAAACTACCGCGCCAGGAACGCTTCCACGGCCGCCTCTGTGTGACCAGAGCATTATTGGGCATGGGTTTCTTCTAAGAACAAATTTTAGGGCATAATCCAATACGGGTTGGGACTTCACATATTTTCCATAGGCTGTGAACTTTCTTCGATATTTAGTAGCAGTAGAGCTCCTTGTGAAAGAGTTCATCCAGGGAAGTACAGCCACCATACCTTTTTCTGCCATCAAGCAGTAATGTGAGCATTACTGCGTTCTGGTTTTGAAGGTTAAGGGTGCTGGTGAAATTACAGGCATCTGGAACTTCTCAACTTATGTATCAGGGTGTCACGTGCAGTGACAGTACGCCTAAGATTTTTGCGATGTAAACCCCTGACGGGCACTAACTGCAATGGATAGACGTGTCGCTTACCAGCAGACGCACGACTTGTTCGTCCCGTCACATGGTATTCTAAACACAAAAAGCAGATTTTTGTGACAATGTTTTTGTTTACCGTTAAATTGATCTAAACTTTCGCAAATGTAAATAACTCACAGTCACAGGTATTTAACGCCTGAGGGATTCAAACTGTCAAAACCTTCTTAATATAGAAGTAACCATTTTGCCACTGAATTACCCCTGCTCTTAAAGACCTACATACCTATTCATCTCAGTTGTTAAACAAAAAATGGACATGCATCATTTCAGGTTCTTAAGAAAATAAAAAAGAATCCTGAAGTAGACACATCATTCCTCCCTGATAGAGAACGGGAGGAGGCAGATTTGAAGCTGCGTGAGGAACTGCGGTTGGAGTGGGTAATGACACAGGCCAGCCTCAAGGATGAGCCTATTACAGTCACCTTTAGCTACTGGGATGGATCTGGACATAGAAGAAATGTAACCTTAAAAAAAGGTAAATTCATGTACTTGTAAATGATAAAATTTTGTAATATAGACATTTTTTTTTAAATCACTCCTCTAGTTTTGTTATGATTAATAATAATAATATATTATTATAGTGTTATAGTGTTATAGTGATTCATTATCTCAACACAAGGAAATAAATATACACTTATTTTATAATAGACAAAAATTTTAAAATTGTAAAATTATAAAATTTTGAGTGATTGTTATTGTTAGTTGTATGATGCGAATAGAATCATTTATTCAGGTTATCTGAGTCTCAATAATTATTACCATTTAAAATACATTATCATGACCATGATATCATTGTTACTAATATAAACAATAAAATTAATATTAAACAAGTTTTCAATACAAAGTTTTGTCAAAATACAAATGTGTTATAATATTTTCAGTTGTTCAAAATATTTATATGTATATTTTTACAGGTAACTCAATATACCAATTTCTGCAACGCTGCTTGGACACATTAAGGCCAGAATTTAGTGAACTGAAGACAGTTTCTGCCGATCAGCTCATGTATGTGAAAGAGGATCTCATACTGCCACACCATTATACCTTTTATGATTTCATAGTCACTAAGGTGAGAACAAACAATATTTTTATTGACAAATTATTTTTGGACTCTGAAATAGTGGGTTTAACAACGACTTGATATGGTCTTTTAGCTTCCGGAGTTTGAGTAAATGGGGAAAAATCCAATTTTTTATTGGCGTATTCAATGCCACAATTATTCGCTATTCGAAATTTGACAACATGACCAGAATCTACACACTTTGACGACAAGGTGGCCCAGTGGTTAGTCTTAGCCAATTTTGGGAGACAAAGCTTTCTAAATTGGTCCTGCTCAATCAGATCTAATTTAGATAGCCAATGGCGCGCGCTTATTTCGATTTTATCGCACGCGTCGCGACATCATGCTTAGCCATGCTATGGGGCTGGTCTGGGTATTCTGGAAAGTCCCCAGAGTTAACTGCATTGCTTTGTTACTCATTTATTTATTTATAGCCTTTATTGCTGATAACTTACATACTAACTTATCTAATACAGAAACATTGTATGACATGTGTATACTTATTTACTATTTATTATTACTCAAATTTGTTGACTTCGTACCTTCAGCTTGTCTGTCCTCAGCTTGTCTGTCCTAAAACATAGGGTTCTGCCAGAGATTTCCATTTCTCCCTATCTTTTGTTGTTTGCCTCCATGCTCTTCGAGCAACATATTTAAAATCATCTTCCCATCTAAAGTATGGTCTTCCTTTTTCCCTCTGTTCTACAACATCCCTTGGCCACTACACGTGAACTATGAGACACGGAATTTCCTAGTTTGAGACCAGGTATAGATATATTAGCTAGAACTCGGATTGCATATGTAGTGGTGTACTGTTCGCATCAAAACCAAAACAACACGAGTTATTTGTATGTATGGTTCTAATCGGTATCATATAATATGTCTTCTTCTTCAGAAATGTCACAAGTATTGATAAGCTTTGAGTGTGTGCGTTATATTATTTATTTTCTTCACTTTCGACATGTTGACAAACATTTTCATTCCTCAACAATAATTGCATTGTATTATATTATTTGCTAACACCATATTGCTTTTCATATTTAAAGAAATGTTGCTTCACTCGACATTTCCGTTAACTATCGGCCTAATCGGACTAATATTTTCAATCGGATTAAATTGGGCTATCGCCCTATCGGGCGGCTGTTGTAAAACCACGGAAAAAAAGCAATGGAAATGCCTTAAGCCTCGATTAATATCATAACTGATGTTGCCAAAACTCACACATTCTTAATTTGAAACATTACAAAATCTCGATATTGATTGGACGTAGTTTCAAATTTAAAAAGAACTAACAAATTCTGTATTGTTAACATAATTTAAAATTTACTCGGTTGGCATATATCGTTCAATACCTATTATTACAAGTTACGACGTTTTGATATTATATTGAAATTTCAATCAATGTGCTGCCTTCGGAGGTTCTTTGATCAACGACGACGAATTGGAGTTACTTAGTTCTCCAAACAAGAAGCGACCATATTGCAGGGATATAAGCTTTACTTTCGTTTCATGTAATAAAAAAAATATTTCGGTAAACAGAAAATTAAAATTTATTAAAATAAGACTCCGATGGTATAAAATACCACGAGTAATATTTTTGGTGTGGCTATCGTTTTTGCACTCCAAAACAGCATAATAAGGCATTTTTTAGAATTCGCACGAAAGAATGATACAACCATACCATGCAAAGCGAAAATGACGGACTGTTGGCACGCGTCTGACTCTAACTAACCACTTCTACTGTATTTATTGTTCTGTGCGTAAAACTGTATGTCCAAGTTCATTTAAAATTGCAAATATGTGGCACTGGTACTACATGAACCGTCCTTTATTTTGTTTAATTAGTTCACATTAACTTATTTTGTATTTATTATAGATTATAAAGAATATAATTGGTGTTGTCTTTATTTTAAAAATTCTTAGATGTCAATATTGCCTATTAATAATGAATTAAAATATTCCTTTAGGCAAGAGGAAAAAGCGGGCCCCTGTTCCAATTTGATGCGACAGATGACATAAGATTAGTGAATGACGCTACACAGGAAAAACAAGATTCACATGCCGGCAAAGTACTTTTGAGATCCTGGTATGAGAGAAACAAACACATTTTCCCCGCATCCCGATGGGAGCCTTATGACCCTACCAAAACATATTCAAAGTACACCATCAAAGGGAAATAATGGATTTTCAATATTCTGATTACTTTTATAAAGCAATCTTTTGGGATTAGATGTTTACATAACTAATGCCAATAATTTACTGTACTTTTTATTGTGTAAATAAATAATTTATATCAAAATGATTACAGTATTTATTTTGAAATTCTTGAAGGTAACATACATACATAAAAATACACTATTCCCATGTGGATGTTTAGACACAACACCATTGCTAAACAAAGACCGTCCTTTACGTGCATTGACTTACAAATAAATGGACGACGGGTCTAATACAAAAACCACGAAAAAAATGTCCCAAGTCAACCTATTCGAAATTTAAATTGTTATGTCATCGCAGTATCGCGCTGTCCGTAGAACAAATGAAGACTAAAGCGGAGTGTCGCGCTCTGTATACGATTTTAGCGCCTTACAAGTGCGGACACTTTTTAGCGCGGACCCGACGTCCATATAATTGTAAGTCAATGTTTACGTGCCTATATTATTACAATATTATAGAAATATAGCTATTGTAATAATAATGTAATATTTCTCCTATATTTACACTGTTTATTCTCATAATTCCTCGCCCGTTTCTTTTTCCACTTTTTCTCCGTCTTCCTATTCCTGTTACCAAATTTCATTATTATGATATTTTATGTTTCGCCATTTTAAAAACAAGTTAAAGAACCTTCTGATTGGCTGAAATGCTAACCGAGAAAAGCCAAGGAAAATAGATTTTTTTAATACACTTTAGCAAAGGATGTTACCTGCTATGCTACCTAAATAACCTTTTTCTTATTTTAACTCCATTATTGCGAACCATAGACAAATCCGTGCTATAGTTGTATTTTTTTAAATTTATTTATGTTGGTTGTTCTAAATAAATTTACAAGTAAAACACAACAATTTTGATTATACAATTCAAATGGAGTAATGTTGACTCAATTAAAGATTGCCACTACATATAACACTCAAACATAACTAGTTATGTATGTACATGTATATAGTTAATTACACTTCTAATTACGGTAGTAATAAAAGCTCCGAAAACTTTTTTAAAAATGAGCTAATTCAATTGATGAATATCAATGCGTTGTTTACTAAGTTACCGAAAACTTATGTGCAAATAAAAATACAAATATTGAAAGTTTCGAAATATCTTGTTTTAAGATAAAATTAATGTTACATGAAATTGCAAATAACATTACAAACATTTATTTTCCTTCAATTTTACACTTATAATTTCGTAAATTTATGAAACTTATTTTTTTTTTCGATACAAAAGCGCATTTCATGTTAATGAGCTACCAAATGGTTAGCTACCATAATAAGCATTATTATGATCTGACCACTACTTATAAAATTAAAATTTGTTGTGCAACTCGGCCCCAGTGTTTGGTATGGGGTAATCAACAAAATTTTCAACCTCTTGCCATCTCCGTTTCTCCAATCTGCTCAAGAACATTTTCTTCCTTTCGTTGTTTTCCCTTATTATTTGGCTAGGTGGTGCGTACAAGTGGAAATGGATCAATGCGCCCAAGAAACCGTAGAATGAAAACTCCGGCCAAAGCGTTTCCGTGAAGTATAGAACTGTTCGTGATATCTGAAAGGGTTTATTGAATATAAATTATTTTAAATATTGGTCTTTATTGCACATTACTATTGTCTCTACTCAGTTTCAAGTGCAAGTAGAACTCGCCCTCGCGTAAGTTCTTCATTCTATACCTTATATGACACGTACTGATATTTGTTTTAGATTTTCCGTGGTGATAATGGTCAGTACAGAGTACCTACTAAAAAAACCGACCTCAAAAGTACGTGGAATTACGTCTATTTGCTAAGTTTTATTGAAATATCCCCTAGTTCGCCACTATACAGGACTTGACACTGGAGATAATAAAAATCGGTTCTCACTACTCAAAGTATATTGAGAGAAAAACGCCTTGAATTGGAGAAATAGCAAAATCAACCATTAAAGTAATTGCTCCTAAATTAAAGTTAGGCGCTATTTATAAAAATGAATCTTTATACGTGAACAGCCACCCTTCGAGGTGGATGATTTTCTTCATAATAAAATGGTACCACTATGGAAGTACCCCCTTTCCAACAAAAAACAAATCATGAAAATCGGTTCACAAATACCGGAGTTATCGCGTAACATACATACAAAAAAAAACATACTGACGAATTGAGAACCTCCTCCTTTTTTGAAGTCGGTTAAAAATAATTTATGAATATATACTTTTTTAGAGTTGCAACGAATATTCAGCCACTCTTCGGTATTCGGCTTATTCAGACTGATTTTTGCGATTCGACCAAATGCCGAATATTGAATCACTAGTCAGCGGAATACCTAAAACAGCAGGACGAAATAAGATAAACCACTGTAAAGTATCACATAAATTTTATTATTACTGTGCATAACATTATAAGTTCTCGAAAGCTCAATTTTTCGATTCTTGATTTAAAAGATCAAAGGATATATAACATAGCTAAAGTATTTTTCCAAGAGTTAATAAAAGGTAACATTTCAAATAAAAACTGCCTACTTATTATGTAGTTTACTCATGACCTTAACTATATAAGATCATTGTTCAAGACTATTATAAACATTCACAAATTCAACCAAATTATTATTTGTAAACCAAAATAAGTAATAAATAACTTCGGAAAAATAGTTTCATTTCATAAGTAATAAATAATTTAAGTTTTTTTAAAGTTAATCAAACTGAAGTGAAATAAACAACTCTGTCCTAGTAACGAAAAAAAGCACAATTGTGCGTACTTTACACAGCAGTTGTGACTTTTTTCGTTCTGAGGGCAGAATTACTGATTTTAAATTTGAAACTTGAAAATCAAAGTACCTTTTTCGTTTCATTGTAATACAAAATTATTTATCCTAACTGAAGTATTTGTCGTGTTAATTTTTGTACGTGCGTTAATCAAGTCTAATAGTTAGGCCGAACATTCGGCTTTTAGGTCAGACCATTCGTTGCAACACTAGAAAGACATTTTTGAATAATGTTTGTTTAGAAATCAAAACTAGACAACAAAATTTTAAACAAATAATGTTTTGGATGAAAAAACATGGCAAAATGTAATAGGTACCTACTTGCTCTACTTTTATCATCTCCGGTTACCGAGTTCTTTTTTAAAAAATGAATCAAAGTCCGGGCACCTAGGTTATATTTTTTAACAGACGGACACCAAAGTGCCACCACTAGGGTTCCATCTTTCCCGTTTAGATACAGGTTTGCATACAATCTACAGCTACTTTCATAAATTTTTTATAGTAAAAAAAGTTCATATAGGCTATAACTTTATAGAAATCTCCTTCAAAAAGTATGAAATCTTTGTACCTACTGCATTGACTTACAATTATATGGACGTCGGGTCCGCGCTAAAAAGTGTCCGCACTTGTAAGGCGCTAAAATCGTATACAGAGCGCCAAACTCCGCTTTAGTCTTCATTTGTTCGACTGACAGCGCGATACTTTTTTTTTTTTGCGTGGGGAAATCCTCCTAGGATACCTCTCCGCCGCGGGGGCAGCGGGAGGTTATATAGGGCAGCCGGACTTCTACCGGCTAAAACCCCACGGTGGCCTTCTCGGGTGCTCTAGTGGGAAGGATCCGGGATCGACTTTGCGCACCGGAACCCCCCCAGCACTTTGGAGGAGCTACGTCCTCCCCCTCCTCTCCTCACGACGAAGCGGGCCACACCGCCCCGTCGTCCTCCTCGCGGCTGCCTAACTTACTGGCGAACGGAGCCCCCGCTCCGATCGCCCGCAGCCGCGAAGGTACGCCGCCGCCGAGCGGGATCGGCCCTCTCCCGATCACGCTCGGCGACCTCCTTCTGAAGCATCACCGCTTCACAGAAGGAGACCACTGCCTCATGGGACTCTTGATCCGCCAACATAGCCGCTACTATGCTTTTTTCTTTTTTTTGACGGGGGGATATCTTTATGGATACCCCTGAGCCCAGGGAGACTCAGGGATTATGTGGGGACTCTCCCTCCAGACTGGAGGGCCTACCCCACTAAAACCCCCCCGGGTTTCCCTCTCGCCGGTTGAGTCGGCGCTGTGGGATCAGTGAACATTCACCACGACGCCGCCCGGCCGCCCTAGCTTACGCCAGGGCTCCCGCGTCAACGGAGGGGCGAGTCGGTTGTCCTCCGACCCGCCCCCCAGACGAGTGAGGCCGTGCAATGCAGGCTCCGGAGTCCCTGTCCAGAGCCCGCTGGCCTCACTAGGGGATCAGGCGAGCAGCGAACTGCCTTCGCCTTCTCCCCGTACGTCTGCGCCGAAGCGGGTGCGCGTCCGCCGCGTCCTCGCGCACCCGCTCCGCGGCCTCCTTTTGCGACATAACCTCTGCGCAAAAGGAGGCCACCGCCTCCCAGGACTCCTCGCTATCGAGCATGGCGGCAACCGCGCTCGGCAGCGAGAGGTCCTGCCCTACAGTCCCCGTCAGAGTGCGGCGCTGCTCATCCCACCGGCTACACACCTCTAGGGTGTGCTGCGCGGTGTCATCCGCAGCGCCGCACTCGTGGCACGACGGGGATGGTTCCCTCCTCGCCACCTTGTGCAGGTAGTGACCGAAGCAGCCGTGCCCGGTCAGCACCTGCACAAGGTGGTACGACAGTGGCCCGTGGGACCGGTTTACCCACTCTACGAGGACAGGGCGGATCGCCTCTATGGTACGAGCGCCATAGGGGGGATCCGCCAAGCCCTCTTTCCACCGGTCCCGCATGCGCTGCGCCGCGAGGCGACGCTCCCGCTCCACCTCTTGGGGAGCGGGTCGCTCGCCTCGGTCCCTCATTCCCCGCCGGTAGGTGCGGACCTCCACCAGGACCTCGGCTTCGAGGTCCCACGGCGGAATACCGGCGAGGACGCAGCCGCTACTATGCCTGGCGGAGAGAGATCTCGCCCGATGCAACCAGGATGTTCCGCTCGGAGGCCCATGCGGGGCACTCCTCCAGCGTTTGCTGGGCGGAATCCTGGTCCCTCCCACAGTGGTGGCACTGCGTCGTCGTCTCGCGTCCGATCCGATTCAGATACTCACCGAAGCATCCGTGCCCGGTGAGTATCTGTGTCAGTCGGAACGTGGTGACGCACTTTCGCTGGCTCAACGAGACTTCGAGGTTGGGCAGGATCGCGCCGACGGCGCGCTGGCGCGAGATCCACGGCTGTTCCAGCCTCTCGCGCCACTTCTCGAACGCCCGTCGGCGCTCCTGCCTGTCGGTGTGACCAGACGGGTGCCCCATACAGGGCCACGAATCGCACCACCCCACCGTATAAACGGCGAACTCCCTCCGAAGGGCCCCCCAGGTTGGGCAGCAACCGGTGCAATGCACCCGCCACCCTATCAATCCGGGGTACCAGGCGCCGGAAGTGCTCCTCGAAATCCCAGCGACTGTCCAAGATGAGGCCCAAGTATTTTAAGTACTGCCCCACCTGGATGTCGACGTCACCAACGCGAATCGAGAAGCTGGGCGGTTCCCTCCCTCGCGGGAGTTTGTGGAGCCACAGCGCCTCAGTTTTCTGAGGCGCTACTCGCAAACCCAGCTCCTTGATTTTTTCGACGACGCGAGAAACCCCGAGCTCAGCGAGCCGGATGGTCCTCTCGAAGTCCTCCCCTCCGGCGAGCACCAGGGTGTCATCAGCATAACACACCAGATGCACGCCCGGTGCGACCCTCAAGACAGCATCGTATGCTAGGTTCCAAAGGAGTGGTCCAAGGACAGACCCCTGCGGAACCCCACACACGACCTCTCTGCGATGGCTTGCGCCGTCCCGACCCGGGTACGTAATGTACCTGTCGCATAGGTAGGACCTGACAACTCGCTTCAGGTACGGAGGCACTGGATGATACTCGAGCGCCTCCTTAACGGTCAACCAGGGCAAGGAGTTGAAGGCGTTGACGATATCTAGGCTTACCGCCAACGCCACTCCGCCCCGGGACAGTACCTGCGTCGACAGTGTACGAACGTGAAGGATCGCGTCCACTGTCGACCGCGCCTGCCGGAAGCCGTACTGGTCTTCCGACAGGTCAGACCCTACTCGCGACAGATGCCCGCTGAGCCGCTCGGCAAGTGTTCTTTCAAACAACTTGCCGGCCTCGTCCAGCAGGCATATGGGTCGGTATGCAGAGGGAGAGTCTGCGGGTCGACCTTCCTTCTTTATAAGGACCATCCTCGCCGACTTCCAGCCGGACGGGAACACACCGCTCCGGAGACAGCTGGTGAACAGCCGTCTCATGTGGTTCCCCAGTCCGGCGTGGAGAGCCAACACCCACGCTCTGCCCGGGACACCATCCGGGCCAGGCGCAGTGTTCCGAGCACCGAGACAGCGCGATACTGCGCTGACATTACAATTTAAATTTCGAATAGGTTGACTTGGGACTTTTTTTTTTCGTGGTTTTTGTATTAGACCCGTCGTCCATTTATTTGTAAGTCAATGACCTAACAAATTTTTGCCAGTACAAAGATTAATTTAACGAACTTGCCACATCATGAAATCGGAAAGCCGGACTTCTCCTGAGGTGCGAATCAAAAGATCTGGCTCTCCTAACTCCATAGTTTGGGAGACAAGATCTTCATCAATGTCCTCTGGTAGTAGCTCTTCATTTTTCACTGAATCCACTAGAATGGAGGCGGTACGGCCTATTTCATCGCGACCTGTCATAAAAAAAAAACAAGTTTACTTATAACTTTTAGCAAACGCATCTAAATACAAAACATATAAATTATTTTCGACACCAATTCAATAACATTAGGCCCATAACCTATAAAATTTACGACTCTAAAATTGAACTTCGACACACGCTACTCCAACAATATGTTATATCGAAATTAATTTATTCAGACATTACGCTACTTCGACAACACAGTCGAGATGTTTCTTAAAAAAAAATCTTTGTATTCAGATAAGAAGAATCAACATTACAAACCCACGAAGGAAATTGTTTCTTATATCGATGAATATAACAAAAAAAGGACAATATTTTATAATCGGAAATTTATTTTATTAAAATAGTGTTCCATTTTATGGGGAAATCCAGAACCATATCCAGTACAAGGACACTATCTTAGGAACCATAAAGTCGTCTTTTTTGTGAAAACAATTTTGGCACAGTCAGTTTTTTGTCAAGTGTGATTTGTCCATAAAAACGAATAAAATTGATCAATTTTTTTAATTTATTTATTTTGTTTGAAAAATATTTTATGGAATTTGATCAACTTCATCTGTCCCGATTTTTTCATGTCATACAATGAAATGATCCCTTCATGACTCTGAGTCGATCAGCACTAAACAACATTTTAATCATTTTTATGGACAACTCACGCTTGACCAAAAAATTTACTATGCCAAAATTGATGTCATCAAAAAATCTTTATGGTTTCCGAGACAGTTTTCTTGTATCTTCTATGGTTTCGGACTTCCCCATACTATCCCATTTTAAAAAATTCTCAGTATTTTAATAAAATAAATTTCCGATTATATCATGTTGTCCTTTTTTTGTTACCTATATTGATCGATATAAGAAACCATTTCCTACGTGTGGGTTTGTAATGATGATTTTTCTTATCTGAGTACAAAGATTTTTTTAAGAAACATCTCGTCTGTGTTGTCGAAGTAGTGTCGTCTCGGAGTAAAATCATGTCGATGGAACATATTGCCGGAGTAGCGTAGTGTCTGAGTAATGTCGAAGTAACATACTATCGGAGTAGCGTAATGTCTGAGTAAAATCATGTCAAGGTAACATATTGCGTGTGTCGAAGTTCAATTTTAGAGTAAAAATTTGCAGTTCCAATAAAATATATGTGGATGGAATGCAATTTTGTACTTCATCGTTAATAAATGGGTAATTTTCTCCGCTTCTTGCCCGTGGACCACCTACCTGGTTCACCTGGGTGAACGGTGGGTGGTTGACCTATATCCACAATATCCACGACTGAGTGGACCATGGGCAATTATTTCTTTATTAGACATTCGTGAAGTATTCGCGCAAATTGTCGTGAAATATTAAATAATATTTCAGGTTATAAACTCAGATATTAAATAGTACTGCATGATTAGAATTATGAAATAATAGAAATTTCCACCGAAATTAGGTAGGTATAAAAACAAATCTGAAAAAATCCATATTTTTTTAAACCAAAAGCCTTTTTGGTATTTATAAATATTGGGAAACATTATCAAAGAATAAAAATTGTACCCACCAGTGTAGGCAAAAGCGACGTTTAGCCTCAGCTTGTCGTTACCCCTCCTGGTGGCTATTATAGCGCGCGAGGACAAAACGCGGATCTCATCCGAGAGAAGAGACCAGCGGCCTACAAAACGAAGGCTCACTCCGTACGCATTGAAGGTATCTCTGCCAATCAAAAAACCATATCTATGGATTCTCCTCGCATAAGAGATATTCATGCCTAAAAACTATGTATTTAAAGACATTCGTAGACTCTAATCATGGTTATTATAATTGTATTATTTTGTTACACACTATATATTTCTGCCGCCAAGCAGTAATTTGAGCTTTCCAGCAGACAAAAAATCTAAACGGTCATCTTTTTTAATGTTTGATCCTCTTTCTCTGAGGCATAAAATAAATTAAATCGATCGGTATTTTAATTTGTTTTGAGCTACGCAAAAAATGATTGATTTGTATAGATTAAGTTTGATACTTTTATGTTGGGCCTCAAAACTAAGGGCGCGTTCCCACTATGTCGTGACGACAGATTGTCGTGCAGTTTACAGTGTCGGTTGTATATTTAAATGAAGTTGTTCACATATAGCACGACACGATTAACTGTCGGTCACGATTTTTTATCGTTACAACGACAAACTGTCGTCGCAGTGGGAACAGCTAGAACGACAGTCGACAGACGATAAAAAAACGTCACGATTAAAACGTGACGACAGATTGTCGCAGCTCCTATTGTCGTCACGATCTAGTGGGAACAGCTAGTCACGACAGTCGTTCAACGATAAAAAATCATCCACGACAGATAGTCGTGATATGTATGCTTTGCAGTAGCGTTGGGTCGTAGCCAGAGATGGGCAAGCGCCTGATGAGAAGAATGAGAATATGTTCGGAAACGAAAGCGAATTATCTTCTGGCGCTCGCCGGCCGCTGCCGCGACACGCTCGCTTCACTCGCTCAGCTCATGCTGCTTTTTCATATAGGTACTAAACTAACCAAACCTACTGAATGGAGGGCGCAACCAAGCAACCAAGATTTATTAAGAGATCAATATCAGAAGATATACTGGTTATAAATGTCATCAATCCTTAAAAGAAAAGACCAATAATAAAAAAGAGGATCAAATATTATTTTTGAATACCAAATATTAATTTAGTATGCTTAAACATAGTAATAGTGTTACCTTGAATGCAGTTCATTTATAATTTATCCGTAGATCATATAATACAGATGGAACAATTAATATGTACATGTATATCAAACAAAAATAATATATCGTTTGTTTTGAAAAGTATACATTTAGGTAAAATAAATCAATTATTTCTTTGAGGATCAAATAATATTATCCCCTAATATAATCAACGTATTTCATTTGACCAACACTTACATTGAATCCAATAAAAGCTGCAGTTTACTACGAGCGAGCACAGCTAGCGCAGCCACCTCCTCATCACTTCTCTTAAAGTTCTCGATGCTGAATGCGTAAACGGTCAATTCCTTTATTCCTAGCTCGATACACCACTGGAAATAAAAGGATTTCCGAGTCATCTCACCCCTATGCCAACTACACCCGTTCCGATTGCAATTGATCCATCTCTTTAGCGTCTTTTAGACTACATACTTTTGACATATAATTGCTATAATAGATGAAGAAAGGAAAAAAAAGTTTGTTGAAAAAACACTCTCCGATTGGCTCGCCAAACTGGACTACGGTACTTACAGAAAACATTATTTACATGGCACCATCAGAATTATTTTAAAATCCAACTTCGACTTCCTAGGTCAATAGTTTGTCCTACGATGCAGTAAAACCATTTCCGGAAATTCAGAATTCGAAAAAATAATTAAGTAATATTTGATGGTTTTAACAACGCTATGGGTCGTATTTCAGAACTCTACTCAATACTCAAGTCAGGACTTGAGTATTGCAGTGAGCACTGAAAATCATACTCAAGTCCTTGCCATTAGGGTCGTATTTCGAGTGCTTGAAATCATACTCAAGTCTGCTCAAATCCTGACTTGAGCATTGAGTAGAGTCTTAGACGCTCCTTGTAGCTACGTCTATACATGCGTCTATACATATATATGTGGAACACCTTTTTCCGACCTATACTCATGACTAAATAAAGGTTCACAAATTCATCCAAGTACCTATCATTAATTTGTAAACCAAAATAAATAATAAATTACTTCGGAAAAATAGTTTCATTTCCTAAGTAATAAATAATTTTAGTTGTTTTAAAAGTTAATCAGACTGAAGTGAAATAAACAATTACTCATTTTAAATTTGAAACTTGAAAATTAAAGTACCTTTTTCGTTTAATTGTACAAAATTATTTATTATCACTGAAGTTGTAGTATTTGTCAAAAAACATTACCACCACTTCCTAAGATTAGGTTAGGTTAAGGCAACACAGGTTTTTGCCTAGTGCAAACTCCAGATCTCTCAAAGGAATCTTTTAATATGTATTAAATTATTGTACCAAAACTTTTGCACATACTTTACCTTTGTAGAGAGTAATAAATATATTTGAATTTGTATTTTTTGTCTAAAATGATTCCGTAAAATATTCCAAGGAGATGTTGGGAATGAAACAAATACAAGTAGGTAGGTAATGTTTTTTAAGTTCAATTAGCTATTTAAATAAAAATAGTAACCCCAAAGCAAATGCGCTTTAACAACTACTTATATAAGTTCATAATTCAGTTAGATACCTATAGCACTTTAATTTTCATTTCGTTCGATGCAGTCGAAACATGACTTCGGGGTGAATTGATACATACCCCCATTTCCGCGTATAGTGGCATGTGTACTTTTTCCGGAATTTCGCCTAAGTCCTTTGTGTTCATTATAAAAATTTCTCAAAAAATTAATTTCGAATTGAAAACCTCCTCCGTTTTTAAACTCGGTTAAATCACTTCTCGGATATGACCATAGGGTATAATTATTAAAAACTATTAGAAAAAATGTACTTCGATCCGCTTGGATTCGACGGTGCTAGACGCTATGCTAGTTAAGCCATGGAACGTCCCCATGGACATTACGAAATTTTCCCTTTTTTTGTATGTATGTTACGCGGTAATTCAGGCATTTGTGAACCGATTTTGATGATTCTTGTTTTGTTAGAAAGAGGATACCTCAAATGTGGTCCTACTTAAATTTGAAGAAAATAATTGGTGGATTCTTTTCCCCAAGTCATTCAGCCCCTAGTTTGCTACACTTAGAGGTGTCAAAGTGTGGCAAACTAGGGACTGAATGACTTTTGAGGTCGGTTTTTTTTTTCGTCGGAGATTATCATTATAATGTAAGTACACTGGGCGTTTACGTGATCACAGGAATAATATTCTCTATAATAATAGGTCTGAATTGCTTCACATCACATTTTGATGTATGCGAGGCCTGAGGGGATGGAACAGTTGATTTTTATTTAATTTATAATTATGTACCTTCATAGCTTCTGCAAGTTTATCGAAACCTCTCGAATGTCCATCACTAGTTTTTAACCCGTCGCGTTTGGCGAATCTCCTGTTACCGTCCATAATGATTGCGATATGTTTCGGTATAACCACGTCGATCATCTTTACGATTTTGATGCACAAGATTTGCACGAACGATACGCACTTTTCATTCACCCAGTGAGACATTTTAGATACTTTAGTTTTCTTCTTCGACACAATTTTTTTCAGTGAACCTCTCAGATTAAAACTTATAAAAACATTTTTTTGTGAATGTTAATGCAGAGCATTGTCTTAGCATCTGTCTTTAGCATGATCTTATGCAGATCGCAACTGTAGATGCAAGAGCCACAATAAAGGAAAACGTCAGTTATAAATAGTTTGTGTCAAAATTTAATTGCGGAAACTTTAACTTCGCAAAACTTGTTTGTGAGGTCTATAAAACAAATATAACTGACGGAAGTTAAAGAAGGAAACTTTTTATGAGAAATCTGCAAGTAAACGGGGGACTCTAAGTATTAAAAGACATTTTTTTAAATAAATAGATATTATATTTTCAACGCAACATAAACATTTTCGTGCTTAAAATCTACAATTCACGGTCACCCCAAGGTCATTTTTTCGAGTTGTTGTAGTCTGCTAATTTCTAATTTGTCTAAGAAGTTCTTTTGGGTTTCACTGAAGGTTTCTTCCAGTTTCAAAGGAAGTGCATGTCGTTGGAAATGTATTATCGCAGCGAGAAGATTCCAGATGGTGAATTCTGGCCACAATACTTCTGTGAAGTATAGCACCGTGTTAGAGACCTGTAAAAAAACGGCATATAAAAATCAAGCAGAAGTGCCCACTAACAGTGTTAATTCAGTGAACCTAGCAGTGGATAAGACTGACTGAAGACTACCTTAACCTTACGGCCGAGAAATTTACTAGCCACTTGACTCAGCAATTGTCCAGACCCACATTCTTTTACAAACTAATCCAATTTACACATGCTTGCATGCAGAGGCCGGACTCGGTTCCCGGGCCGGGTGAAATATTTGTATGGCCTACATATATTTCTCTTGTGAGTTTGGGTGTAATTTGTGATTGTCTAACTCTGTGTTCCCTAATACAGGAATGAGTGTGTGTGTTGTTACGTTGTTATATGCTGTTTTTTCTAGAATTGCAATAATGGACCATACGCATATAGCTTTAAGTTAGATATTTCAGCAAAATCAGAATTTTCAAAAGTGAGATCAATAATACCTAGACCTTACAAAAATTTCACTTGAAAGTGATTCCAATTTTAATAATTATTCACAAATATATTATACGTGTTGACAATATTAATACAAAGATAAAACACAAAGAAGAGAAAACACAACTGTGAGAAATCTATGACAGTTATTTCATTCAACCAAGTACCTTTACAGCTACCAGCCCTCGTAACATGGCTACGCGTGATAGTCGCGACCCGCGCGATAAAATGGAAATAAGCACGCCCTATTGGCTATCCAAATTAGATCTGATTGAGACAGCCAATAGCGCGCGTTTATTTCAATTTTATCGTCGCGACTGTCATTCGTAGCCATACTACGGGGGCAGAGGTTGTCAAGAGTTGTTGCTTTTTTAATTGAATATTGATTTTATTGAATACCACGATGTTTCCGCCGTTTATTTATGATCATATTAGCGTGTCATATTGATATGACTAATAAAAATTGTTTATATTGGTGGTAATATTTAGTCAGCGTTAACACCCTGTAGGCAAACTTGAAAGTACAAAGTAGAAATAGTGGTACAGTCAGTATCATATTCATTTGCAAAACTTGAGAACCTTGAGGCTTTAACAACATTAATCAGCCACCATACTAAATTATCAAAGGACTTAAAATGTAAAAGTAAAAGTAGAAGTATTGTTTCAATAAGAAATATTTATTACCATGAATGACATTGAATTATTTATTACCATGAATGACATTCAATTATTTATTACCATGAATGACATTCAATTATTTTTTGTGAAATTACTCCACTAGTTTGTTATAATTATTAATACAAAAATCGAACACTTAGAAAAATTCCATCGATTTGTCAGGACTCGAAACTGCGTTTGTAATGCCAACCTAGCAAAGATATTACATCACATATAATAAACGCATCACATTCTTTGATTGAAATGAATAATACAAATTAATAATAAAACAAACAGGTGAAATGGGTATGAACTCAGACGTAGAGGATTATAGTGTACTAACTGATAGATGCATACATTTTAAGGGTCTGGAGTTTTTTTTTATTTTTTTTTTTATTTTTTTTTTATACATGACAGGCAAATGACTCCACTCCACCTGATGTTAAGTGGAAAGTGGTATCCAAACACGAAGGAACCTAGTGCAGCGATGAAACCCTCACTGCACTAGCCACCTCCACCCTGCCTGCCTACAATATGCCTCTTCCATATAACTCGGTTCCCACCACTTAAAAAACATATCCAAAATATATTCTATATCTATATAACTTGTTCCGATGCATCTCAACCAATCAGCGCGAGGTAAGCCGGCGGATCTGCGGGTTCTACTTCATTCATGAAATCTACGCGCTCGACGGCGACACTCCCCTTAAAACACACGCACACATTCGCAAAAATCCGCTTCATAACATCTAAAGAAATGGCGGCCGAGAACCCGGAATAAATTGGGTTATAAAATTATTATAATAGCAAATTAATACAAAATATGGCTAATTTCTATTTTGTAAATCTTAACGATAAATAGTATTACATATGTGTCTATATCTATTTGGGTGTTTCTTTTTAATAGGGCTACGTAAAGAATGTATTGTAGAAGGTCATAGTAATTCGTAGGTAATTAAAATAGCAACACGTAGCATTCATGTGTTTGTTTATTATACAGACATTATGTCTATGGTTTACTATCAAACTTTCGTATCGCGACGGGCAGTACACGGGTAGTAAATTATTTTAAACACTATAGTTAGTTTATGTGTAGCATAAAATAACCAGTAAAATGAAGTGTATATTGTGTGTTAATAAGTGTTGTGTTAAATGAACGGGAAAGGAAATTTTTGTAAGTATTTTTTGTTTCTGCAAAAAGTTAAAGCTTCGGCTTTACCAAGGAAAATTTTCACGTCTCGCCACTGCATTGTAGTAAGTTAATTTTTCAGCCCATTCGTTACTATATATTGTATCCTACCTGCCATAGCATAAAGTCGGACAGCCTAACTTCTCCAGAAGTCCTGACCAGCAGCTCGGGCTCCGTCAATTCCAAGGACTGCGAGACGAGGTGAGCGTCGATGTCATCTGCCGTCAGCTGGTCGCTCGCCACTCCATCGACTATATGCGATGCTGCGCGACTGATTTCGTCCCGTCCTGCCATTATTTTTATATATAAAAAAAAAAAAGATATATTTGTTATAATTATTAATACAAAGATTCGACTAAAAAGTCGTTGAAAAAACCAAATACAAAGATACGACACAAGCACATAGAAAAATTCGTGAGGTCCGCTGGTTCGTTCCGTGGCTTAGTTGGTATAGCGTCTAGCACGGTAAGTTAGAAGACGTCGGTTCGAATCCCGCCGGATCGAAGGATTTTTGTTCTGAGTGTTCGATCTTTGTATTAGTAATTATAACAAGCTACTGGGATAATTTCACAAAAAATAATTGAATATCAATTCAATAAAAATTTAAAGATATATTATTTGTTCAGCATATAAACTTATACAGTAGAAATTAATAAGTTCAAACGTGCAGGCGTCTTCCACCTAATAAATCCGTGTACTTATACGGACGACAACAAACCACGCGTGGGTTCGGGACGGGCGCGTGTGGTGTGTTCTCGTCTATATAAATACCCAGAAGTACACCCCCCCATGCTCCCAACCCGATACGCGCCCGATCCGCACCCGCTGTCAGTGTGTTTTACGCTTTAATAAAAATATGATAGTCACCTGTGTAAGCATAAGCAATGTTAAGCCGTAGCTTATTATTGTGCCGTGTGACAAGCATCGCCTTGGCCACCATAGCTTGAAGGTCTTTGGGAAGCATTGATAGCCTTCCAGCGACGTGAAGACGAACACCCCATTCATTTATTTGGTCTCTGAAACATTACATTTGAAATATACTGTTAACAAGATGTATGCATTTCCTTACACCTAAGTAAACATATATATCCCAATCAGAGTGGTGATCACAATATATCAAACAGCTAATTTCTGTGATATACGGCTGCACAGGCCCTGCAAAAGCCACGCAAATTAATTGTTTCAGGGATTTGTTGTGCTAGTTTTGTTTGTTTTACTAACACTTTTGTATGGACCACCTTCAGAAGTCTGAAATAAAGTTATTTTATTTTATTATTTTTTGTTAAAAATGTAACTTGCCAATAAAGTAAACCATGTTATAAATTGATTTTAATAAGGGTGTGTACGGATCGCAGCGCACATCCAGCGCGTTCGCGGCGCATTCCTCAGGTCTGTACGCATCCTAATGTTTGGTTGGGTACAATCTAGAGATTTTCTTATAAAATATTGCACCTTGTACCATGCTGTTATTACTTTTGGTTGCCTAACTATATAGCTTTACCATCTCAATAGTTCAATTCAACACATCCTCCTTACATGGGACAGTATTTCATAGAACTATGATTATAACAACAACTGACTGTGCCAGTCTTTATTGACACATTGCAAATCTGTACAGGGAGGTACTTTTTGAATGGTTACTCCTAGCTATGAAGAGGCTGTACACCTTTTATTGAACCTGTATTAATTAGCTGTCATATAGTATACATAATACTGTAGGAAATAATTTAAAGTTCAGGGATTCTAAGCGAAACCGCACATACGAATTCTACTACATATACATATATCTCCATTATTACAACTTTTAATGTCAACTGTCTTAAAGACATTGTGTTTGTATAGAAACAAAAGTCCATGCAGCAATTTAGAAAGTTTGTGTTCTGACGATAATTTTCATCTCATACAAACACTGAACTTAATTTACTATTTTGACATAAATAAATATTTAAATCGTGGCATCGTTTTGACGCTTTATGCCAGAAACGCAAAATGCCAAATAGGCAGAATGCCAGATTCGCAAAATGCCAAATGTCACTGCCAGAATCAGGTCTTCCTCCTTACGTACGAACTAATAATCAGTAGTGGACATTCGGCTGAAATGATGATGCTAATGAAGCGAGGTTTTGATGTTTTATTAATTTATTAAAAACAAAATGTAGTTTCCTCCAACTACTAACTAATGAATCTGGCTTTTTGCGAATCTGACATTCTGAGAATTTGACATTCTGCAAATCTGGCATTCTGCAAATCTGGCATTCTGCAAATCAGGCATTCTGCGTTTTTGACATTCTGCCTATTTGGCATTTTGCGTTTCTGGCATAAAGCGTCAAAACGCATGGTATAAACAACTACATTCTGATTCGTGAGTATGTAAGTAAATTCTTTATTTCCTCTACAATTTTGCAACAATTTAAGGTGACGTAATAGTAGTTATACAGGATAATTTGTAGATGCTGGAGCCTAAACTAGGATACCCTGTACCTAAAACACAGGGTATGCATTTTACGTCACCACGCCTCCATCTCCAAGACTTGATCAATATTTAGTGAACTGTGCTTACATCGGGGAGTGGATAACTTGGAGAATGTGTTAGAGTTTGAAATTTTGTTGCTCAACTAATGTGTATGAAAAAATTGGTTGTTTTGTTGGTTGTTGTAATTGGTATGGTTAGTTTGAAAAAACAAATATACATGATTTAAATCCGGAAAAGTAGTTTCATTTCCTATATGTAACAATCGCGAAAACCTAAGAACTCGATAATTTATACTCTGTTATTATTCTATATCAGTCAAAATTGTTACATCATGTAATATTCATGACAAAAGTGATGACTTCCTAGCTTAACTTTGTTTTCATACTGATGAATGAAAGGATGTGTATTGTCTTTTAACATTGTGACAACAATCAAGTATGTTATTAATTGCAATGTCAAGTGTTTATGTTCTATCTATGTAAATACTATTGTATTTCAAATAACATTCAAATTTATAATAATGTAACTCTCATGTGGAGACATCTTATGATTTTAATGAGCAATCGAAATTTTTAAACAATCTAAGGGTTGTATTTCAGAACTCTACTCAATGCTCAAGTCAGGACTTGAGTATGATTTCAAGCACTGGAAATACAACCCTAATGGTAAGGACTTGAGTATGATTTCTAGTTGTTTAAATCATACTCAAGTCCTGACTTGACAGTTCTGGAATATGACCCTTAATTGCATATGTTGCACACAAACTATGAGTGTTCCTGCATACATTTTATAAAATATTAAATTTTTACACCCCAAGGTATTTTGTTCTAGATAAATGCAATACCCTTATGTTTCTATGATTAAAAACAATAAATTTGAAAAAAAAATTCATCTTGTGAATTTTTAGCTAGCTGTTAACTGCGAAAAGCAATTAATTTTGGTACATATTTATTATAACTATTGAAATCAGCTTACATTTCATTCAAGAGCTTCTGAAATTTGTCTCTAGCTAAATCCATGAGGTCATTCACCTCCTCTTCAGACCTCTTGAAGTTTTCTATACTAAAAGCGTACACTGTCACTTCAGGAACGCCCAGATCCAGGCACCACTGAAATCAAAGGTACAACTACAAAACAATAAAACATAGACGAGAACATTACATGAACACGAAGGAATCCCAAATGGCTTTCAATAAGGTGTAATATTTGAAATTGTGCTTCTTTGATTTAAGTTTTTATGACTATAGGCATAAGTGGCATACCATTAATTTTTTTTTTTTTTTTTTTATTAATTAATGTATAGTATAAGGAAAACCGTCCTTAGTAGAGATACACAAATAAACAAGAGTATAAAATCATCTACATGTTCAAATAAATGAACTTACGTGTCGCAAAGTAGTTTCATTTTTACAAGGCTTTCATTGCCGATACGTACCCTTAGGGTTTCTGAAAGTTTATCGAAGCCTTTGGAGTGACCTGTTGCACATTTTACACTGTATTTTTTAGCGTATCGACGATTACCATCCATAATAAAAGCGATATGTTGTGGGATACGTCCCGTTTTCACAACACGAATACAAAATAGTTGAAAAAAGGAAACACAATGTTCATTTACCCAAGTAGACATTTTAACATATAATTAAATTAATTATTTATTTATTTAATTATGATTTTTTTGCAGTTGTAGATACCGAAACAACAAGAAATCTCGTGATATAATAATTAAAAGTGCCGATGGTTATGGTTATAACAATTTTGACACTGACAGAAGTTTTCTCAGTGTTGCACAACATGGTTTTTATTGCCAGTATTATTTACGATACGAATGAACGAAACCTATGAATCGATTTTTATTACACGGTGTATATCATCTGCACTGCACTATATTAAAAACACATCACTTTTGTCTATGATTGATCATTCCCTAAGTTTCGTGAATTGAGCAGGTTATTTTGCAGTTTTTGTAGAAATTATAATACGTTAGAAATAGATATGAGTAATATCTTTAAATTAAAATTAAGCGCCCTCGGCCATCCCAATCCAGAAAGCTTTAATTGTGAAGGTAAATCAAGGTACATGTACCGTTAAATTGCTCACCGCTTGTGCTAGTCCAAAAACATATTTTTTGCTTTATTTACAGACGAAAAGGAGTATAGGAGTGTTGTGCTGTGGCTAGAGGATCAGAAGATTCGACATTATAAGATAGAGGATCGTGCGGGGCTTAGAAATATCGATTCAGAGAGTTGGAAGGAAGCTTATGATTCCTATCAGAAAGATCTTGTTAGCCCGGCGTCTAAGGGTACCCCTAATGAGCAGTTAAATTGGCTGCTATCCTACGCCGTGAGACTAGAATACGCCGACAACGGTAAGCCTGTAACCCTTACTGGAATAGTCTAAACTTTAGCTTCTATAATCTACATGCGCATTTTGTGTGGGAACAGCACGATGGTTGCATTCCAGCTGTTCCTAGTTCGCAGAGAGTTAGCTGCGAACGACCGCAGTCGTATAATGACTTATTTGAATAATTGTGATTCACAGGCAGCTTCGAGAATGCGTGTTATGGTGCAGACAGGCCTACAGCATTCAAACTGCTGTTTAACTTATGATGCAGTTCATATTACACTCTAAATAAGTTACTGCCTATTTTTTTATCAAGTTAACAGTACAAATTTGTAAAAGCACTAATTTAATAATGTGTGCTGTTCTTATTTGTAATTAACTGTTACAAATAAGAATTGAATATTAATTGGTCATGGTAACTGTATGTTAAAAATATTATGCAATTTAATAATGATGCAATAATGTCCTTATTTCAGTGATGAAGTACAAAAATGCAAAGGTGGAAGAACCTAAGCAAGCTGCACCCAGTGTTGTATCCTCAAACCCATTGGACAATCTTGACTGTAATTATTTTCATTTTACACACATTTTATAATGCCTTGTTTGTTATAAAAAACAATTTATTTCAAAACTAGTATGCTATCAATTTTATGAATAATTTCCTTTTTATTTAATTAGTGGTATATTAAAATAACTTTAAGCCCACATTGGTGATTTAAATTTTTTTTTAAATAACGCACACACTCAACATAGCCCCGCACTAGGGAAACCCTGTGTCGCGGGTGCCATGGACACACACATAGACAACCACAAATTACACCCAAACTCACGAGTGAAATAATTGTAGGCCATACAATTATTTCTCTCGGCCCGGGAATCGAACCTGAGACCTCTGCGTGGCAGTCCGGCATGGTAACCGTTCGGCCACGGAGGCAGTTAAATTATTTATTAATATTAATATTATAAATTTAAATTATTTATATTAAGAACAAAGCTTTATTAATATCATAAAAATGAGAGTATACACAAGTTGTAATTTGTATTAAAAGGTTTGAATATAGCAACCTCCAAGTAATAAATCATTATTTCTCTCCAGTTTCAAGTCCTGCCTTCAAAGCAGGCGTGCAAAGAGTTTGTACACTTGCTGCTGTCGGGCCACATCCAGACCCAAAGTTCCAGTTGGCTGCTCTAGCCAGAATCCTGAAGACATCACCTCATCCAGAACCCACGAAGTCCGAAGTGAACATCATTCAGCAGCCATCTGATGTTTTGAAACTATTATTTGTGCAAGACCTTAGAGATTTACAAACCAAAATCAATGAGGCCTTGGTTGCAGTCCAGACAGTCACTGCAGATCCACGTACTGACACAAAACTAGGCAAAGTAGGAAGATAAAATTATGTTGTGGCATAACACCTATTTATTGCATTGTAACAAAATTAAAACTGATACTAAATTTACAAGTGTAGGTGAATAGGTGTTTCATAAAAATTTTGATATACTTTCTGCACAAGATTATATAGCTCTTTTGAACTACCTTTTGGGGAAATTTGTATCATCAATTATGAGTAGCGGTTCTATATGTTAATAATAACAACTTATAATTTTGGCTGACGCATCTAATATACCATCTTGTATAGTTACGGACTATATTTCTGTGAAAACTGATGTACTGATTTGAAAATTTGTTTATAAGGAATAAAAGAAATTCATTGTACTCTGAAGTGTCATTATTTTTATAACTAGAATGTTATGGATATAGATTATGATGTTTAAATAAATCCATCCCAACAAATAAATACATGGGGCAAATAAAACCTTCATGTCTAATAATTTTATATTGACGTTATGAACATTATCAACAACAAATAAAATAGCTTTATAAGCTATTGAAGCACAAACATACAACAGTTTAGTTTGTTCTAAGGACTTGCACTTTGAATAATTATATTTATTCATCGAATCCAACCAACATCAACTTTTCAAATAGCAAGACAGGATTGTTTAAAGTGATGGATGACACTCGCACAGATTATTACAGTAGGGCCTTGTACAACATTCCATTAAAATACCTGAGCTACTTACACCTAAATCATATGGCCATTACTACCACATACAGAGTTATCTGTATAACACTAACAACCTTACCGGACCATATTACTAACATTATAAACAATGTTTTTTCCATGACTTCAAATAATTCATTAAATTGTACCTTCATATAAAAATTACAACATTTAAATAAATCACTCTAAATGGTGATAACTCAATGCTGGTAGGATGCAAAACACAAGAGCCAAGTGGGGGTCGTCATGAAGGATGCTGACATGTTTGAACTTACTACCAAATACATATCTTAAAAAAACTTGAAAGTTTATTTTTGGTAAATTTCTTGTTTTCAAAAAAGTCATGGAACAAAAGTTGTTATTTATGATGCTAGGTTGTTAGTATTTTATAAAATAACCTTGTACACACAAAGCTAGGCATCACTGCAAATGAAGCAGCACCATGTCGAAAAAGCTCTACTGTAGGGTGCGTTCCATAGCATCAATTTAAACAGTCTTTGATATCCAGAAGTGTACATGTTTCGCATTTGTTAAACTACTGTAAGGTATTAATGCATTCCTCCTCCTTTTTCCAACATCTGTGCAAATCTGTTCGTAATGAGCAGTGACACATCTATAAATCGTTCTACACAGTTTGTAATACAAGTTTCTGTGCGGGAGTCCAGTTTCGCCCCAGGCTTGTCGACGCACTTGTCCCAGCAAAAGTCGTTGAATTCATGAATCTGGGAAGAAAGTACGTATATTATTTTCATTAATTAATAAATAACAGCTTTTAACGAAATAATTCGATTACACAATGTTTACCTGTGCATGGAATTGAGCCTTCTGCTTCTCAGCCATAAGAAAATCTTGCAGTTCTGAGTCCGCACCTTTCGGGGCTGGATAGTCTGATATGTCAGTCATGTTTTAATGCCCGGAAACTTTTATGAAGATAATTATAAACAAAAATAGGTTAATTTAAAGCGCACTGAACCCACTGAAGGCAAAACCATAGACAACTACGTCAAAGAAACCATCTCAAAACGAAACGAAATTAATTCGAATACCGGAATGAATGGAAATAGGGTAAAATTATTCTATCCATTCTCTTTTCGAGATTCGAACGATATCTTAAGTTCAAAATTAAGGAACCAGTCGGAATGAGTTAACCCACTTAACTGTCGTTTGATAAAGTACTTCATACATTATAGACTACGTGTTAAAAAAAATGGTCGGGTCAGTCGACACGTCAACCATCATTCGTTAAATTGACTAACACGACAGTGTATTGTATTATTTATACAGGTAAGATAGTAGCCACGTAGTGTGAAGTAGTTTGAAATTTGTCTAAATATTGAAGCTTTTTTTCCCAAATATAATAATATTGTTCCTTACTAAATGAATTCCAATGTTTTATTTCGGACCCTTATAATTCACTTACGGCAATTTTGGATACAATAGGCTTCATAAAAAATAAAAATTGAATTAGTAATAGTCATCTCTTATTACATATTATCATTTATTAAGCATTGGCTATAGAGCCTGATGGCTGATACTTAAAAAGATACAAAATTATTAAGAAACTCATAACGCGACACAATTAAACTAAAAATTAATTATAGTGTATAACAGTAGCTACGAAAACCCGCCATTTTGTTTCTCATAATAAACGACTATTTTAAATGTCGTTTCCGAAAAACGGTCAGTGGTCGATGGGTTGGCTATTGGTGGCGTTTTTTTAGCGTCAAGAACGCACTTCATGTAACTAAAATTTATCTTCATTCCTTTGACGCCCAGCGTAAAATATTTAGATTTGAAATGTAATAATTTCACTGCAATTTTTTGTTTAAGATATTTTTGGTGTGTTATGGTGTATGTGTTGCAGCATAAATAAAAATATATCTATTCATTTACCTATCTTGTAACATTTTTGTGGAAATTTAATTTTATTCAGATCCTCTGAAAATTGACAATATTAGTGATACGCGGGGCATATCAAAGCGATTAAGGTTAGCGTGAAGTAGAGTCCAAAGAGTGTGCCGCATCGTACTCTACCTAAGTTCTACGTGTAGGGATTTAAAAATTCTCAAACACTGGCATAACGTACTTTAGTAATACTAAACTTCATATTTTTCAAATTTTGTATTTTACAAGAACACTGCTATTGATTAACAAAGCTGTTAAATTTACTTTTCAAAATTTCGCGAACTTCACCCCTAGCAAATATGTAGTCAATAGCTTCAAAAGCCATTTTAGTCACTTGGAGTTGATTTAAGCCAAACGTTTCCATGCACCACATGTATTCATGAGAAAGTGATGTCGAAAAAACTCCTTTGTCATCAGTCTGTAAAATAAGGTAGACATAATTGAATTTCTGTAACAATAAAGCGAAACCAGTACCAAAATAGTATTATTTAGTGAAAGGTATGGCAAATTAAGGGGACAGTGTTCTTAGAGCATTTTTATATGTTTATAAAATGCTGACTGGATGACGCTTACCTACTATTCTAAGAAAAGGAGATATCAAAGATATGAATCATCAAAAAAAAAATAAGGTACTTCTGGTATCTAACCATTATAAATACTTATAAAATTAAGAAAGTAAGTAATTTTTCAGTGAATACTCACACATAGAATCAAGGGAATGCCAGCATCATACAAGACTTTAAAATGATGGGAGTTGTAATCGGGAATTGATTTAGTATTCACGTTGCTTGTCAAACACACCTCTGAAAGATAAATTTTAGGATCAAAAAAATTGAAGGGTGATTCGTATTGAATAATTTGCATTCGGTTTATTTCTTACCAACAGGTATTTTAAAATCGCACAAAAGGGACCAAATGTCGTCATTTCCTCCAAATTTAGGATGGATACAAATTGCATGGCCAATCCTTTCAGGTTTGAATAAAAGCATCTTCTTAATTTCAGTGGGATTGCTAACCTCACCACAATGTAACGTTATCTGCATTTGATTAAAAAAAACCCTTTATGCATATTAGGAAAGATATTGAGTAGAACACATTTATTAGTTAATGCTACCTTTAAGCCAGCTTCTCTTGCTTTCATCAATGAAGGTATAAACTCTTCGAATTTTCCTACATTTGGGTTACCGCTTAGTTCAATGCCCACAACTACATCTGGATGACTTTTAAAAAAATCTATGGCTAAAGAACTTATTTCTTCAACTTCCGGCACAAGTGAATTTCTATTTATTGAAATTATTAAACGAGAAACGATATTAAGTTTTTCACAACTTTTCCTGAAAATTATTAGAGAAAATATTAGTACAATAATTTTAACTGAATAAAAAATTGAATGTTCAGAGTTAACACTTACTGCATCGCCATTACGATTGACTCAATATACTGACGCTTGTTCATGTAAGGAGTATCACGAGGTGTGCTTCTTAATTCAATATAACAGCAGCCATCGTCTTCAAATTCTTTGAGTGTCAAAGATGTCGCAATTGAAAGCGCTTCTGGAGTTGTGGTTAGAGCATGAGCAATGCTAAACACTTGAAAGCAACTAAAATGAAAAAAAAATAAATCCAAACATTTTATAGAGGTCACTACACCGATTAAACTGCAGACTAATTGTAAGACTAACAAATAAGCTTGTGCTCTAGTTATTGAGCTATTTTAAATAGTTAGCTACCAAGTAGCTAGTTATTATTGAAATATTTGAATAATAAGATAAGGTCTTGTATAAAGTACAATATAATTTATTGGACAGATATGGACACATGCATCCTTTACACTCCGATCCAGTTTATGATTTTTTTTTAAATATAAGTTTAGCAATACATAATATTCGTCGTGGCTAGCTCGAGAGAACAACACCGCTCTACATTAAGTGTGCGAACGTACTGCTCTCAATCTGACTCAATTTCATATATAATAAACGTCTAAAGCGAGTCCAGGCCCGGAATTCATCAGATCTGGGAAATTCGTACATCTCAATGTCCACTGTGTCCGTTTCACCAATAAACAATTGCCACATCTCCAAATAACAGAAAATCTAGACTCATGTGGAACGTCAGAAATTTGCTATTACACGCTGAAAAACGGGTGTTATAATTTCTGACGACAATGCGGAAGATTATGTTCCCTCTAGAACCATTGTCGGCTGTTGACAAGACTGGGCGCATGTCACTTTTTTGAGTTTGGGTGGTATTCAAATTTGTAAAAAAAATATTTTCGTACATACTTCTTGCCCGATTGTGCTCCGGATCTCGTAAACTACCGCTAACTCATCAGTGATCGATAATAATAATAATATCTTTATTTAAAAACACACCTTAGCCTTATACGCACAGAGAAGACATTTACAGGTTCGCATTCTAAACAAAATAAAAAAAACAGGTAGAAAAGGCGTAACAAATCTAAGGACTCTGGATCCTAAACTAGACAAATGCGCGTGTCTTAGAAAACAGTGTTAGGCGGGACCAAAAATATGTGTGTGTATTTAAATTTTAAAAGTATAAAAATGAGACTGATCGATTGTGGTTATACACTTTTAGTGATAGTTATGAAGTAACAGATAAAAAATATGAGGCATAAGTATGTGTGTATGTATGTTTGTGTAGATTTATTTGTGTGTATGCATGCGCGTATGTCTGCCCGTGTGTGCGTGCTTGTGTGTGTGTGTTTGTATGTATATATAAAATCCAAAAGTAATTGCGTAAGTAATCATATTTCGCCGAGCCTGGTCCGTTAATTAATGTGCATGCCTGAACTCGGTCAAGTTCTTGTTGAGACGCTTTGCAATGTACTCAAATATAAAATAATCAAATCAATAACAAAGCATTCACTCATAGCCCAGTACCGGGAAAACCCTGTATCGCGGGTACCCTGGACACACACATAGACAACCACAAATTACACTCAAAGTCACGAGTGAAATAAATGTAGACCATACAAATATTACTCCAGTCCCGGGAATCGAAACATGATAACCGTTCGGCGACAGAGGCAGTTAATTTTTTTATTTATTAAAAAAACAAAACATACTCTGACAAATTTCTAGGATCACCAGCTCCGATTTCAAACTCGTCCATGAAAGCATTTGTGTTATCAGCTATCCCAGAATCTGCATAATATCGTTTGAGTTCTAACATGGTAGAACGACTTAATGATCCATTTAAATGAGCATGTAGTTCCTAAAATCATAAAATTTATAGTGTTTTATGTAAAAATGTAATGTATGTATGTATATGTAATGCACAGTCGATAAGAAAGCATGATACTCCTTGCCGATTACAATAGCCAACTAAGAATCGAAACAACGAATACGATTTTACCGATATCGCTCGATTTAAAATTTAAAAGCGTTAGTCATTGACTTACAATTATAGCGTTAGTGTTTAATTTACAAATGTCATAGATCCCATGGTGAACTAGGCAACATTATGTTTTTTGGACGTTGATGTTCATTTGACATTCCTGACGAAAAATGTTAGTAAATCGGTTGACATACCGGCTAACACGGTCAATAATTGGAAATGAATGTGACCTCTTAGTTTTTTAGTTAGCATCACAAACTAATATGAGATACTACGATAACATGCTCTCCGACTCGTAGTATAATTTCTAATCTGTGGCGTTGTTTAATTAGAAAATTGTGAATTTCTCACCGTTTTAGGTAAAGTTCGACAAAAATTAATGATATTTACAGTGCTTTGGTCCATAACGACACTACAAAACTGTTTTACGTTCTAAATTTATTTATTAATATCAGACAAAACCAAAACGATAAACACAAACATAAAAAACGTACTCAATGGTTTGACATTTCATTCATTCTTGACATCTGACATACATGCAATGCAGCCAATATAATGAAAAATAAAAATACTTTTAGGCAATTTTCACCACTTCCATGAAAATATAACTATCTTTGCTTGTACTGTATTGCTTAATTAGTAAAGGAGAAACATAAAACGGTAGTAGGTAAAATAGTATTTGATTATTTACAACTGTTTGAATTACTCATTGCTACTTGCTATCTATTATTTTAATAAAATGTTGAAATTATTTTTCCTAATATTTACATTTAATTATTGTGCTGTGCGTACCGACCAAAACATACCTATTGTGATAACTACTTGGAGGTTTGCCAACGCTTCTATTAGAGGTATAGAAACTTTAAAAAGTATTTATTTTATTATAAATGTAATGCTGTCTGCATATATAATAACTGCCTCCGAATGGTTACCATGCCGGACTGCCACGCAGAGGTCCCAGGTTCGATTCCCGGGCCGGGAGAAATATGTGTATGGCCTACTTTTCTCTTGCGAGTTTGTGGTTGTCTATGTGTGTGTCCATGGCACCCGCGACACGGAGGTTTCCCTAGAGCGTTCTACGTTGAGTGTGTGCGTTATTATTATTATTATAATTGTAAAGTATTAAATCCAGTCAAGTTTTGTAATTTAGATGAGGTATTTGAGTATAAATAAATTTTATTAAATTTTAGCATGGGACATATTGAATGGAGGTGGTTTGGCCCTTGACGCTATAGAACAAGGTACCATGGTGTGCCAAGAGCAGCAATGTGACACTACAGTTGGTTATGGCGGTAGCCCTGATGAGGATGGGGAGACTACCCTGGATGCTTTACTAATGGACGGGTGAGAAAGTCTATACATTTAATATTATCCTTCATTTAGATTAAAATCTTCTTCATATTAAAATAAAGTCATTAATGACCCATTCATTTTAGGTATTTAATTTTATTGTAAATGGGCCCTAAGTTGATTTGTTTTTCATCAGGAAAACTATGAATGTCGGTGCTGTAGGATCTCTTCGTCGAATAAAAAATGCCATATCAGTGGCTAGACACGTATTAGAGCATACTAAACATTCATTTCTGGTTGGAGACCAAGCAACCCAGTTTGCTATACAAATGGGCTTCCCAGAGGAAACTCTCACAACTCTTGATTCAAAGAAAGTGTGGATGAAATGGCATAATGAAGATAATTGTCAGCCTAATTTTTGGACGGTAAATAATTATTTATACTGAAAATATTTAGACATTCTTATTACAAAACTTGCTTTGTAACTATTATTGTCATAATAATCTAAGCATTATTAATGTATGGAATGTGATAATATTTTCAAATATAAGCAAGCAAATCTAATGCTCACAAACCAAGTCCCAAAATTTTATCTTGTAAAAAGGACTAAATATTGTTATCTTTCTTCAAAAGCAATTTTCTCAAGTGTTTTTGAAACAAACATCTCAAATTTATCTTATCTCTAGGCTGTTACACCTGATCCCACTCAGCACTGCGGCCCCTACAAACCTGTTAAACAGACTGACAGATATGAACCAAGAGTGATGAAAGTAGACAGATTTAATCATGATACCATTGGCATGGTGGCAATAGATAGAAATGGTGATGTTGCAGCTGGCACTAGTACAAATGGTGCCAAACACAAAATTCCCGGGTATGCCTATTATTTACTGTGTAGACTCGTATTTACATTTATTATTTTTGAGGATTGCTAGAAGGACATAATTATTTGATTTGTCTAATACAGCATTTACACATTGGCGCAAGTAACGCGTGCACCCGTTGGTGTTGCACAGGGCTCGGTGTTGTCAACTACACTAAAGCAAATGTCGCTAGACAGCAGTAGCGAGGCGTCCATATAACTCGATTCACACCGGCTAGCCTAAACTTTCCTGCGTACCTATTACCAGTTGCACCGCGCATACCATTCAAAATATTCACTATTAAAAAGCGTAATATCTTGTCCCGATGCATCTCGACCAATCAGCGCGAGGTAAGCCGGCGGATCGGCGAGTTCTATTTCATTCGTGAAATCTACGCGCCCATCAACATATACGCACACATTCGCAAAAATCCGCTTTATAACATATAAAGAAATGTTGACCGAGAAGCCGCAATAATTCGAGTTATTGTCGAATAGCGTACACTTAAATTTAAACCTTATTCCAACACATTATAGTATAATTTGTTTTAATATTAAAATTGTTGCCAGATGTAAAACTTTCCTAACATAATGTAATAAAATTATTATAACAGCAACTTAATACAAAATATGATTAATTTTTGTTTTGTAAATCTTAACGATAAATAGTGTCCCTTATGTATCTATATTTAATTGGGTGTTTCTTTCTAATAGGACTACATAACGAATGTATGTAGAAGTTATGGTAATTCGTAGGTAATTAAAATATCAACACGTAGCGTTCATGTCTTTGTTTACATACTTCGTATTGCGACGGGCAGCTTAAAATGTAATTTTTTTTTTAAAAGCTATGGTTATTTTATGTGTAGAATAAGTTATCCTGTAAAATGAAGTTAACTAGTATGTTGTGTCCTAATAATTGTTGTGTTTAAATGTCGCCAAGCGCCTTTTTAACGGGAAAAGAAATTTTTGTTAAAGTTATAATTATTTTTGTTAGTGTTTTTGTTTATCTAGTTCTTAGGTTTTCGCGATTGTTACACATAGGAAATGAAACTATTTTTCCGGATTTAAATCGCGTATATTTGCTGACCTCTCAGTCAACCGTGACCATGGGACCTGTAAAGGGCCTGAAACGTTGGTTTGTTTGAAAAAACAAATATACGCGATTTAAATCCGGAAAAATAGTTTCATTTTCTGTGTTTTTGTTTTTTTCAAAAAGTTAAAGCTTCGGCTTTACCAAGGAAAATTTTCACGCCTCGCCACTACTAGACAGAAGACTTAAAAGTCGCTAGTTGTCGCTAAAACTATAATTCCACTCCATATGAAAATTCTACTCTTATATTGTTGTTGCTCATCATAAGTTTCATTTCATTGGCAAGAACTTTATGGTCATGGCACAGATAAAAGACCAGGCCCATATCTTGCAACTTAACTTTTGATTATAGTGCTATAACCTGTGCAAGCAAGTCCGCGCAGGGACCTTAAAAGTTCAGGTCCTGAATCCAGATCAGTCCGTGGACAGGGTTGTCAAACAGTTGTCACGAACTTCACCCGGTGCTTAAAAGGCCTTGGGTGAGTGACTCCGGGTGCACGTACTGTACCCTCCCTATTTTCCAGATAGGTACCGGAGCTGTTGGTACGCTCACTTCCTGTTATGCATTGCATAACGAACAGTTGCCACCATTGAATCTAAATTAAATTAACTGCCAACTCGCCATCCCGGTGATGGAGCTGTAAGCACTCTCACTTCCCGACGGCGAAGCGTCTTTCCACTTCCCATTATTCCTACGCAACTGGATAGACCGGAGACTATCTAGCTTATTCTCTCTTTACTAGTTATCCGGATTAGCACCGAGATATCAGTTGCAGTGTCTTTCGACAATGTCCAGACGAAGTTTATAACATAAAGACCAATACAATTCTACCAATGAGTAGAAAATATGTGAGATAAGATGAAATCATATTAATCGTTAATAAACGAAACCTAATTAAAAAGGCGCTAAAAAGTAATTACATTTTTTGTTAAATAGAAACAAAATGTCGCTTAATCTAGCGACAAGGTCACTAAGTCGGCAACATTGACAGGGCGTTGTAATTATTGCTAATAATTTTTCTATACGGACAACGACACATCAGACTACACATTTTTGTTCGAAAATCGCCTCCAGTGCAACGGAACAAGGTACGTCAATGTGTAGCTTGATATGCTGGCGTGTGTACATAACATCTCATATCAAAACACAAAATAGCCTTGAACAAAAAATTCCTTCTTTTATTTGCCAGAAAAATTACATACAGCATGCAAAAATAAATACTGCCCAAGTAAATAGGTTAATAATTTATTTCTCGATTATTAAAAAACACCCAATGCTATACATGTCTCGTGATAAAACCGTTGGCAACATTACGTTGGTAGTGATTATGATCATGCTTGCATCCATCGTTATGAATAGTTTTTTAGTATGAAACACAATAACGCGAGACATTCGCTCTTTCTGGCTCGGATACAGATAGGCCCATAGACGTCGAGTTGCGTGTTGTTACTTATCCGGAGTGGAGGTAGTTATTGATCTAATTATTGTCTTTAAATTTCAGAAGAATTGGTGACTCTCCTATTCCGGGTGCAGGTGCGTACGCAGACAATGCTGTGGGCGGCGCTGCGGCCACTGGCGACGGGGACTTGATGCTCAGGTTCCTACCAAGGTTTGGACGTAGTAATTTTTTCCAGAAAATAGGTATTATGTTGTAAAAAAAACATGCATGAGAGCGAACTGCGAGATACGTATTTAAAAACAATTAAGTTATTCTATTTGCAGTTTCTTGGCAGTAGAAGAAATGCGTCGCGGTGCGTCACCTACTCAAGCTGCTGAAACGGCCGTAAATAGAATAAAGGAGCACTACCCTATATTTATGGGAGCTGTGGTGGCCCTCTCAAAAGATGGGCGCTATGGAGCTGCTTGTAATGGAATCAATGAGTTCCCATTTTTTGTTGGTGATAAGACCGGTCAACAACCTAGACTGCATGCCGTCAAATGTAATTAAGTTAATTAAAAAGTTCAAGATTATGTCGGTTTACAAATAAATAACGGTGCTACTACCGATCTATGTACATACATACTACCAACAACGATCTATATACTACAAACTACGTACTTGGATGCTACAATTTGTTGTTTTGTTTAATACTTCCCTTAGCTCTCGTGCAAAATAATATAGTTAGTTAATATAAAATATGGTTTTTAAATAATATCGTAGATATTTGATTGCTTTGCTAGATGTGAGCTATACCAGCCGTTATTTGTGGATTAAAATTTAAAAAATCGGTACTTTTTAAAAACGAATCATTCATTTATATTGGGAACATCACTACCAGCACGATGCCATTCATTCTACACTCATTCATTCAAGCAAGTTTGACTTCGGCCATTTTGAATTAGACCGTCAAGCGTGCACACAGATCTACGTAAGTTTAGATTTTTTGATATTTAGAGCAACAGTAAGAAATAACTTTATATTTTATTATGTAGTAAAATACGTAACTTGTGTTTTCAAAAAAATATTTAAAATGATCCCTATGTTAAGTACATGTTATACTTCTCGGAATCACCTAATTTCCACGTGCTCAATTTTATTTTCTTTCATGATGAGACTTCAATTCATTTCATTCGTGGTATCTACCATAGTGTTTACACGATGATGGCCTTAACGCGTCTGACTGTTATTCGAACTACACGCAATTCTTAACAAAACAAAATTTTTTCTAAAACAACCACACTATTTCAGAATGGCGGACGCAGCTCCAGCCGGTGGACGTGGCGGTTTTCGCGGTGGTTTTGGTTCTCGTGGAGGTGACAGGGGCCGTGGTGGCCCACGTGGTCGTGGACGTGGTCGCGGACGCGGTCGTGGGCGCGGCAAGGAAGATCAGAAAGAATGGGTGCCAGTAACCAAGCTCGGCCGCCTTGTGCGCGATGGAAAAATTGACAAACTGGAGAGCATTTACCTGTTCTCGTTGCCCATTAAAGAGTTTGAGATTATCGACTTCTTCCTTGGACCATCTCTCAATGATGAGGTGTTGAAGATCATGCCTGTACAGAAGCAGACTCGTGCCGGTCAACGCACGCGTTTCAAGGCCTTCGTTGCTATCGGCGACAACAACGGCCACATCGGTTTGGGCGTCAAGTGCAGCAAGGAAGTGGCAACTGCTATTCGTGGAGCTATCATCCTTGCCAAGTTGTCTGTTCTTCCTGTGCGCAGAGGATATTGGGGTAACAAGATTGGAAAGCCTCACACCGTACCTTGCAAGGTAATTTTAGAATTCTTCTATTTTGCGCACAGCATGGAGGAGTAAAATTTTCATGATGAGAACTATAATCATTTCATTCGTGGTATCCACTTGAGGTTTATCCAATGACAGCCTAATGCGTCTGATTTAAAGTTTAAATACACAAGTCTTTATTTAATTTTGCATATAGATTAATATTTTCTTCTAATCTGGTTCCAGGTCACCGGAAAATGTGGCTCCGTCACTGTGAGGTTGATCCCTGCACCTCGTGGTACTGGTATTGTGTCTGCTCCAGTCCCTAAGAAGCTGCTTCAGATGGCTGGAGTCCAGGACTGCTACACATCGGCTCGTGGCTCTACTGGCACCTTGGGCAACTTTGCAAAGGCCACCTATGCAGCTATTGCCAAGACCTATGCCTATCTCACTCCTGACTTGTGGAGAGACATCCCACTGACCAAGTCACCATATTCTGAGTTCAAAGTTTAGACATTTCTCTCAAACATGAGAATAAATGACAAAGTTTAATTTTGTTTTTTTTTGCACTTCAATTTATCCTCGACATATAAATATGTATTATAAATATATAAAATATGTAGCCTATGTTTAAAGACTTAAAAGAAGTTCTGTCAACACAACTAGTGGGAGAGAAAATTGTCAGTAGTTCTGTGAAGACTATATTTATTAACAGAACGAATGGGGAAAAAAGTACCAGTAATTAGTCAACAGAACTAGTGGAATAAATGGTAACTTCGAAATCTTTTAAACCACATATTTTGCTTTAAATTTTTTTAAAGAATTAGTCTCAATGTCAAATTACTAAAAGTATAGTCAAAATCTAGTTATTTTGATAGGGCTTATCGTGAACGGAAAAGAGTTGAAATAAAATTTTGTGTCATGCTGACACGCAAGCGCCTAGACGTTGCGAACACTAGCCCTCTACCATATTCCACTCAATCTTCTAAAAAGCAACAACCAGAAATAACTAAAGAGACACTTAAATAACTGATATTATACTTTCCCACATACAAAAAATATAGTAATGCTCGGACTATCTAAATATTTGGTGAGTCCAATTTTAAACCTCTTGATATGATTCAGCCAAGGTAACTCATTCAGATTCGTGAAATCGACAAACTCTGACGACAAATTCTGATATGGATATATAATTTACAAGTGCTTACATAATGTATTTGTAGGATCAAGAGCATGTCAAGCTTATTAGAAATTCAACTCTGGTGATTACAATAAGAAGGGTCCTGTTTAAAGCTTGATGGGACCTAGTGATAAAAAAGACTCGGCGTTTTATAACGACTCGACTCCATTTTACAGGACTCGACTCTAAAATTAAGACTGGGGATTCGAGTTTTTATTAATAAGACTCAGCCGTTATACTAAAACACTCAAAAGACGAAAGAGAGCGAGAAAAACGACTTGGAAAGACTTAAACGACTAGAGTTGTTTGCAATCAGCGTAACGAGATGTTTCCTTACGTCTCGTTACAAATAAGCTGAGTGGAGACCTTTTTGGTACCATCTTAAACATAATACATACTGTTTTATTTTAAGTAAATGTTATAATAATGTTATTTTAATTTTTGTTTTTACGTTCTATTTGTATTATGGTTACCAAATAAACTATTTTTCTTTCTTTCTTTCTTTCTTTCAAAGGACTTATACCTATTTTGTCTTATTAAACCCGAAGTTTATAAATAAAAATGACATTAGTATGTAGTAAATAACCACGTTTATATAATAAAAATCGTAAAATAAATACCTTGTGGGTAAAAATAAAATCACGCCATACGGCTCGCGACTCCCGAGGGTATGAGGCGCCAGTCGTTTTAGTATGAGGCGCCAGTCGTTTTAGTCCTATAAGTCTTTTAAGCTTCCTAGGGTCAAAAGACTTCGACTCGAATTAGTCTTCAGTATTAGTCTTATGACTCAAGACTTGAGGGTTAAAAGACTAGACTAGTCGTGAGGCGTTAAAAATTAGTTGAGATTTTTTAAAATGCCTTAAAAGACTGAGTCTCTTTCATCACTAATGGGACCCTATTCGTTCACGGTTGAAAAGAAAAAAATAATAAAATTCAAGTTTTATTAAACTCCTTGACGTTTTTTTCAAACAAATTAATGGTGTGGTCACACACTTTCTCCAAATCTTTGAGGCCACGTTTCAGTATTTCTAGGGCTGGTGTGCCTTGGGATTGTATCCTGAAGAGCATTTTGCTTTCTGCTGGGTGAGGTACAGTGTAGCCGCAGAATTGGACATCATCACTGGAAGGAGAAAAAAGTTGAGACAAAATCAATTTTACTGATGATCATAGCACAAGGTGCAGGAAGTTTGCAGTTGTAACTAATGACCGATAAAAAAATGCAGAGTAAATTTACTTAACTCTATGTAATACACATAAGAGTGGATATATGAATACTTCTTTCTGATATTCCAGAATAATTAAAAATAAAAGGCAAAAAATGATAAAAAAAGTAATACTTTGCTTACAATTACAAAATTGTTCTTGTAAATGCACTATTGTTTATAAAATATTACACAAAATACAATATTATAATTATGGGATTTTAGAGTGAGGTATTATATATAGGTAAGTAGAGGGATTCTTAACTTACTGTAGCACTGCGTATAATTTGTATCCAATCTAAGACTATACAAATCTAAAAAACTCGGACCCACTTTGTATGTTGTCTGTGAATGAAGTGTGACTCAAATCTGAGAAAATACAATTTTGATTGTACACCTCGAGATTAAATTGTCATTGCAAAGTTAAAACCTTATGTGTCATTTTGGTCGACAAGTTTTGTAAATATTTGGAAAGTGTAAAGTGGAAAGTTCAAAGATACAGAAACATTTTTGCTATATATTTAAATATCATTGTTTATCCAAATAACAAAATAGAACAAAAACACAAAAAAAATTTTACAGAAGAAAACTTTAATTTTCTATGATAGTTACTTTTAACACATAGGAGATATAAATTTATTTTATATAAATTTGCAAAGACGAAATGATCCCTGTGACATTTCAGACCGTCATTTCTGGGATTCAGACTGATACAAATTGGACATAGTGCGCAAACACTTTTACTCCGGTATCTGAGAATTGCATAGATCATTCAATTGTTGGTATTAGGAATTCAAATATATTGTATGTTGTAGTTTTTTAAAGTATTAAATCAAGTAATATGTAGTTAACAAGTCCTGACAAACCAAAGAAATTTATCTTTGTGTTGGATCTTTGTATTAACAATTATAACAAACTAGTTGGAGTAATGATTGAATGTCATGGTCGTAAAACATTGTGAAACATTTAAGGAAATCAATAGTTCAAAGGAGCGTTCAGTTCTTCAAACATTAGCATAAGCAGGTAAATGTTTCAACCCATCCAAAGAACATAGTGTATGTCCTGAGAACAAGTCGTCTTGCACATAGATCTTTGTTCTATGGATGAGTCAGTTTCATATATTCAGTCTAATATTTAGGTCTTGAATAGGTACATAGGTATTGTAAGAACTATTTGTATGTATTTGTTTACTTACTAACTATTAATAATGGTTTTCAATGCATTCCCTAGAGTGTGACTTTCATTTGGGATCACATATGTTCTGCATGTCAGAGTGTTTTCGTCACCTGCTAGCTGAAACAGAAAAATATTGGATAGATCTTGTATGCACTTATTAGGTTAGATGGAGTTTGGTACCTTTCGAGATTGACTGTTTTGTCAAAAATGTACGCCTTTGGAAGTTAAACAACAATTCTAGGAGAATCTTATTTTTAACCTAGATTGCATTTAACGACGAGACTACCAGATTTAGTTTATAAAAAGTTGATGTCGTGCTCAATGTCGGCATTTAAAAATTGTAATTGTCGTTTGCAGTCTTTACAATATTTTACTCACCTCTGACACCTTCATATTTGGTGGTTCTAATATTTTGTTACTTATATGCAAAATAAATGTTAAAACATACAAATTCAAATCACAAACTACATGTCTAACACTTTTTTATCAGTTTTAATTTATCGGATTTGGCAAAAAACATTAGAGGATGGAAAAAAAAATAGTCTAAGCAAAAAACAGAATGATTCTTTTTTTTCTTAATGAATAGCTTGTGAGACTAATTTATTGTCTAAATTCTGCCAGTTTTTAGTGGTGCCAGATTTGGCGATTTTTGCCATTTTGGCTACTTCGAGGGGTCGTCGTGCGGTGATTAAAAAAGTGATCGGTGACTCGGCGATTTTAGGCTACTTAATAAAATTTCTGGGGAATTACAAATTTGATTGGGGTATTTTGTGGGGAATGGAGTTCTAAAACAATTTATTTGGAGGTTTGAATATTACTACGTGTGAGGAATTGGGTAAATACGAGAGTTCATACTCCCCAATATCCGGCTGCAAGTAGAACTGTAGAATTGTTGTGTTTTCCTTGATTTTTAGGAATTTCGTGGCTTGGGCGAATAAATAAATAAATAAATCGGCGAATTAACTTCGCAAAAGTCTGGCAACACTGCCAGTGTCCGTTTGAGGGTCGTATTCTAGAACTCTACTCAATGCTCAAGTCAGGACTTGAGTATGATTCAAAGCACTAGAAATCATACTCAAGTCCTTGCCATTAGAGTCGTATTTCCAGTGCTTGAAATCATACTCAAGTCTGCTCAAATCCTGAATTGAGCATTGAATAGTGTTCTGGAATACGACCCTTTTGTTACCTAAACATCATGGAGTTGGAGGTAGACTGTATCTGATCGATCCTTAGCGGGAGCGCTCCTAGTTAGTTCAATTGGTCAGTCTTCTAGTTCATCTAGTTCATTAGTTAGTCCGTCAAGTTCTCGTTGTCCTACTACGGACTTCTAGTATTATGAGGTCAATGATGAGGTCAAAATGAGGTCAAAGTACACTGTACTAAATATTTAAAAATACAATTTGTATGGAATCGGTACTATTTGATTTTTTTTCATATTTTACTGTCATTCTAACTAAATACCCATTTTTTTACAAAACAAGAATTTTGGTTAGAATGGCGTGTTTAACAATTCACATTTAGGTACAACTACTTCACATATTCGTACACGTAGGTTGATATCATACATACAGATACCTACCACACCTACCAAAAACTTACTTTTTTGCAATCTTCTATATATTATTATATATATAAGGTAGATACGTATTATAGACTTCGAACGAGCTGGCAACGTTCAATCGTGCATCCCACTCGAACTTGTACTAACAGAAGTGAAAGATCGCTATTTGTCCCGCTCGCACCGTTCCTACTGAATAAAAGTCAGGTGAACTATTAATACAGACAGTTCCTAGTTTGTACTGAACTGTACAATGAACGATGAACCGTGCAAGACGAACTAATTCATGTCAGTCAGTGTCGGGAATATATTAGTTCATGAACTATACGAGCCTAGTTGGAGGGAGTGTATATAAAAATTTGTTCTGTGACTCAGAGGGAGTATCGAAGAGATTCTTGCATATGTTGTTCCCTAGAACGAAAGAGACAACACAAATTAGACAATACAAAGTGTTAGTAACATGTATGTATAATTAATTACAATTGTAGTGTTAATATAGGAACAATGTATACAATTTAATGTTATTGATATGTATTAATTTACAGAGAATCTTAGAATAATAACGTGCGAAGCAGAGAATATGATAAATTTTTGGGTGAGAAGACAGAGATAAAAGGCATTTAAAGGAAGTAGGACGAGGAATAGGAGGGAGAATGTCATACAGGCTTAGAATAATAACGCATAGAAACCTAGCCCGCACACGTTAAGTGAGGCAAATTGTAGGACGCCCTATGGGCTTACACGAGCAAGCGGGCTGACAGTGCTCAAGGTCAAGTTGCACCGCGAGGGGCTCAAAAATTTTTGCTAAAAATGACGAACTGTGCGGTAATTGGGTTTAAAAATAGATCAGACAAATATAAAATAGACACTAACATCACATTCCACAAGGAAATAACGCGTTTCAACTTATATTTTTATATAAATATTCACTAAAACAGAAAATTAATTTCGTTGCAACAAGATACGAAAATGTTGCAAAGTAACGGGTTTTTCTCCCCGTTTTGCTATTCTGTTTCAAAATAATTATATATATTACGTAATTTTTTGAGAATAGGCAATATCGCGTTAGCTATTTTTACGAAATATATTTAGTATTTGCCTTGATTAGTTTCATGTGAAAAATCATTATTCTTGTTCATCATACACTCATTTAAAAAAATTGTCTTGCCCAGACTTAAAAGTTCTTAATTAAAATTATTTCAGGAAACTAACTCTGACTAAAAACTCATCGTCAGTTCTCCAAAATCGTGTATAAATAACTTTCAGGTTCAGGTTCTTAATTATTATCGTGTACTTTTCATGCAAACATACCCACAGATAATATCAGGCTATTTATATATTCAAATTCGATAGTCGCACTTAAACTCGCTTGTAGGTTTTTGTTCATATATGAGTTAACGTACGATAACGATCGACAAAATCGAGCATATCTGTAGGCACCTGATCGACAAAATCGAGCAAATCTGTAGGCACCTCTAACTTAACGATGAGTTAAGCAAGATACAATTTTCCCACTTTTGAGGGAAATGTTATTCCATGGCATCATTATTTGTATATTTGTGTACGTGCCGACGAGCGTAAATACAAGTTGCTTACGCCTACATGAATTTGATTTTTGCCTCACTTGTGACAGTTCGTTTTTTATGGAACTATCATTCTATGCGTTATTATTCTAAGCATACAGGGAATACCGTAATTTAGTGCAGTCAAAGAATATATGGTCCACGTTTTCTTCGTCTAAACCACACTCACACAATGAGTTATCCTTAATCCTTATTATAGCCAGATGAACGGGAGTACACGCGTGAACCAAACGAAGGCGGCATATAACACACATATAACACACTTTATTGTTCTGGAGCGAGCTCAGCGAGCTTTACTTAAAGTATGCACTTTTAATCATAGACTCTTCCCCACACATTCCCTCTACCAACATTGCGAAGTCCTTACAGTACGCCAGTTGTACATTGTATGTACTGTTCTCCTACAACACTCTAAAACCCCATACTCTACTGATAACATACGAAGAAACCACTTGGTCGCAGAATCCCGCCATTATCACACCAGCTTCAGCCATAGATTCTTCTGTTTCCTTGGGCCTTTCCTTTACAACTCCATCCACCGGAAACTAAATATTCATTCTCTTCCCAAAACCAGATGTAAGAGCATAGTATCAACTTGGCTGCAAAACCTTAACTACGAAGAAACAGAAGCTCTCCTTCAACAGGTTGCGTGAACCGCTGTTTTCCACACATCTATTAAAATAAAACAACCACTAACCAACCCCAACATTCGTTCCGCATACTCACACACGCTTACACACACCACACACACACATACACCACTCACACACACTCACAAACTATTATGCACATTCACATAGTGCTCAAATGATCACACATATACAGGCATTATGTCGTTGCCAATGTATTAGTATCGTATTAAATTTTATTATTATATACATTTAACTCCTGTATTTTATACATTTAACTCCTGGAATTTGTTATTAAAATTTGTATCTTGTACCCTGGCACTCTATTGTATAGTACCATAAATTCAAGCACATAAGTACTGTTAGTAGCCTCTAGATGTACATATTCGGTCTTTTTGTACCTACCTACTGTAGCTGCTGGCTAAAGCTCAGAGTATTCTATTTTAGTCAGCGGCTGTACGTTATAAGCACCAGCCTTTCCCCAAGAAACATGTAATACTTGGTACTTACTTTAATATAAGTCTAACCTGTACCTAATGTAAGGCTTATGGAACAATAAAAATGATAAATGATATTATTCTTGATGTAGTTTCTGGATTGGCTGAACGGAGTTTGAAAAACCAAGGGACTGTGGGAATTTGAGGCTGAATTTTCGGCATACTAATATTTGCCCTCTTGTTTGTGGGATTTCTCCCAAAACTGACCAACGATCACAAAGGAAGGCTTTTGGAAGTACGCAAAGATCATGGGAGAACATGTTGAAGTGTTCCATTCCATTCTTTTATGCCAGTTTCAGCAATTATTTTGCATTGACTTGTGAAGTCATTTCAATTTTAGGCATTTTGTTCTTAAACTATGGAAAAAAGTAGGAAATTTTGGACACTTTTGGATGAGCATAGTGTAGTGGTATTTGGTACAAATGTATTATTTCTGTATTGTTGAAAATTTTTGGGCAAGGGCAAAATAAAAACTACTTATTATTATTTTAACGCAATTATTTTAATTATATTGTCTACGAATTTACAAATTGTAAGGGAAATTATTATTCTAATACTTATTATATTATATTATTTAAATAACTGTAGAATCGAATTAGAATAGAATGATTTATGTCGTTTTATCAATGTTACAATATTACAAGTAAAAATACAATGTCAAGGGATAATATGATTGTCACTAACGCAAACAATTAATATAAAATAAAGTAGTATAACGACTGGTGGCTCTTGTAAGATTCCTTCCCCACCCTGGTGGGATGATGAGTGCACCAAAGCAACAAAAGAGCGGAAAGAGGCCAAAAAACAATATAGTACTTCTATGACCGATAACAATTTTACTAACACACAACCAATATAAATTCTTCCATTGTTCGGCAGAACATAAGAAGATTTAGGTCTGCTTTTCATTGCACTCAATAACATAGTTGTTCTTGCAGATGGACCGCTTGACCCCCCCCCTCAGTTTCAGAACAGATCGTCCCCTCACCACTTCCATTTCTGGCATCAACAGATAGTAACAATAACAAAGTTATAAACTATGACTCTTCCTTCACCATGAGCGAGTTAGAGGGCGTTCTGTTAACTGTTAAAGATTCCGCGCCAGGCGAAGATGGGATTCCGTATTCTTTTCTTTCTAATTCAAATAGTGCTTTTCTAGAATACTATCTTTCTTCAATTAATACACTAATGTTCACAGGCGAAGGTACTCAGTCTTGGAGAACACAGTCCTTAATTCTTTTATTGAAACCAAAGAAACAAGCTTCAGATCCGTCATCACACAGACCAATAGCTTTAGCTTCTGTTCTAGCTAAAATATGTGAACATTTAGTTAAATATCGCCTTGAATGGTTCTTAGAACACAATTGTTTGTTAACTAACGACCAAATCGGGTTTAGAAAAGGC